CAGAGACAGACAGACAGACAGACAGACAGACAGACAGACAGACAGACAGACAGACAGACAGACAGACAGAGACAGACAGACAGACAGACAGAGACAGACAGACAGACAGACAGACAGACAGACAGACAGACAGAGACAGACAGACAGACAGAGACAGACAGACAGAGACAGACAGACAGAGACAGACAGACAGAGACAGACAGACAGAGACAGACAGAAGTTTCCTTCAAGTAGTAAACACTACAATCCAATTGAAATATTATTGAATCCATATAATTTTCCCTGAACCTGAAGTGAATATGGACAAATATTCACAAATATCTCTCTATGATAAATTACCACCGTGTCACGAGTGTTGTTGTCTTGATCTTTACGCTATTTCAGTTGTAGTCTTTTTACACTTGAGCCATTTCCTGTACTATCCTTGAAGAGAAGGGAACGAAAACGTTCGATACAACATGAGAAGTGCCTTGCTTACTGGATGTGTATAATTGCGTGAATGCTTGTGAACCTACCAACCTACCTACCTACCTTCGTCTGGAAATATATCTCTCTTCAAACATACACAAACAGTAATATACTGACGCCTTTATTTGTTTCCGTGGAGATAGAAAAAGATAATATTATTAGAGAGGTTGCGCACAACGGAAATTCGTAAGATCTTGACTGTCCGGGTTCGAGTAACTGTTAACGAAAGTTGCTACCGAGATTCGTCCAAACATGACCGAAACAGAGCACATCTCCGAAAATATTTTTCGTTACATGGATTACTAAAATACTGATATTTTCCAACTTTCTTGTTACTGCGAGAGTGAACCCGACACATACAGGAGGAATGCATACTGCAGAAAAGGGTTCACACGTTGGGCGCAACCTCACGGTTTACGGATATTCGTTAACTTTTTTTCATTAAAATTTTTCGTTTCTGTTGTGAAAGTTTTTGTTTCTGTTGTGAATCATGCCTGTCCTGATTGTCTGAAGTAATCTACTGCGTTGTGGTTGACTTCACTTTTAGTGCTATTGACTGGATTTCCTCACAATATCATTATATTAATGTCCAGAGACCTACTGTCTACCATTCCCCTAGTGCTCTTATTGATACACTATCCAGCTATCCAGCAGCTCTCCATCCAGCTCTCTCCATCCAGCTCTCTCCATCCCGTTATACTCTTTTTCACACACTATACGTTCGTGACTTCTTTACAATAAAATCAGTTCAGTGACTGACGAGTTCGAGATCACAACATGGCGTCGGCGTCAGAAGCGGCTTGATTACGAATCCAGCCGAGATGCTTAGTCATCAAACTGTACTCCTCTTTACCCGTTTTAGCCCTCTCACTCTGGCTCTCTCCAGCAATTCTGCCTCATTGCAGATAACGTCTGTCTGCCTCATTGCAGATAACGTCTGTCTGCCTCATTGCAGATAACGTCCGTTTGCCTCTAAGCAGCCTCCGTACCTCAGTGTTCCTGCTCGTCGCATCTCCTGCTCAGAATCATGCCCGGACTAAACACGCACTAGCGTTACTGAAGAATCTAGTCTGGACCTGTCTGCTCTCATCGTTCAGGTAACCCAGCTGCAACAGCAATGGACGATCGGCTCCCAGTCTCTCACCGCCGCTATCAGCACATTCGTGCATTCTATGCAAACGAACATCACGGCCTCTCCTTCGGCCCCAGCTCCGCCATTGCCGAAATAGACTCCTCTGACAGACTCTGCCGACCCTGAACATTGGTTCCACATGGTCGCCTCAGTTCTCCAGGGCCGTGGAATCTCCCCAAATCGACATGCTCTGGCCGTCACATCATATCTCACTGGCAAGGCCCTCGCCGCCTACAATGCTCTCCCATTGACAAACTCAAGGCGGCAGTTCTCGGTCGATTCCAAATCGATGGGGGAGCATATCGTCGTCGCTTCCGTCAGGCCGCCCTCAAACCAGATGAGACTTGCATGGAACTGCATCACCGTCTCTGCTACACGTACGGCAAGTGGCTCCAGTGCACACCTGCCAAGTCCTCGGACAGCATCAAGGACCTCCTCATTCGACTTAGCTGACCGCGGCCCTCCCAGCCGATGCCCAAGTCTTCCTCCTCCATCAAGCACCTCAGACTGCTACTAAGACTGCCAAGCAGGCAGAAACTTACCTACGAACGGAGAGAACAGAGATGGCGCTCCGAAAGTCTCTCCCAGGTTCACCGCCCCTCGCAAATGCAGCGGAAACCTCACACAACACCTACTGCTCGACCTCTAACACCGTTGCCTCAGTGCAGAAAAGATCCTGTGAGTACTGTGGTGGTGCAGCTCACCCTCAGCGTGATTGCCCAGCTACCGACAAAGTGTGTAATCACTGCCAGAAACGTCGTCACTTCCACACAGTGTGTCACCAGCGCCGATGTGACAAAAGTCAGAGATCCGTGGGTGGTGTTACTTCAAGTACCCCCACAGCACCGAACAGTCTTGCAGTCCGTGAGTACGATGCTGACATGGACTCTCCATTCTTGGGATAACTCCATGTGTCTTTCTACTTGTATACTTTACTCGTACTGTGACTGCCTCAGCGTCTTTTTAGTCTATGTTAGGACTCTCTTTCAACATAATATGCATGGCTGCACTCTTGCCTCTGCTGAACCTCGTATTAAAAGACTCTTTAATACCTCCAGATCTACATGTTTGTGTTCTCAGTCCATTTGGCCTCCTTGCCCTCCGCTTTCACTCTTTGCTCGAAAGGGGAGATGTTGTGAATCTGTATCATGCCTGTCATGATTGTCTGAAGCAATTGACTGTGTTGCGGTTGTCTTCACTCTTTAGTGCTATTGCCTGGCTTTTCTCTCAATATCTAATGATGTCTAGAGACATACTGTCTAGCCTTCCCCTAGTGCTCTTATTGATACACTATCCAGCTATCCATCCAGCACTCTCTATCCTGCTATACTCTTCACACACTATAAGTTTGTGTCTCCTTTACAAAAAAATTACGCAAAATTCAAAAGCAACTAGCAATTTGAAGAGTCGGCGTGGAGAAGGCAATTTTATAAGTGCAATAAAGAATATAATTAGATGCAGGTATGACTACCTTACATCACCCTTAGGCTTAGGACAATACGACTGGTGCATTTTTCGCACATACCACCGGCAGGGATGCATTGTCAAAGGTACAGTATGTGACCCATCCCCCCCCCCCCCACACACACACACCTTACAGTGCACATGATCAGTATGATCAGTATGATGAGTATGATGAGTATGATGAATATGATGAGTATGTTCAAGAAAGGCTAGGGTAGTAGTTTCCACACCTGGTGCTCCAAAATTGGTTTGCACTTGACTGGTAGCGAGCAGAACTTGTCGATACAGTGCTTTCGCCTCCTCATGCTTCTTCTGCTTGAGGTAACAGGCAGCCTTCAAGGTGTAAGAGAGAAGAAAAAACATATGCCCGCACACAAGCACGTGTACACACATGCACATGTACGCACACGCCCGCACGCATGCCCGCACACACACACACCTTGACCTTGACAAACAGCTGCCGTTAAACGACTAAGCTGCCCTCATGAGGAGGGGAACAAAGGGGTAGCATCAAGGGGTAGCGTCGCGGCAGAACATCCGGCCTCATGCCGCTGCAGATCCTGCTGTCTGCGATATCGCTCGCCGCACGCACAGCAGAACTTGAACTCAAGACGCTCCCTCGCTGTTGGTCGCTTGCCACGCTCGCAATTGTGCCGCACACACACACACACACACACACACACACACACACACACACACACACACATGCAGGATGACAATAGACTGAGTGAGGAGCTGTTACGTATGACATCACGATTATTATGTAAAAACATCATGATTCCTTTTTTATCACGATTATTATGTAAAAACATCATGATTCCTTTTTTAGCACTGTGTGTTCTCTCTTTCTTGTGATCTTGTTGTTCGGAATCTCCACTTTCCTCCTTCTATGGTATCTAAAATGTCACCTTGTCTGGACTGAAAGGATGCTGTGTGTGTGGTTACGTTTGTACTGTGCATGCCGAGTAAGACAGGGGTAGGACATAAGTTACTACAGGAACACGGACTCACTAAAATACCTACTACTATTAAATGGACGTGTACATGACATTGTTCACCCGGAACTGTCTGTAAGAAAAAAAGGCTAGTAGTAGTACAAGCCATGCTTCTACTCAATCTATAAAATGCATCCTTTTTTGGATTTTTTGTGGATAAAGCCCGCATGGCATGTGGTCATTGCTCATTAGTCATTACTATCTGCCTCTCTGTGTCTCTCTGTGTCTCTTCCTTTCCCTCTCTGATTCCCCTGTCTCTCTGCCTCTCTCTCTTTGCCTCTCTCTCTCTCTCTCTCTCTCTCTCTCTCTCTCTCTCTCTCTCTCTCTCTCTCTCTCTCTCTCTCTCTCTCTCTCTCTCTCTCTCTCTCAAATATTCTCCTCGCTACGAACACTTCATTTTTACATTTCACCAAATGTTCTGGCATGGTCCCTCATCAGGGCGACAGAATTGAATTGCTACACACCTGGTCTGTTTCTTATGATGTATTTTCGGGAAATGCCTGTACTCAAATTGTCACGCCATGTGCTGTGGCACTCTATATTATGTGTATGTCATTAGTCAATTTTAATCTGTTCAGCTACGACTGTAAAATCAATGATAAATAATGCACTGAAAGAGTTCACCAGTTTCCCGTAGGGTGGCTAGGACAGAGAAAACTGGAATTGGAGCCGCTCAGTCCAAGCCTTGCGGCTATCACACCAGTCTCTATAAGCTTGGAAAACACACATGATTAGGCGGCCGTTGTCAGTTCTTACCAGATTGTTCATAGTCTTGGTTGTAATAGTGTCGGCAGCTCCATACAGATGACTGTACACGTCGATAGCACGCTGATAATAACATTCACTCTATACTCCAAACAGTAATACAAACACAGTGGTGCACATAGGAAATGATGCAGTCAACACACACGCATGCATGCATGCATGCACGCACGCACGCACATACACACACACACACACACACACACACACACACACACACACACACACACACACACACACACACACACACATTAAAATCAGTTCCTGAGATGTACAGTAGTCTGCTCACTAATTCAGCATCCCTGGGAAATCAGATATTTGGGTGAAGGTCGACCTACAGTGAAGCCCTGATGTACCGTACTCCATCGGGAAAGAAAAAAGTACTAATATCTAGGTACCCTGTATGCCGGGTTGGTCTCACCAGCCTCGAACCCGGCTCATAATAATTATATTGAATACACACAAGAGAAAGAGAGGGGAAGCTGTGTTGCAACTCCGAGTTTCAAGTAGTCACGATCATCAGCCAATGTATATTGAATACATGTATGTAAAACGGCTCAAAAATCATATCTGACTGATATGTGACATACATCGCAGTGCATCATGGACCATGGCTGGACGGTGTAGGTGGAGTTGGTCATAGCTCCACTCCCACCTCCATTCCTCCCAGGTGCATGCTGGCCAGCCAGCGAGCCGGCATTATTGGCGGCCACTGCAGATGCAATGAAGACTACACACCGGTCATCAGAGGCTATCCCTTCTGGCAATCACCAAGCCAGTACGTCTTACAGAGGGATTACTCTCTACCCGAGTCAGTCGCAACAGTACACTTGGATGCGCTTTTATGCAGGAAAATCAGTGCAATAAAACAGGTTCGTGATAACCAGGTGTGTGCCTTACCCGATTCTGTACTGCAAATGGTTTCGCATGGCTTACATAATAGGGGTGTATTTTAGTGTTGAAACGATCTCACCGGATACTCGTTAGCTCGCTCGCCAGAAACTCGGCTCGTTTGTGCGGCCAGCTCGTTTGCACTAACGAACACCGTACACCGTACTCCGTACACATGGCAGTGCATGTCGACCGGCCGGGGAGTCGTAAAATATTTTACGACTCCCTGGTCGATCGAGAGTCCAGTCCCGCGCAAAGTGAAAATCACTCGCAGTTACAGGTGACTGTATGCCTGCACGACACTTGAGTTGTTTCAGTTGTCGTTGCAGCTTTGGTGGACTCTATAGTCCATCGGCCAAGTCTCAAAATCGAAAGTGGTGATGCACTGAGCTTCCAACTAAACGCGACCATACCCAGCACGTAGAGAATATATCAGAGAACACTATTCCGTTTGTTGGACGTGCCGAATTCAGTCCAGGGCGTCGATACGAAGCGTTCTTCGTCGCCGAGTTTTTTACTGTGCGCTCCATTTGAGAGTGCGCAGAGTTCTGATCGAGAGTTTTTTGAGCAGATTTTCAAATTTTTGAGGCTGTCAGCTGACAGCTGTCAACCCTAAATGGCACTTAGTATGTGACAGGCAATAGGTTTTGGTGCCTCCGTATGCCTTCTAATAAGTTCTATCTTCCTTCGTTTCACTTCGCTGCTTCGCCCACCACCTCAGGAGATGACAGCGTACCTGCACTAGCTCTCACTAACCAGTAACCCTGTCTCTCTTTCTCCGTCTTAGCGCTCGTCATTCGTGTCCTTCTGCTGGGGCGAGCTTGATAGTGATACTGTTGTGTCGTAGTTTTTAGGCAATAGTGGCTGTTGTTCGCGTGACGATCAGGATTTATGGAGAAAGACGACGACTCGCCAAGTTCACATGCAGCCACAGACGGCGTAGCAATTCTTACCGCCAACCCTTCGAGCAACGGAACCGGCCTGAGTTAGAAATCGTGTCTGTGTAATTGTGCCACGATACGGATGAAATACACAGGCTCACATGTGACGAGATGAAGATAATCTCAACAGGCTCACGGGAACGCTGCAGTTATGGTCGGAGACGCGGAGTTATTTAGTCACTGGTAAATGTTGCATCGAGTGCTGTGTGCTCTAACACAATTGTAAAAAATTAATCATGAAAAAGCGAAAATAATGCAATGGTGGGGCTGAGTGGTGTTCTGTGGAGGAGACGTCGCTGTCTCAGTATTCAACGCCGGACCCTGTATTTCAAGTCTGTGGTCATGCTCGATCATAAGTTCCTGTATGGCTCCAGTGCCTTCTCAGCATTGTTGGCGGGTAAGCACCTGGATCGTCTCCAAGTACTGCGGCTCTGGTGGCTTGAGGGATGTACGGGTGCTCGCCGTGCACCCCTGCCGGCAATCTGCTAGTGAAGCTTGGTACCTACTGTGTCCGGGAGATTTTCATCGAGAAGCTGATCTTCCTAGGCTGGAGCTGCTGCTACTCCTGTGCTAGCCCTCAACCACTGGCGCTCCTACTCGGCTCCAGTGTGGGCCATTAACCACCCTGCCCGATTTCGCACTGTTGCTATTCCACACCGTCAGCATTTAACTCTGAGGTCAGACCTTGATCCCTCCCACCATATGCTATCTGTCTGTCTGCCTCTCTCTCACACACAGATGTGCGCGCATACACACAAACACACATGCACACACACACACATGCACACACAGTGACACAAACATACACATAGCCAACTTCTCTGTGTTTGGTGATCATCATCTGTTTTCTGATGTGCAAGCTCACCTCTGATGCCGATTACTTCCTTGCTTAGACCCGGTCTGCTATTAGACCAGTCTGCTCTCCCTTCACTCGCTTGTAAATCCTACTTGGAGCAGTAAGGTTGTGTCACTGCTCCTACTGATGTCATTGTTGTGAAAGCAATATCATCGCCATTGCCATTGGTGGTAATTTTCCACCGTGCATGAATCATTAACAATCATCATCTATGTGTCATGGCCTAACCATCCTCGTAACTCCCCTCATCGTGACTAGTGCTGTACCATTGAAACCTACTTTGATTCAGTGTATATTCTCCCCGGGCAAAGCTCTTGTTTTGTTTCATAGTGATCTGACGCAGTGTGCTATAGCCTGTCAGGTAATATGGTTACGATTAGTACAGTCGGCATCGCCTATCGAGTGACCAGGTACATGTATAAGGATACTAGTACATGTATACCGGCTTAACGATATCGGAACACAAATAGCACTATGTGCGCAATATTCCTTTCTAAGCTCACGCTGTGCGGTGCAGATAGGTCATGTGTCGTTGCCAACTTGCCGCATGTGCATGTGCAGCAGGAAGGCACCACATGTCGACTACTACTTATACTGTACAGCATTGTGTGCTTACATGCATCGACGGCCTTGTGGATGCAATTGAGCCTCACATACATGTACATGAAATATTGCGTGTAGTGCGGCATCAGGTGTTAACATACAGTGGCTAAATATTTTTCTCGCAACAATGACCGTATTCACCACAAGTGTGTTTATGTCCAGAGCCAACTCAAGTCCTGTATTATTTATGACCATGACAACAAGACTTCCGGGCTGAAATTCTTCTATGACAGGCATGAACACTTGCCTTACAATTGTTCGTGATTGTACGAAGTACATATTCGCTACGAAGTAGTGGTTGCGACTTCGGCGATGATTTGTAAGAAAGGTTTGCTCCCCACACCGGAGCTCGCGCTATTCCGCCGACAAGTGTCAAGTAAAGTCGGCGGAATAGCGCGAGCTCCGGTGTGGGGAGCAAACCTTTCTTACATATTCGCTGTTGCATCAATTTTGCACCATTTACATTGTAGTGCCACTAGTGGTATCACCTGCATGCGTATTGAGTCAAACAAGGTTACCTCTGTATAATTATGCTTATCGTGGCTATCAAGAGCTTCGATGCAAATTCCCAGCTGACGAATGGTGTCCAGCTTGTGTTCAGCTCAGCTGGCACTCACAACTCATAATAATTATTGCGTTCTAGACGCCAGATGAGATGTTTCAGCTACAATGTAGACACAACGTCCGTGTTCAAGAAAGCCGTCACTTCATCTTCTGTCCATCCTCAATAGCACGTTCAAGCAAATACGTCTGAAACACAGTAGCGACAATCCGACAGCGGCGACACGCCGTCTTCTCCGAATGAGCTTCTACCGTTCTAATTCAGATTCCCCCAAAAATGTCAAAATATATAATAGATTTCCACCAAGCTCGCTAGAATCTTGCGAACCGTCAACATACAGGCATTTCAAGTGTTCGAGCGTGCGTAGATTCTGCTCAGCGGCTCAAGAACATACGCCAAGCGAAAAAAAGTCGATGAGAAAGATGTAATGGTGGACGAAATAACGAAAATCGGAAGAAGGTATTCGACCCAGTTCGACTATCCTGGACTGGATTGGCAACGTCCAACAATCGGATTCGTATTCTATGGGGTCTCATGAGCTAGTGTGCCAAAGGGCGTTTAGTTGGAGCTTCAGTGCATCACCTTCGCCGAAAGAGGCCCTTTCTGAGATTTGGCCGATGGACTACTACTGATGTCTTGTTCCGCATCTGCTGACCTGTCGCAGGATATGCTTCGGTCACCTCTCCATTCGAGTGAAAGTAAAATAGTTACGCTCAGTCGTTTGGAAGTTTTCTCCCGCGATGCAGCGAAGACCAGGACTACTTGCAATCTTTGCAAAACGGTCTATTCTTACAAAGGCTACTCGACGACGGCGCTGAAAAGACACCTCGACACCAAACAGCAGTCCGAAGTGAAGCAGCAGCAACCCCAAATGCCGGCGGTGATAATTTGAACCAGCTGAAAAAATTAGGGAAAAAATCGAACTTAGAAAAAAAATTATTCGAAAAATCATATTTGCCACATCAATGAAACCAAGAGTGCATGAACTGTTTATGGACTCTTGATGAAACTCGTTAGCTCGCTCGATAGCTTGCTCGTTAGTGCAACTGATCGCTCGTTTGTTATAGATACGCTCGTTTCAACACTAGTGTATTTCCATTGACCAAATGCACAAAATGTTGGATCGAGCGGAGTTGAGTGAGATATTCTAAGGAGAGTCACATGATAAAACTTTGACTGAAAATCCACTGGAGATGGCAGGTGGAGACAGGATGAAGCTTTGATATCGTCGAGCTCAGGACCAAGAGGATGGCAAAACTAAGACTGCTGCCAATGTCAGACAATGTCAGACAATGTCAGACAATGTCAGACAATGTCAACTTGTCAAGTATATGTTGTATTTTTTAAGGAATGTCAATGATTAGTTTAAGGAAGTAGGACATAGAGGAAGAGGAAGGTTACTGTGTGTGTGTGTACGTGGTTGACATGCTAGTACTAGTACTATGCTGCTGATGGGCCTGAAAGCTAAGAATCAGTGCCAATGTTACTCTGCCAATCCCGGTTCTGTTAGCACTTACCTCTGAAAAGTCTCCGCAGTTTTGAGATATCAGGGCAAGGTTATTGAGTAGCTTTGCAACATCTGGATGATTTGAGCCATACAGCTGTGTGTGCACAAAATAAATCGCATCAACAGATCAATCCCGCTGCTGAAGAATAAACAGTGCCACTCAAACTGGCCGGTCACATCCAACCACATTGGGTACACTTGAAAACGATAGTACAGTCAACTTCGCTTATAACGACACTCGGCGGGGCATCAAAAAGGTGTCCTTATTCGCGAAGTGTCGTTATACCCGAAGTCTCATTATATGTATTACAGTGGGATGGGACTGTGCTCTGGGCATGGAAATTCTGTCGTTATTCGCGAATTGTCGTTATATCCGTAGTCGTTATTAGCGAAGTTGACTGTAGTCGGCTGGGTTACCCAATTCAAATGAGGGCCCTGAGCTGGCAACTCTCTCGTTTCATATCTGTGTGTGTGTGTGTGTGTGTGTGTGTGTGTGTGTGTGTGTGTGTGTGTGTGTGTGTGTGTGTGTGTGTGTGTGTGTGCATGTGTGCGTGTGTGTGCGGCTCTGTGGGTGGACCGCAATCACATGTGCATCCTCGTTGCATTTGCTCCAATTACAACACAAAAATCGGGATTCAAACCCGCACTGATGCATTGCATGCATTTCCCCCGATACACAACATAGACGTGTACATTCTACCAAGTCGTTCCACGCTATGATCCTGTCGTCAAAGCCCTATTTCAGCACGCGGATGAATGGTGAGCTCTTCAAAATATCTTTGACGGTACTGTACGGGACATGTACGGGATAATGTATGTTCATTGCCCCGCTCATATGACAAATCTTAGTCGGTCACATGATCATACGACGGCCGACCCTCCGGACCACACACGCATACGAAATAAATCGATGTGGACCCGGGCTAACGTCAGACACTACTACTCGCAGCGTCTTAGCTTCAGGAATGATGATTTTCCTTACCCCTTCTCTAATGGTGAGTGCCTGCTTACAAAATGGCTCGGCTTCTGCCCACATTCCACGTTTTCCATACAAGACAGATAGATTGTTCAGGGCTGAGGCTACCTAGGAACACCAAACACAGACCAAATCATACAACCAGGGTCAGCCAGGGTCAGCCAGGGTCAGCCAGGGTCAGCCAGGGTCAGCCAGGGTCAGCCAGGGTCAGCCAGGGTCAGCCAGGGTCAGCCAGAGCAGCTCTAAACAATACTCTAAACAATACTGGCTATGCACCGAAGTGCAGAAGTGCAGAAGTGCAGAAAGGCATACAGAAGAAATACAGGTGACGGTATGTCATTTTGCTGAGCGATCACCAGAATGCAACCCCCACTCTCACCTTCACCTCAATGTGGTCCAGGGCCTTCCCAGAGAGTAGAATATGGATAATCTTGGAGCTGAGCAGGGTGGCCATGACCGTCCCAGCCCCACTGGTGGCCGGCCTAACCATGCAGTTGAGAACTACTTACGGATGGGTGGTTCTCTCCAAGACAGTGCTCCTTGATCTTGACGGCATTGTGCAGAAGACTGCATGCCTCCTCCAACTTGCCTTGGTCACTGTGCCGTAAGATAAAGAAGCAGCCGCAGCAGTAGCCACAGCAACAGTGACAGCAGCAGCCACAGCAGCAGCAGCAGCCACAGCAGCAGCAGTAGCCACAGCAACAGTGACAGCAGCAGCGCCACCATCAGCAGCAGCACCATCAGCAGCAGCAGCACCAGCAGCAGCAGCAGCAGCAGCAGCACCAGCAGCAGCAGCAGCAGCACCAGCAGCAGCAGCACCAGCACCAGCATCAGCAGCAGGTTGCAGTTGTACACATGAAAGGGAGATCACCACCACAGTGACCTTAATAACACAGTGACACATTTAGCTGGCACATACCTATACATGGTGACACATTTAGCTGGCACATACCAGTATACATGGTGACACATTTAGCTGGCACATACCAGTATACATGGTGACACAGTATGAATCGGCCCTTCACCACCATGCCATGCCATGCCATGGCATGGCATGGCTAACCAAGGGACACATTTAACTGGCACATACCTATACATGGTGACACAGTATGAATCGGCCCTTCACCTTCGCCATGCCATGCCATGCCATGCCATGCCATGCCATGGGATATTGTCCGACATTTTAAAACACAGCCTGACTCAGCGAGTATAATCAGTTGTAGCAACAGATATTGGAATGACTTGACTCACCGATACAATAAGGCAAGCATGTTCATTAGCGTGGCAACCTCAGTATGATAGAAGCCATTAGTGCGCTCTGTGTCCTCAAGTGCTTGCTTGCAAAGCGGCACAGCCACATCAAATCTACCCTGCTGAGAGTACTGGCTGATGAGGATATGCAGCGTGCGCAGCCGCTGAGGAATGTCCTCACCGATTGTCCCACTCTGGTTGGATACTTGCATTGACACCGGTTGCTTACCACCTTCGCTTCCTGTCGGCGTGCTTTCTCTACAATCTGTAGCCAAGGCACACATGCATTACAATTATGGAAGGCTGCCAGCAAGGTGTCAAATACGTGTAAACTTTGTACGAGTCAATACTGACACACATATGCCACTCATTTCATTGATAGCTCTGGTCATGCATTCTTTTTTCTAAATTTACACGATGAGTCTTGGTTGCACAGATGAGAAGAGGAATTTACCTGGTGCATCGTTGGACTTCTGCTTTCCCCAAGATCTTGGTGAGTGATTGTCAGACTTTTCTGACGTACGTCCTGCTTCAGGCGGCTGTGACGGTGACATAAAAGTAATAACAACCATTTTAAAATTGCAACCAACAGTACATTGTACAACAGTACAATGTACATTGTACTGTTGTACAATGTACATTGTACATTGTACTGTTGTACAATGTACATTGTACAACAGTACAATGTACAACAGTACAATGTACATTGTACTGTTGTACAATGTACATTGTACTGTTGTACAATGTACATTGTACAACAGTACAATGTACATTGTACATTGTACTGTTGTACATTGTACATTGTACCAGCTGAATCAACATACCAGGAATGGCTTTATTCAATTCTGAACAAACACCTGAGCAAAATTTGGTGATGGGCAAAGAAAGATTGTCTAGCGAAGGGGGAAAAAGACGAACAATAATGAAAGGAAAAAGGACCAAGGAACTACAAGTTACGCTATAATGTCCACTAACACCACCAGTTACTAAACAATCAGCTCATGCAATAACATTGCACGGCACTGACCGACGGTACTGACGTTCTACAACTACATAACTGGCTATCAGCTCTAGCACGTCTTGGATGCGCACTCAAACAGCCTTCCAACTTGGAATGTTCTAAGTTATAATTATGCTAACATAGGAGGGAAAGGTGAGCGCAACCAAGACAAGCACGAGCTGAAAGTCTCAGCTGTGAAGGACGTTGGCGGGTATACATACATGTCAATGGCGATACTGGCAAGACCATTGGAAACGGTCAAACCACGATTCAAGGACGCAAAGCAACATTCCACACGTGTGTGGCTCAAAGATGCGAAGATCAATTAAAGGGGGGGGGGGGAAGCTATGCGACCAAGAATCATGCAAAGCCGAACGTCTCAGTAAAACAGCACTGTACTTCGACTATGACAATTTAGATGGACAATAAGCAGCAGTAACAAGCAGCAGTTTCACATGACGATCGTTTTGCGGTATAGATAAGGATGGCTCATCAGGTGTGCAAGAACGGACTCGGATGGAGACCTCCTATGTTATCATATAACTTAGAACATTCCAAGTTAGAAGGCTGTTGGAGTGCGCATCCAAGACGTGCTAGAGCTGATAGCCAGTTAGTTGTAGAACATCAGTACCGTCGGTCAGTGTGGTGCAATGTTATTGCATGAGCTGATCGTTTAGTAACTGGTGGTGTTAGTGGACATTATAGCGGAAGGCCACCTAGAATTAATTCGTTGTTTCGGGTCACTTCACTCATCCGTACCAGGGTCGGTCGGTCGGGTTTATTTTTTATTTTATTTTATTTTTTATTTTGGTTATTGCCATGTATATGATTGTGCATACATGTACAATTGTGCATATCGAATAGCTTTTGTCCATCAAGCCAGTCGATCAAATCATGACTGTAGACGATCCAGCACAGTCATTGTCCCATCAGACCCAGGTCCCCTCCAGGACCAGACCTTGGCCTCGGTGGAAAACGAGTCTGAGGAGCAGTTCTCACCTTGAAACGTCTGTCAAAGAGCGACGCGGTGGCGGAGCTGATGCTGTTTCAGGACCGATTGCGGATCGGAAGACAACATCGTCATTCGTCACCAAGCGCTTCGTCCTGTTATTTTATTTGGCTGCTTCTGAGGTCGATGGCTGGACTGCTATTATTAGGCGCGTGTGTACATATGTACGTACATAATCTAGTCATGTACATTTGCATGCACTATAAAAAAAAATTGCGGTCGGGTGAAAAAAGACGGTCGGTCGGGTGACCCGAAACAACGAATTAATTCTGGGTGGCCTAACTTGTAGTTCCTAGGTCCTTTTTTCTTTCTATAAATTTATCCTTGGCTCTCCATCCGAGTCCGATAATGAAAGGAAACAACGATAGTATGGAATAGCAGGGGTATCACTGCAAAGCACTGGAAGAGCAAGGGTATCACCAAGAGTACATAACCCCCCCCCCCCCCCCCCCCAGAGTGCGCACGCCTGATCCAGCTCTGCATACGGTTTTGGTCTAGCGCAGTTGGATATTCTGATGTCATGCGTACACTCCACACCAGTGCAAGGCCGGTCTCGATGCAGGGCACCGTTTGTTTTTGATCCGACAGACCCCGCGACTCACCGGGTCCCCCTCAGACATGTACGGTATTATGACGCAAAGATCCGATTACACTCGACCAAGCACTGGAAGAGCAGGGGTATCACTACAAAGCACTGGAAGAGCAGGGGTATCACTACAAAGCACTGGAAGAGCAGGGGTATCATTACAAAGCACTGGAAGAGCAGGGGTATCACTACAAAGCACTGGAAGAGCAGGGGTATCACTACAAAGTACTGGAAGAGCAGGGGTATCACTACAAAGCACTGGAAGAGCAGGGGTATCACTACAAAGCACTGGAAGAGCAGGGGTATCACTACAAAGCACTGGAAGAGCAGGGATATCACTACAAAGCACTGGAAGAGGAGGGGTATCACTACAAAGCACTGGAAGAGCAGGGGTATCACTACAAAGCACTGGAAGAGCAGGGCTATCACTACAAAGCACTGGAAGAGCAGGGGTATCACTACAAAGCACTGGAAGAGCAGGGGTATCACTACAAAGCACTGGAAGAGCAGGGCTATCACTACAAAGTACTGGAAGAGCAGGGGTATCACTACAAAGCACTGGAAGAGCAGGGGTATCACTACAAAGCACTGCATGGTATCTAAGTATAGGTTATGTTCAGAACTATTGACACGAGATGTGTAAACTTTACATGTAGCACACCTGCAGTCCATTCATAAAAAGATGAGCTCTGGTGAGCTCCCGTATTAGCCTACTTCAGTACTATTTGGCGGTGATTTTATTGTACATGGTTTAATTTGAAAGTTTTTTTGAAGTTCCCAAAAGTACCTCAACTTTGCTGTGTTTCGAACCGCACAATGTACCATTGCAAGTGGAGTACATGGTTCTCCCAATTCCGTGCTTTTGGGACAAAGCCTGGCCGAAATCCTATTCTTGTTACAGCTTCCTTTTTGGAGAAATAGACGTCAGAAAAATAATTCGAAAAGCATTCCATGGGGATTGTAAATAAATCTTTAAAAAGATCAGTTTGACCCATTTATGAACAAAAGCAAGAAGGTCATCTTTGTACGAATGGACTGCAATTCACAGTAGTATTCAGGCGTTTCCAAACTTCACTAACCTCCGTGTATTCATATGCTCGGGTTGAATCCATGAACAATAGTTGGGCTTTTTCCTCTTCCAATTGTGCAATCTTGACTTCGCTGCCGTTCAGTCGCTGCTGAGTGACAGACAATTCTGTTCGTAACCAATCATTCTCATCGCAAAGTCTGTCGACCTGCGCCTCCAGCTTCACTGCTTTCTCTTCAACCTGTTGCAGATGAGCTGCAAGAAGGACTACAACCTACACACAACACCAGCAAGCATCAAACTCAGCACTCAGCATTGTGTTCATAGACGTAGAGGTACGGTAGCTGAGAAACAGCAAACCTACTTGCTGTGGCCTAAATATTAAAATACAAAGATACAAATAATTAGTCCCAGCTTCAGACCAAAATTGCAGCATGATGCCGCTTTCAGGGAGCCAGTCCACATTCAAGTACTAGTAGATTTCAACCAAATCAACTCGCATAAGGCAAGCAGTACACCCAAGTGTGTGCACAAGCTCCTTGGGGACGCCAACCTGCTCTTCAGCATACCTCACACAGTGGCGTAGGAAGCGGGGGGGGGGGGGGGGGCAAGGGGGCGCCAGCCCCCCCCCCCCCTCCCCGACTTTTTGGCAGATGTGGGGCTGAAACTCGATGAACATGTTTGTACGCGCAAGTGAGAAGCATGCAGCTCAACCAGTAGCCCTGCCCTCAAATCGATCGTAGGCAGAGCTGCCCCTGCAATGGGTTCAGTCATGTACATGTACTTGACAGGCCCAAGAAGTCTCAACTGTGTGAGATCTAACGAAATGAGAGCATGAAGCACGGTCAACAGATCATCCCTTGGTCATTTTTGCATCGTAAAAGAAGCGTTGTTTTTCGTGGGCAGTTTCCTTCGAAATCAGAAAAGCAGGAGTACTTTGCTTCAGTCAGTCAGTACTTCTCATTGTTATACCACGTCACAGTTCTGAAGAAAACCACTTTCCAGAAGAAATTTTCGAGACTTACTGTTTGTACAGTAATTCTCGGAGAGCAAAGATTGCAAGGTATGACCACCGAAGTCGTGGGCGGTGGCCAGAAGTTTCACATTTTCATGGAGAAACTGAGCCCGAGGCTTGCAGCCGGCCATCATTCAATAACTTCCAAAAGATTTCACCAGGGTCACATTGGTCATCAACATCATCATGGACAATCCGTTATCAGCAGAACATACTGATAATAGTCGAAGAGTTCTTATTACTGTTTGCAATAGCTAAAATTGGGGAGTTCTTGAACATAAGCGTATCTCTCTGCCTTTGCCAGTAAGGTTTGCTGTATGATCGCCTCTCTGTCACCATAGCGGATGTACCGGTATTCGCTTTCAGGTAAAATTTCCTTTGGACTTAGTCCGGGCTGTCAGTCAGAGCTACTTATCCGGTAGTCGTCGCTGTGCGCAATCTCTCGCAACCTCTCGCAACCTCTCGCAACCTCTCGCAACCTCTCGCAACCTCTCGCAACCTCTCGCAACCTCTCGCAACCTCTCGCAACCTCTCGCAACCTCTCGCAACCTCTCGCAACCTCTCGCAACCTCTCGCAATCTCTCGCAATCTCTCGCAATCTCTCGCAATCTCTCGCAATCTCTCGCAATCTCTCGCAATCTCTCGCAATCTCTCGCAATCTCTCGCAATCTCTCGTATTCAACATACATGTACATGCACAGCGCCGCTTTCATTATTCTTCACGGTCCAGCGGATTCGAGTACTAGTACTCGGTTTTCACGATTGCTCCAAACATCTGTACATGTCCAGAGCTCGTATATCATGATGTACGTAGAGTGAAATACTTGAACAAATGCAACTCTTTGTGGAAGGAATACCGGTATACCGGTACATGTACAACATGTTGTTAGTTCACTGTTTGACAGCATGAAACAAGGTGAGGACACTGTGTTCGGAAACAGTGACCTTACTACAACCATCCACGGTTGGTAGAGCCCCGGTCCGTTGGGACCATCTGAACCTTATGGGTGTTGAACCAGGTTCTGACCCTCATTATGCTAGGGGAGTTTTAGACTTCTCCTAACGTCAGTCGTGTATTCTTTGATCGCTCCTGGATGTCGTCCTGGTAGTCATGTAGCTACTTTAACCTGAACTGTTTTTCTTAAATCTTTTTTCTTCCAACTTCTGCCCATGGCGTTCCTCTCTCAGCTCGTCAGCTGTCAACAGTCACTGTCACCACCATGACATGGCTGCGTTGGGACATCACCAACCTTGTCTACAGAGAGCACCTTCTCACGACAGTGAGGAGAAGTCTAAAACTCCCCTGGCATAATGAGGGTCAGAACCGGGTTCAATACCCATATGGTTCAGATGGTCCCAACGGACCGGGGCTCTACCAACCGTGGATGGTTGTAGTAAGGTCACTGTTTCCGAACACAGTGTCCTCCACCTTGTTTCATGCTGTCAAACCAACAACATGTGTGAACTATAACAACTGGTTTATCCGCTAATACTAGTATTGTACTAGTATTGGGTTATATAATACCATGTACAACATGTGTACACCAATATACGCCCCCCCCCCCCCAAACCAAACCAAAACATCTTCCTACGCCACTGATACAAGTCATGTACAGTAACAGGTTCCAATAGGACCAAGTGTACATCACTTTGCTTTTTAATAGCCATGTACTAGGACCACACTCTGCCGATGTGCATGTGTGTGTGTCTGTGTGTTCTTCTGCATCGTTTGCAATTGCGGTCGGCGTTTCAGTAGACCACAGGACCTATCCCGACAGCGCCCCTGCTGTTCCGAACCTGCTCAACCCCCATGGGGTCCGCATAGCCAGAATATGGCAGCACGTCCAAGGTCCAAGGTGTGTGTGTGTGTGTGTGTGTGTGTATGTGTGTGTAAAATTAGTGGCGGTCAATTCATCAGCCTTGCAAGCTGTTGAATGGTGTAATCCCAGCACAAGTTGCTATGTCTAAACATAGCCGTTCGCTATCATCGCTCCTGCGATGGGCAGGTCTGAGGTCTGAGGTGTGTGTGTGTGTGTGTATGTGTGCATGTGTGTGTGCTTCGTTGGCTGGGTCACGTCGGCAGGATGGACGACTCGCGCGCACCGAAGCAATTGCTGTTCGGCGAGCTGCCTGCCCCCCGTCCTCGTCATGGCCCGAAGAAGAGGTGGCGAGATGTGGTGTCGACTGACCTGGCGGACCTCGGCGTGACCACCTGGCTTGAGAGTTGCCAAGATCGTCCCGGCTGGAGACGAGTTGCGAGTAGCACTCCACCGCCATGGCCCGCTCCTGATCCTCTTCTATGTGTCTGTGGACGCCCGTTTCGTCGACCAGGAGACCTGAAACGACATGCCAAGTTCTGCGCTCGTGTTCTCACTTGAACTTTCCGACATTCGCTATCATTGCGTACGCAATGGGCAAGATCAAGGTCAAGGTCAAGGTGTGTGTGTGTGTGTGTGTGTGTGTGTGTGTGTGTGTGTGTGTGTGTGTGTGTGTGTGTGTGTGTGTGCATGTGTGTATGAATGGTGCATGAGTGCGGAGGAGTTGCAAACCCCCGCTCAGAGCTTAGCTCGCAGCATGCACCAGCCGCTCGGAGGTTCGTGCTGTCTCTGGGAACCTGGAATGTGAGGACTCTTGTTGAGTCCGACGGCGACGTGAATACGGCTTCAAAATTTCAAAAAAAATCAAAACATTTGTTGCGGGAGGAGAAGAAAATTGACCTGGTTTGTCGGCAGCTTGGACGTTTCGGAGTGGATATCGCAGGTCTGCAGGAGACCCTTTGGTTCGGCACGGCTCAGTACAGCGTTGGCGACTCTCTCGTGTTGGCGAGTGGACGCCCTACTCCAACGGCGGATGACTCTGGACGTCGTGGTGAAGGTGTGGCGATAGTGCCGCGCGGAAAGTGCAAAGACGCCTTTGTCAGCGGCGGTTCGGAATGGAAAGGACACAGCTCGCGACTTGTCTCCGCGAAGGTAAAGTTCGAATGTGGTCGTAATCGTTCAGTATCTTGCATTCATATCGCTGTTGCGTATGCACCAACATTCAGTAGATCACGTGAGGAGAAAGCTGCGTTCTATGAAAGTTTGCAGTCCTTCCTTGATAGTGTACCCAGGAGTGACCAGTATGTCATACTCGGCGATTTCAATGCTCGTGTTGGTGTTGGTACTGCTGGAGACGAGTGGAGCCGCGTAAGGGGTACACATGGACATGGCGTCATGAATTCTGCTGGAGAGGATTTACTAAACTTCCTGGCCAGAAACAGTGCGCTCATCTGCAACACCTGGTTCAAGAAGAAGGACATCCACAAGCACACGTGGCACCATCCCAGATATGGGCAGCCTCATTGTATCGACTACTGCATTATTCCAGAGTCATGTCAGCGTCAATGTCTGGATTGTCAAGTTCTCCGCTCTGCGGAGTGTGACACCGACCATAAGTTCCTTGCCATGAGATACCGCTTGGCGGCGGTGCCCAGTTTCCGCAGGCAAAGTAAACCAGCCAACAAACCCATCGCTTCCGCAGTCCTAACGGCTCCCTCCAATGATGATGTGCGAGCAAAATATTCCACTAGTCTTGATGCTGCCTTGGTTCAGAACTGGCCGGATGAGCTATCTGTGGACGGATGCTGGGCTGCGTTGAAAACTACGGTGGCGGACGTCGCTCAGAAATGCCTTGGCAGAGAGCGGCGCAAACAACCAGACTGGTTCCTGGACAATCGACCGAAGATTGAGGCTGCCCTCCGTGAGCGAGACGATTGCTACCGAGCCTGTATGTCGACCAACAGGGCAAGTGATCAGAAGCTGTATAAGAAGGCCCGAAGTTCAGCTCGCCGTATCGTTCGTCAAGCAAAGCAGGACTGGCTGAGAAAGCAGGCTCGGGACTGCGAACGCTTTAGTCTAACATCTAAGGGAGGCTGGGAGTGCATCAAGAGGATCCAGACTGCACTTGATGGATTGCAGCCCCGCAAGACAGCTGCTATCAAGAATGCGCAGGGTGTTGTGTGCGAGACACCAGAGGCAACAGGTACGCGATGGCGGGAGCATTTTGACGGTGTCCTAAACGTGATCAGTGATTTTGTCCCAGATGCCATTGATTCCATTGGGCAGCTACCGATTCGGCTTGACCTTGAGAATGCCCCAGCCTGCAGCGAGATACACCGTGCTATGTGAGCTCTTCAAAATGGCAAAGCATGTGGCCGATCAGAGATAACAGCGGAGATGCTCAAGTGCGGCTCTGAACTGGTGCCTAGGTTGGAGATGTTGTTGGCTGAAGTTTGGCGGACGGAAAGGGTTCCTCAGGATTGGGCAGACGCCATCTTAATCCCAATTCCCAAGAAAGGTGATCTTAGTGACTGTGGTAACTGGCGAGGCATCGCGCTTCTAGACGTGGTCGGCAAGCTGGTGGCAAGAATAATAGCGGATCGCCTGCAGCTGGTTGGAGAGGAATACCTGCCTGACTCCCAGTGTGGTTTTCGCCGTGGTAGGGGATGCTCAGACATGGTGTTCTCAGTACGCCAGGTTGCCGAGAAATTGCATGAGCATTCATCAAAGGGCTTTGCGGTGTTCATCGACTTGCGCAAAGCATACGATTCAGTACCTAGAGCAGCCATGTGGAGGGTTCTCTCCAGGCTCGCCGTGCCGGATAAGCTGATCTCCATCATTCGGTCGTTCCATGAAGGCATGTCTGCATCCATTCGTCTCGGCGCAGATCTGCTCGACCCTTTCCCGGTGGGAAATGGCCTACGTCAGGGATGCACTATGGCCCCGATCCTGTTCAACTTATTCATGGGTGCGGTTGTGGAAAAGTGGCATGCTACCATCGCCAATGACGAGGATATCGGTATCCAGGTGTCGCAGTTTCGCAGAGACTGCTTGTTCAATACGCGTCTCAGAGAGTGTCGCAGGGTGACTATCACGGAGTGTCAGTTTGCGGACGATTCGTCACTGTTCGCCAAAACCTACGGCGGTGCTGAAAGGGCCTTGGCCACGTTTCGACAGGTTGCAGCATCTTTTGGCCTGTCAGTCAATCTGGGCAAAACTAAGTTCATGCCTATGGGCGTTGGTGTGGTGGCGTCGGATATGTTGCCTTTGGGTGGAACCGTCGAATGCGTGGACAGCTTTCGCTATCTTGGCTGCCAGATCACTCCTGATGCTAGGAGTAGCTTTGATGTCTCTCGCAGGATCGCCGCGGCTTCGGGTGCATTTGGCGCATTGAAGAAAGCTGTGTTTGCGAACTCGGAGTTTCCTATCGGTCTCAAGCGTGTTGTGTACGGAGTCACTGTGTTGGCAGTACTCCTCTATGGTGCTGAGAACTGGACACCGAGGCAACGGGATCTCCAGCGTCTGGAGTCGTTTCACCTGCGATCTATACGCATGGTCCTGGGCATCAGTCGGGCGCGCCAGATGGACGAGCACGTGACAACCCTTCAGGTACGGCAGTGGTGGGGTGACATGGAGCAGGTCTCTGACAAGGTCCGGCGCCGTCGTCTCCAATGGCTGGGCCACCTGGCTCGCATGGATGACCGTATTCCCCGCCAATTGCTCTTTGGTGCCTTGCCGTCTAAACGACCTCCACATGGCCCCCGGAAGAGGTGGAAAGACCCAATCAAACATGACCTGACGGCGGTGTCCATTGGCATGAATGAGTGGCTTGAAACAGCAGATGATAGGTCTGAGTGGAGAACCAGGTGTCAGGATGGAGTCTACAGTGTGGTATGCTCTCGTGTACAACCTGCCGTGAAACCACTCCTGTGTATGGTCTGCACACGCCGTTTCAGCCGTCCTCAAGACATCGCTAGACATAGTTGCACCTCCCGTCGCTCCGCAAAGGCAAAAAACAAACAGTGAAACAGCCGTTCACGTCCCGCCGGACTCGCAGGGCCTCATGCCGCGTCCCGGACACAGCACTCCTCCGAGTCGCCCCGTTTGGGGACACATAGCCAATCGTGGCAGTGGGCGAAGGAAGGAAGGAAGGAGGTGCATGGGTGTATATAGATGTGTGCATGCGTGTGTGCGAGTTGAAAGGATCATAGATGTGGGTGAGGTTGTTGTGAGTAATCAAACATCCCTAACACAAGGTGACATTGAAAGGTGGATCTGAGTGGTGTCAGAAGTACCAAGCAATACATCCTGCTCAGTGTCTGCTCTAGGATTGTAGGACAACCGGGTACACATGTACCTGGCGCAACCACTTCAACCGGGTCGGAGCCGGGTACACATGTACCTGGCGCTGTCTCACCAGCCGAGTCATATGCTTTAACTGGTTGGTTGGTTTATTTTAATTCGGACAATAAACGGGAACTAGGCCCAATGATATAAAGGCGAATGGATAAGCCGCATTTAGAAAAGAGAGGACAGGAATTAGAAAATTACGAAAGAAGAAGAAGTATCTGACACATACAAGCCATGTAGTCAGTCCTTTCAAAGTTCGAAAGTGTAAAGTACCAACTGGGTCACAGGTGACCCGGTACTATATTTTCAACCGGGTCCAAGCGCCGCCCAACCGGGTGGATTACCCGGCTCACCCGGCGCTGGAGCAGACACTGCTGCTCAATAATCAGTATGGGAAGTAATCTGCAAATTCAGTCATTGTGTGCATTTGCTCAGCTGCATTACATGGCCCAACACATGTGCACCGTGGAATGCCTGTTCTCCAGGAAACTAGCAGCCGCTGAGCGTAGAGCAGCTAAAATTCGTCACATTGAAACGGGACCTTGGATCTCTGGGGCACATGTGCGTGCGTGTGCGGCGGTTCCAGTTTGGTGGTTGGAATTACATCACGCATTCAATTTATGAGTATGGGAGGACTTCGCTTCATTGATTTCGAGCACCCCCCCCCCCCCCCCCCACACACACACACACCTCCTTCCCCTTCAAGTTTGACACTGGAGCATTATGTGTCAGTTTTTAAATAAGAGAAGAGTGAAATGCACTGACTGTAATCTCTGTAGTGCACGTCCTGTAAGTAATCATGGCCTTGTGCAGTTGTGGTATTAATTAGAGGAATTGAAAGTCAACATGTCACCTGACCAGGATCGCACATGTGTCACAGAGCTGCACGTAGCAACAGTGAAATGACTATGTACGTATCGCGCTACCCCCGCCCCCACACTGCCCTGGCAATCTTCCTTCCCATCGCCATCCTGAGCATGGCTAGAAGGAGCGGAAGAATAACCAGTTTCACGTATGTCCACGTGGATTTTCTGGTAAATACAGCAACCTCCGTACCTGTGTCTCGTCCAGATGCAGCACGATCTTCTCCAGCGACTTTCGCAGGACAGTTATCTTCGCTTGTTGAGCAGCAGCACCTGCGCCATCGGCGTTGTTTTCCCCTTCTGCAGCTGAATCGGCGTCCTTTCCACACGTGGCCAGCGCCATGAGCCGTTCGTGTTCGTTGCGAATGGCTTCTAGCGAGTTGATGATACTGCTGGCATCGTTCGCCACAGCGCGGAGAGCCTCGAATTTCTTCTCCCGGCTAGAGGGAGAAAGGGAGTTAGCTTCGTCCATGCTACAGCAGCAGCACCAGAACGTTGCTCCTACTTGTAGCCCTAGACCTAATCCTATCGAGACAAACGACCATAGGCATAAAAAAGAAACAAGATTATAATTTTTACAAAGATCAAGACGGGGCCCTGGCCGGCCCTACTACTGCCATGGCCTCGCTATAACGACCCCCGCTATAACATAAAAACCTCACTATAACGTACAAAGTGCAAATAATTAATGTCCCTGCCGAAACAGCATCACTTCCGTAGAAAAATTTCCCGCGTATAACAGTCATAATCCGCTATAGCGTAATTTTCGCTATAACACACTCTTCCGCAGTATGGTGTTAAAATTTAATGTAGTTTGTACTGTACCAAACTAAAGTTTTTTTCTGAACGTTCTGGGTGACAGACCTCCACCAAAAACGAAATTTAGTACGTAGATCTACTACTACAGTCGTCCCTCTCTAATCCGGCACTTTATAATCCAGCACCCTCGATAAACCAGCACAATTTTCAGTAGCCAAAATGTCCTCTTCATGCACATTGCAGCAGTAAATCAGATTTGTTAATCCAGCACCCTCCCTAATCCAGCAGATTTTCGTGGCACAAATGGTGCCGGATTATAGAGGGACCACTGTACTAGTAAAACAAGCCTGCTATGCTGCAGTGCTGGACCAGTGCTGCGCTGGTGGAGTGATCTATACTAAGGGCCTGGTCAGACTGCGGCAAAATCGAAAATTAATAATCCTAGGATTATAATCCGAATCTCCATAGTAACTTGCCGCCAGAGCGGCAAAAGCGAGAGTTGACGCTCCAAAAAAAAAGCAAGAACGGACCACGCTTTTCCGCTCCAAACAGGATTTGACGCTGATACGCCATTGACGCTGATAATCACTGATTTTTTCATCTCGATATCGAGGAGGCCACGGACAACAACAAAACTCATACGGATGGTTGCAAGGATTGCACTGAAGGTGTTGGTGATCCCCAAGGTGAAGGAATTTGACGTCGTTCGTGGAGATTACCACTTGACGCTCGAAATGAAGTTTGAATTTTCACTCTCCCCACATGTGTAGTGTGATCGCGATTCAAATTCTGGACGCTGTTCTGTTTTCGTCAGGCAACCAAAATTTGCCGCAGTCTGACCAGGCCCTAACGAAAGATTTTGTGAACGAAAATTTGTACTTATAGTTATTCAGACAGTCTGTATAAGTATGAACTCGGATGGAGAGCGAAGGATTAATTATTTTTTAAATATAAAAAGTAAAAAGGACATTTATAGCATGTAACGTAATAGTTCCTTGGTCCTTTTTACATTATTATACTTGATATAATCCAAAACTGGTAAACCATACGAAGTAGTGGTTGCGACTTCGGCGATGATTTGTAAGAAAGGTTTGCTCCCCACACCGGAGCTCGCGCTATTCCGCCGACTTTACTTGACACTTGACTGACTCACGACTGCCATCCAGAGCACACGAGAAGTCCATCGAACCTTCGACTCGGCAAACCTGCAAGAAAGCACCACTCCCTGCTCAATACACAGTGTTTCGGGGAATTCACCCCTCATCAGTTGAGCTTGAGTAGGCTGAGGAAGATTGTGCCTGAAGAGCACCACTTATATAGTGCTCTCCAGGCACAAACATCACCAGGGATACAAACTTACAGAGACGCTCCGCTTCCAGCGCGATAAACACCTCGTGAACACCAGATAGCAGCGTGAGTCAGTGTCGCTCCTGGACGGTGAGACAGACGTCGACCCTCGGTCATTCGCAACGCTGTCACCTCCAAAACAACTAGTCGCAAGCCCGCGCTGGGCACAACAGTACGAAGTAGTGGTTGCGACTTCGGCGATGATTTGTAAGAAAGGTTTGCTCCCCACACCGGAGCTCGCGCTATTCCGCCGACTTTACTTGACACTTGACTGACTCACGACTGCCATCCAGAGCACACGAGAAGTCCATCGAACCTTCGACTCGGCAAACCTGCAAGAAAGCACCACTCCCTGCTCAATACACAGTGTTTCGGGGAATTCACCCCTCATCAGTTGAGCTTGAGTAGGCTGAGGAAGATTGTGCCTGAAGAGCACCACTTATATAGTGCTCTCCAGGCACAAACATCACCAGGGATACAAACTTACAGAGACGCGTCGAAGGTTCGATGGACTTCTCGTGTGCTCTGGATGGCAGTCGTGAGTCAGTCAAGTGTCTGGTAAACCAGTATTAGATAAACCTTGTTGTAGTTCACGCTAGATTTACAGCATGAAACAAGGTGGAGCCACTGGAGGACACTGTGTTCGAAAACAGTGACCTTACAAGTAACTACAACCTTCCGCAGGGACCGGGGCTCTGCCAACCGTGGATGGTTGTAGTAAGGTCACTGTTTTCGAACACAGTGTCCTCCACCTTGCCCAGTGTTTCATGCTACTGTCAATCTAACAATAGATTATTATACTTGTCACAAACAGACTCAGTAGTTTTAGTTTTACGACTCCCTCACTCCCTCACTCCCTCACTGCCTCACTGCCTCAGTCCCTCTGCTTGAGTTGAGTCTCAAGAAGCTGCTTGAGTTGAGTCTCAAGAAGCTCTCAACACTATCGACGATATAATAATTATCAGTATCAGCGGGCCAGCGGCACGAATCCCAGTCTGTAGACGTGTAGTGGAGTGACTAGTATAGTACTTCTACTACTTACTAGTACTACACACGCCACGGTACGTAGTGAGTCGTAGTGTAGCTACCTAGCCTATGCCGCATGCGCTGCCACTATGCAGCTAGGCTACACTACAGTTTGTAGAGAGCAGAGAGTAGTAAAATACGTATCTTGACTGAGTACGAGGTCAATATGGGAAATAAAAGTCCAGGTCTTTTATTTCCTATTTATGCTATACTGACCAAGTACGAAGTCAATAAGATTTATCACGACTAGCCAAAGCCTGTGTTCAATCGCTAAAAAGTTTCCTTTTCATGTATATAATCTTCTCCTTCTTTTCACCATTAGTCCATCGGCCAAATCTCAGAAAGGGCCTCTTTCGGCGAAGGTGATGCACTGAAGCTCCAACTAAACGCCCTTTGGCACACTAGCTCATGAGACCCCATAGAATACGAATCCGTTTGTTGGACGTTGCCAATCCAGTCCAGGATAGTCGAACTGGGTCGAATACCACGGAGCATCAGCAAATCGAATTTTCGATTTGATTATTCGAATGGCAAAAAGAAAATCAGAGAGAAAATTCGAATGAAAAAGAGGTTCAGCATGTAGCGCAGTTCAGTATTTTTAGCTACATGCGCAAGAATGAGTACTCGTAGTGCGCCGTGTACCAGAGCACGCGCGGAGCATTCGAAAAGTATTCGAAAAGTATTTTCTGTTTGCGGGCATTTTTCAGTCGAACAAAGCCCTAGTTTCGACTGATTGAGTGCTTTTCGTGACGATTCTCGAATTTCACTCGAATATTCGATTTGCTGATGCTCCGTACCTTCTTCCGATTTTCGTAATTTCGTCCACCATTACATCTTTCTCATCGACTTTTTTTCGCTTGGCGAATGTTCTTGAGCCGCTGAGCAGAATCTACGCACGCTCGAACACTTGAAATGCCTGCATGTTGACGGTTCGCAAGATTCTAGCGAGCTTGGTGGAAATCTATTATTTATTTTGACATTTTTGGGGGAATCTGAATTAGAACGGTAGAAGCTCATTCGGAGAAGACGGCGTGTCGCCGCTGTCGGATTGTCGCTACTGTGTTTCAGACGTATTTGCTTGAACGTGCTATTGAGGATGGACAGAAGATGAAGTGACGGCTTTCTTGAACACGGACGTTTTGTCTACATTGTAGCTGAAACATCTCATCTGGCGTCTCGAACGCAATTATTATGAGTTGTGAGTGCCAGCTGAGCTGAACACAAACTGGACACCATTCGTCAGCTGGGAATTTGCATCGAAGCTCTTGATAGCCACGATAAGCATAATTATACAGAGGTAACCTTGTTTGACTCAATACGCATGCAGGTGATACCACTAGTGGCACTACAATGTAAATGGTGCAAAATTGATGCAACAGCGAATATGTACTTCGTACAATCACGAACAATTGTAAGGCAAGTGTTCATGCCTGTCATAGAAGAATTTCAGCCCGGAAGTATTGTTGTCATGGTCATAAATAATACAGGACTTGAGTTGGCTCTGGACATAAACACACTTGTGGTGAATACGGTCATTATTGCGAGAAAAATATTTAGCCATTGTATTAACACCTGATGCCGCACTACAAGCAATATTTCATGTACAAGTATGTGAGACTCAATTGCATCCACAAGGCCGTAAATGCATGTAAGCACACAATGCTGTACAGTATAAGTAGTAGTCGACATGTGGTGCCTTCCTGCTGCACATGCGGCAAGTTGGCAACGACACATGACCTATCTGCACCGCACAGCGTGAGCTTAGAAAGGAATATTGCACACATAGTGCTATTTGTGTTCCGATATCATTAAGCCGGTATACATGTACTAGTATCCTTATGCATGTACCTGGTCACTCGCTAGGCGATGCCGACTGTACTAATCTTATCCATATTACCCGATAGGCTATAGCACACTGCGTCAGATCACTATGCAACAAAACAAGAGCTTTGGAGCGAATATACACTGAAGCAAAGTAGGTTTCAACGGTACAGCACTAGTCACAATGAGGGGAGTTACGAGGATGGTTAGGCCGTGACACATAGATGATGATTGTTAATGATTCATGCACGGTGGAAAATTACCACCAATGGCGATGATATTGCTTTCACAACAATGACATCAGTAGGAGCAGTGACACAACCTTACTGCTCCAAGTAGGATTTACAAGCGAGTGAAGGGAGAGCAGACTGGTCTAATAGCAGACCGGGTCTAAGCAAGGAAGTAATCGGCATCAGAGGTGAGCTTGCACATCAGAAAACAGATGATGATCACCAAACACAGAGAAGTTGGCTATGTGTATGTTTGTGTCACTGTGTGTGCATGTGTGTGTGTGTGCATGTGTGTTTGTGTGTATGCGCGCACATCTGTGTGTGAGAGAGAGGCAGACAGACAAATAGCATATGGTGGGAGGGATCAAGGTCTGACCTCAGAGTTAAATGCTGACGGTGTGGAATAGCAACAGTGCGAAATCGGGCAGGGTGGTTAATGGCCCACACTGGAGCCGAGTAGGAGCGCCAGTGGTTGAGGGCTAGCACAGGAGTAGCAGCAGCTCCAGCCTAGGAAGATCAGCTTCTGGATGAAAATCTCCCGGACACAGTAGGTACCAAGCTTCACTAGCAGGTTGCCGGCAGGGGTGCACGGCGAGCACCCGTACATCCCTCAAGCCACCAGATCCGCAGTACTTGGACACGATCCAGGTGCTTACCCGCCAACAATGCTGAGAAGGCACTGGAGCCATACAGAAACTTATGATCGAGCATGACCACAGACTTGAAATACAGGGTCCGGCGTTGAATACTGAGACAGCGACGTCTCCTCCACAGAACACCACTCAGCCCCACCATTGCATTATTTTCGCTTTTCATGATTTTTACAATTGTGTTAGAGCACACAGCACTCGATGCAACATTTACCAGTGACTAAATAACTCCGCGTCTCCGACCATAACTGCAGCGTTCCCGTGAGCCTGTTGGATTTCCGTCAGCCTGTTGAGATTATCTTCATCTCGTCACATGTGAGCCTGTGTGTTTCATCCGTATCGTGGCACAATTACACACACACGACTTCCAACTCAGGCCGGTTCCGTTGCTCGAAGGGTTGGCGGTAAGAATTGCTACGCCGTCTGTGGCTGCATGGGAACTTGGCGAGTCGTCGTCTTTCTCCATAAATCCTGATCGTCACGCGAACAACAGCCACTATTGCCTAAAAACTACGACACAACAGTATCAAGCTCGCCACAGCAGAAGGACACAAATGACGAGCGCTAAGACGGAGAAAGAGAGACAGGGTTAGCGAGAGCTGACTAGTGCAGGTACGCTGTCATCTCCTGAGGTGGTGGGCGAAGCAGCGAAGTGAAACGAAGGAAGATAGAATTTATTAGAAGGCATACGGAGGCACCAAAACCTATTGCCTGTCACATACTAAGTGCCATTTAGGGTTGACAGCTGTCAGCTGACAGCCTCAAAAATTTGAAAATCTGCTCAAAAAACTCTCGATCAGAACTCTGCGCACTCTCAAATGGAGCGCACAGTAAAAAACTCGGCGACGAAGAACGCTTCGTATCGACGCCCTGGACTGAATTCGGCACGTCCAACAAACGGAATAGTGTTCTCTGATATATTCTCTACGTGCTGGGTATGGTCGCGTTTAGTTGGAAGCTCAGTGCATCACCACTTTCGATTTTGAGACTTGGCCGATGGACTACATGGTTGGCTATCACCCACATCTTCCCGTTTTGGCTGCCATCGGAAGCCATAAGATGTTGAATAAATAAATAAAAAGAAGTCAAATATAAGCGGTCAATATAGCCCTAAGGAGTGAAATATGCAGGAATATTTGACTGCTTAGGTATAGCAAAAATCTATGAGAGCTAAGGGAGTGATAAAGTATTTTACTACTCCCTGGTATACCATGGTATACCGTATTTTTCGGAATAGTGCGCACCTTTGTATAACGCGCACCCCCAATCTTCATTGGGGGTGCACACTTCAATCTTCATTGAAGTACCGGTACATGCATTTCATATTCGGAGCATAGTGCGCACCTGCAATTTAGGGCCTAAAATAGCACATCTAAAGTGCGCACTATAATTATAATAATATTCGCGGGATCCGCGTTAGCATCACTTGAATGTTCAGAAACACACAAGCTATAGCCTTCGCTTCCGCAGGCCACCACTATGCCTTTTACTGTTTTAGTGCGCACTATAAAGTATAAGTACTCCGGAAAATACGGTACATGGTATACCGGCGGTAGAGAGTCTAGTGACTGTATTACTACCGGTATTAGTGTATAGTAGTCATGGTAGTAGACTACTGTATCTACGCTACATGTACAGTCTACCTGGTCTCCACGTAGTCGTAGATCTACAGACTAATCTTTGCGCATATCCGCACGTGATCGTGGTGATAAGTTAGTGAAAATTATTTTAATAATTTTCAAAATATTTTCTTCTTTTGACAGGGCACTTCCGAAGTCTCAACGAGCAGCTCTCCCTCCCTCTTTCTCTTTCCATTATGGGTAAAATGTCTACAATGTCTACAAGCCGCCTATTCTTGTGTCACACTCTTGAAAAAGAGTAGTAGCTATTTATTGGTCTTACTACTACTAGCTTGTTTCGTTGAAATAACGGTCGTCGGAGAAGTGAGTTTGTAGTAGTAAGCTTTACTTCCGATCCTCCTGTCTGAGTCCTGTGCAGCTCACTGCAAGACACACTGCCAGGTACTACTAGTACTACTACTGTACTAGTACTAAGTAAACGTCGTTGCGGAAGTTAGCAGGGTCTCTGACTAGCCCTTAGGCCTTCCATCACAACCTACTGTCACAGTGACTGACAGTCTAGATCTGTCCTTCGTCCATGCGCCGATGTTCGCACATAATCATTGGTACTACTGTAGCAGTTACCGGTCCGTAACTGAGCTATGCGAGTATGTCCTCTGGCTCTAGTAGTGACGAAAAGGGAGAATCTAGCGTTCCGTTCACCGTTACCAGTGTCCAACAGGGTACTACCGGCGGACAGTTTTGCCGGCAATGGAGAGGTCAAGTGACTAGGGTGGCACTGCAGCTCAGTGCTGCGTTTCTACTGTACTGGGTGAGCTATGGCACCGACCTGTCGGACGGCATCATATTTGCCAGATTGATTCTACCCCCGTGTGCGCCCAAAGGCAAAGGCAAAGGCGAAGAGGCTGCAAATGGCAGTGGCATTATCAATTCCAGTGCTAGTATAGCCAGTGCTGGCCTGGATGATGCCATGGAGGATGCCATGGAGGATGGTGTGCTGCTGAGAGGGAACACAACCAATACGCCTGTACACACGAATTTGTCATGGAACACCACCCCCATTGGACTGAATGTGTCAAGCCGGGCTATAAACCAATCATCATCATCACCGGCTCGTTTTGAATGCGGAGGATTTGGTGGGACGGCAGCTGAAACAGGTAGGGCTATATCACTTACTTGATTCCTATTGGTAATAGCTTGTTCTGCCCTGGCATTAGCAGCAGTAACGCTGCCTCCTGCGTTCGCACAACTGAGATACAGTATGGACACAGGAAACCCAATCAGCAGTGTAACATGACCAACGTTTCAAGCGGATGCATGTACAACAAAAGCAGGACACGTTATAATTCTAATTTAGGATACAGTGGGATATGCAAACAGTTGCAGTGCACAGCCACCCCATCTGCGTACACTTTCACTGACAACAAAAAGGTGTTTTCTCTGGCTTGCTGCAAGCAATCAAATCTGGTCTGCTACCTGATCTGTTCATTGTACACTACCGTATTTTCCGGGGTATAAGCCGCACTTTTTTTCGCTAAAAATCGGACCAAAATCGCCCCTGCGGCTTATACACCGAATATGCTTGCGCGAATGAATGCTTAGCATACATCAGTATGCATGCTGACGTCATGTGACATGTCATTCGACTCAGCTTCGCGCCTGTGTTGCTGATCAAAATCAGTGGCAGCGAGACTGAAGATAGTGCAGATGACATGGAGTGATCTGTAGTCAACACAGCAATACACCAACATCTCTGAAGCAACCTGTGGTGCACTAACACTTCATAATCTGATCTAACATGGTATTTAGCTCCATAACCATAATAAATTTGTAGAAAGGCCATTTGTCAATGAGTGTGAAAAATCTTGGTTTGTGGGTGCGGCTTATACTCCGAACACGGTGACTTCATGTGCACCAACTAATGACATGGCGTCCTTTCATGCGGTTTACCGCACGGATTTATGAAGTCGGACATATTCCGATTTATTTGCATCAATCGCACAAAATTAGGTACATTTCTCTTGTAAACCCTGTCAGTTTGAGAATTTAGACAAACACCGAACAAATTTTAGCCGCGACGAGGATCGGGAGGAATCCATCATAATTATGTTCATACCTACTACCATCACGTCGACCGAGTGAAGATCGAAATGATAATGGAGTGGAGAGAAGAAGACCTGAACTAGAGTGCTTGAGAGACTATGTAGTGTCACATGAGAATTGCTTCGTTAGGAAGGCTCTCCTTTTGAATGGAGAAGCCCAACGTCGCTGATTTGCATCGCCGTTTTCAAGCGCTGATCTGCAGTAGGAATGTTTTTGTAAATTATTCGTAGTTGTGGACGTGGATGGATTCAGCGCTCTGTTCTCTCAGCAAGCCTACTCAGTCCAACACGAAGGACTTCCATGAGAGAAACAACGTGCTCCTCGAGCAAGTGCAGCTCGGGGTAATATGGCCAATGCCACGGGAGACCACCTCGTGTCTGCATAAGGCCAAGAATTGATGGCAAGAAATCTTTGATGAGCGCCTTCGACTTCAAGGACGCAATATATCTCCTCAGCAGTAACTGCAGCGCTCTTGCTGAAAACATCACTGCAAGCATGCACTAGGCATGATTTAGTGAAGAGCTACTTGTACTAGCGATTGGAGATTTGGTGTTGGCTTCCAGGGCTGGGCATATCTGCTCCATCATGGTAACTGGTGCGTTTGTCAAGGCAGCGCAGTTTCTGCTGCTGTTTCACAAGCCATATGCGCATATGCGCAGCGAGTAGGAATTTGTTGTATGATAGCTGAGGATCACCAGCCTTCATGGACAAACCTATATTGGGACTGGTTGCTGAACAGTGCACACCTAAATCTCTCAGCAAGCTCTCTTGCTCGGCTGGTGACGAACACTATATACCCGCTGCTTTGGGCGTGCAGCCCCGTCTCCCAACCGTAGACCGATCGAAAGGCTGTCACGGTCCTGTGACCATCAGCGTACAGTTGACGCTGATGGGACATCGGATAAAGTGCTGGCGTCAGTAATTCTCTGGTATACCTGGAATTACAGCTGGTTTTGACTTCCAGCCATCCTTCGTTAGTTATGCTTGTGACTATCATGCCAGCAAGTCGATCAGCAGCATCACCTCACATCTTTGATGGTGAGGCCTGCAGAACGTCACCGACCAGTGACGATGCTCAAATAGGGCACCCTACCAGAGCTGGCGCAGTGTATGGTGCAGTCTTTCATGAATCCATAAACTATGCTGTTTGGCTGCTGTAGCTCTGACGCTTGCGTGTGTGCCTTACATTAAAGGCAGCGGGCCGTCTGCTCTAGCCATTTGCCAATGCATGCACGGCTGAACGTCTACCAGCAAGCTGCAAACACTTCTCTCCCTACCCGTGACACTGTGACATAGTGGACATTGTGCGTGTGTTATTGCATTCCTATCTGAACTGTTCTGGATGCAGAGATTTACCCACTAAGCCCTAGAGAAATATGAATAAATACTATACTACTACTACTATTACTAAACTTGGTATGCGGGTGTGACGTGCTGCTGCTCATCAGATTCGGTCCAGGCGACGCTCGTGTTTTTAGTTTTGTTATTTTGTCTGCCTTTTTTTGAATTCGTAAACCGAACAGACTGAACTATCCAGTGATCAGGTACTGGTGTGGTGGGGCGAGGTTTTGTTGGTGATGCTGCTGTCAGTGGTGGCGGCGTGCATGTGCTTGCAGGCGATGGCCCGCGTTTCGTCGCCCGCGTTTTCTCCCATGCCGCAAGTTTGTCTTGCGTTTGTGTTTTGCATTTGGACTTCCTGCCAGGCTTGGAAGGCTTGCATTTCAAACAGTTTGTCCCACTGTGTGGCTCCCAGTCTTTGAGCGGTGTACATCCACCTCTGGGGCTCCAGAGAATGTTGGGCCCCTGGCAGTAGCAGTGCATTCCATGGCCAATTTGCAAGTGTGGCAAAAAAGTTCAGGGTGTATTTAGTTTCATCCACATTGAGATGAAACACTGCCAAAATGGATTCAGTATGATCTGCCACACGATACTTCGTCCGTCCACTCCTTGACGCGAATTTCTCCCCTCCAATACGACAACATGACGACAGGAAGCTAACATGAGCCTCCATTTCTGAACAAAATAGCGTCTCTAACATGGCCACGAAAAGCTACAGTGATGCACATCAAGCTTAGGAATACACGAAATCGAAAGGCTAGGACATCGAGGTATACTAGAAAATTGCCTGCGAGGCGGAGAAAATTTGCTGACGAGGTTGGCGAGCCCTTGAAATCGAGCGACGATCCAAAAATAATTGCACCCACGTCGAGAAAGAAACCATGCGTAGCGCGTGGGTAACCCAAGAAGATCGCTCGAGCGGCGGCACAGTCGAAGGCAAGGCCAGTCCAAGCATAAACTCTATCGAATGACCTGGCAAACACCCGTGGTTTCGGTTGACCTTGCCCGTTTGAGATGGAAGTCGAGCGAAATTGCAAACATACGACTAGGCCAGGTCGCGTAAAAAATGAAAAAGATTAAAATTTGGCCGCCATATTGAATGAACGCGCGTCGCATGCATGGGACAGCCGTGCGAATACCGTATTTTTCCGGTTGTAAGTCGACCTTTAAAGGGGCACTCCGGCTTCATTTTCGACGCCGAGTTTTCGATGCCAAGACGAAGACTGGTGAAAGAGAAGACCCCTCGAACAAGAACGAGTCTCCAGAAGCGATCGAGTCGAGCAGGAAGACGACTTTTGAATTTCGGCCGAGCGAGCGCTGATGACGTAATGAGGGATTAGCTTGCCAGTGGAAATGCATCTGCGCACATACATTTCACATACTTTTTGGCCAATTTTCAATCGAAGAGGAGGTTGTTTTCTATGTTCTCTCAACGTCGTGAGCGATCCCGTCTTCTATACCCTTCCAGGTACCCTGAAGGTCCTCCAGAGGAGAATTTATCTCCAGCAAAGCGTTGTTGATCCGCTAAATTCGTCTCGAGACATATTCACCCAGTGCAGTGCTGACAAATGTAGAATGTTGAATCTGTGATAATTGTCGACGATGGACAGAAAGGTTGATAGCCGCTGTCGCAGGGAAAGTGAAGCTGCTGGAAGTAACAACGGGGAGCTTGTTAGCATCACTTGATCAAAGCAGCTAGACGGAATCGGGGAGTACTGACTATTTGTCTCGCCCTCAGTTTAGTGAATTTTATGATCAGAAAATTTTTCGATCAGGATCCCTTCTACAAGATGTGTAGTACAGGTGATTTCTGAACTTGACGATACGGAGACCGACCAGTAGACCTACCAACAAAGTGTACCTGCAGGAAATTCACCCAAGGCTATTGCTAATGCTATCCTCTTCAGTGGCTGTTGTTTTTGTAGTAAAAATATGTTCACTTCTCTCAACATATTCCTGCATGGCAGCAAGAAGGTGCGCTATGGAATTCAACGCCACAATCTTCGCCCAGCTGTGGATGAAGCATGGTCAAGTCATGGCAGTACATATACTTGAACCAGATGAGAAATTGAAGTTCATTTGTGATGTGAAGTTTGACAGCCCCAGTGACCGAGTCAAGCGTTGTCTTTTGCCGTGGCACAAATTGTTGAAGAATCCGAGATGTTCTTGGAATTATGCACATGGATACTACCAGAAATAATGGTGGCATGAACCATTGTGGAATGGGACAGCTCACGGAGAATACTGGAATAGCTGAAGTATCTCTAGGCGATTGTAAATCCTGTTCTGGCCGATAGCTTCGGCCTGCTGCGCCCGTCCATGTACAATGATGGGAACATGCATTTCTGTTTTCTACATATTTGCTATCTACTGTACTGTGGTATTACAGTTGCAGGTCCCTTATATAGAAATATGTTCACCCCCCCCCCCCCCCCCCCCACATACCCACATAAATATGAACTAACAATTTCACTGTTGGACTCGCCGGTGGCTAGAGAGAAAAGGATTAATTTATAGCAAAGAAAAGGACCAGGGAACTACAAGTTACGCTATAATGTCCACGAACTATTTCACTGTATTTGAAATAATTTTGTTTGATACCCTGAGAACTCTGAAACTTTGCAGCACTGTGGATTATATGTGGATACAACATTTATGGAAGGAACACATAGTTCAAATAATTATAGCACTGGATTGTTGAGATTGTGAGCACATTCCAATCAGTACTCTACATATTTATAAGCGGTGGCAATCGTTAGGAATAGGTCGTGAATTGTCAGAGTGCTCTAGTATATGAGAGAATGTTTTGTTTGTCTAATCGACGGCTCGTTTGAAGCCAGAGTTGTTCGAACTTGCTTCAGTCGACTTGATTCTAGACAGTAGTCGAAGGAGTACTATGAAGTATACACCAGGCGTAGTCTGTAAGGTATCTCGTGAGAATTCTGTCGGTACACATCAGGTATCAGCTTGCAAAGATGGCTCCTCTCTGTTTCTTGAAAGCCTGTATAGTTGGACTGTGGCTCCAGCGATTCCCTTCTCAGAGCAGGTACCATACCCAATACGGTCAATGCATATTGGACAAACCTGTGTGCACAACAGAAATAGTGGAGAGAAATCTCTCAGCTCATGAACACATCAGTGAAGTTTGAACTGCCGTTGTTTGTGGCCATCAGTATAAACCTATCGACTATAAGAATAATGTGCAAAAAACCCTCTATAACTACAGCTGGGGCCATGGAATTATAAAGCATCTAACTTAGGGAACTGCCAATTCTGGTCGGAGTTGCGTTCGAGGCCTGCAATTCATGATGGCTATTGTATGTTGTATTGACCAGAGATCATATAAAACTTCCATGCCACATTGAAACACGCACTACTTTCGAGTACTTTGGTATCCCCCACCAAATGGGCATTCGTTCCCGGGGTGGCAGGCGTCACCATTCGTTATGCCTGGATCAGATTTCATTGACCCCAACTGTCATGAAGAATCATTTTTACTTCGACTGGATTTCAGTACAAGTTAGTTGTAGAACTGCAGAATAAATTTTGTTGTATTTGGGCAACCATTTCTCTACAAACGCTCTATTCGGAAAATAATTTTTTTAATAAAATACATGTCCAAATTCCACATTTACCCAAATCGGAATACTTGATCACGTATTCAGTCCTACACGGAATGTTTAGAAAACGCCAGGGAATAGGAATTTGCTAACGAGAACTCCAGGCCAGGGTACTAGCATACGAACAAAACAAGATAAAAACTCACCAGTATACTTGTAGTAATTCATGTCGGTGTAATATTCACGATAAGCAACGAGGCACCCTCCGATTTGGTCAAGCTGCTTTGAAGTCTGGTTGTTCAGGTGATACAAACGGGCTCCCTGTTGTTACTTCCAGCAGCTTCACTCTCCCTGCGACAGCGGCTATCAGCCTCTCTCTCCATCGTCGACAATTATCACAGATTCAACATTCTACATTTATCAGCACTGCACTGGGTGAATATGTCTCGAGACGAATTTAGCGGATCAACAACGCTTTGATGGAGATAAATTCTCCTCTGGAGGACCTTCAGGGTACCTGGAAGGGTATAGAAGACAGGATCGCTCACGGCGTTGGGAGAACATAGCAAACAACCTCTTCTTCGATTGAAAATTGGCCAAAAAGTGTGTGAAATGTATGTGCGCAGATGCATTTCCACTGGCAAGCTAATCCCTCATTACGTCATCAGCGCTCGCTCGGCCGAAATTCAAAAATCGTCTTCCTGCTCGACTCGATCGCTTCTGGAGACTCGTTCTTGTTCGAGGTGTCTTCTCTTTCACCTACCTTCGTCTTGGCATCGAAAACTCGGCGTCGAAAATGAAGCCGGAGTGCCCCTTTAACGGCTTAAAATAGAAGGAGAAAGGGTGGGGGTCGACTTACAACCGGGATTCGACTTATAACCGGGAACTATCAGTATAGTAGTGGTTGCGACTTCGGCGATGATTAGTAAGAAAGGGTCGCTCCCCACACCGGAGCTCGCGCTATTCCGCCGACTTTACTTGACACTTGACTGACTCACGACTGCCATCCAGAGCACACGAGAAGTCCATCGAACCTTCGACTCGGCAAACCTGCAAGAAAGCACCATTCCTTGCTCAATACACAGTGTTTCGGGGAATTCACCCCTCATCAGTTGAGCTTGAGTAGGCTGAGGAAGATAGTGCCTGAAGAGCACCACTTATATAGTGTTCTCCAGGCACAAACATCACCAGGGATACAAACTTACAGAGACGCTCCGTTTCCAGCGCGACAAACACCTCGTGAACACCAGATAGCAGCGTGAGTCAGTGTCGCTCCTGGACGGTGAGACAGACGTCGAGGACCCTCGGTCATTCGCAACGCTGTCACCTCCAAACCAACTAGTCGCAAGCCCGCGCTGGGCACAACAGACGAAGTAGTGGTTGCGACTTCGGCGATGATTAGTAAGAAAGGGTCGCTCCCCACACCGGAGCTCGCGCTATTCCGCCGACTTTACTTGACACTTGACTGACTCACGACTGCCATCCAGAGCACACGAGAAGTCCATCGAACCTTCGACTCGGCAAACCTGCAAGAAAGCACCATTCCCTGCTCAATACACAGTGTTTCGGGGAATTCACCCCTCATCAGTTGAGCTTGAGTAGGCTGAGGAAGATAGTGCCTGAAGAGCACCACTTATATAGTGTTCTCCAGGCACAAACATCACCAGGGATACAAACTTACAGAGACGCTCCGTTTCCAGCGCGACAAACACCTCGTGAACACCAGATAGCAGCGTGAGTCAGTGGGAGCGACCCTTTCTTACTAATCATCGCCGAAGTCGCAACCACTACTTCGTCTGTTGTGCCCAGCGCGGGCTTGCGACTAGTTGGTTTGGAGGTGACAGCGTTGCGAATGACCGAGGGTCCTCGACGTCTGTCTCACCGTCCAGGAGCGACACTGACTCACGCTGCTATCTGGTGTTCACGAGGTGTTTGTCGCGCTGGAAACGGAGCGTCTCTGTAAGTTTGTATCCCTGGTGATGTTTGTGCCTGGAGAACACTATATAAGTGGTGCTCTTCAGGCACTATCTTCCTCAGCCTACTCAAGCTCAACTGATGAGGGGTGAATTCCCCGAAACACTGTGTATTGAGCAGGGAATGGTGCTTTCTTGCAGGTTTGCCGAGTCGAAGGTTCGATGGACTTCTCGTGTGCTCTGGATGGCAGTCGTGAGTCAGTCAAGTGTCAAGTAAAGTCGGCGGTATAGCGCGAGCTCCGGTGTGGGGAGCGACCCTTTCTAACTATCAGTATCTTACAAAAAATGACCTGCACTGCATGCACGAGTGCACCATGTTTACACATGTTTGCCAGTTTATTGGCCTTTTTCAAGGATTGGGACGTTATATCCTCCAATGAGGAATGTTTACATGATTTGTTGATGTGTTATTAGCAGGAGGTGGTTAGTAGTGCTTCTTTGGGTGAAAACTTTAAAATGCAGAATTGAGACCTCCAGATAGGGGGGTCGACTTATAACCGGGGTCGACTTACAACCGGTAAAATACGGTACCAACTGTCAATATTTTGCCTCAAAAAGGGGGGTGCGGCTTATACCGCAGTGCGGCTTATACCCCGGAAAATACGGTATATCGTGCTTTGGAAAATGAGAATCCTTTGCTTGAAACATGTTTGTCTTCGGCAGGAAGTATCTGGAAGCGAATCCAGCATGGCATTGAGGCTTAGGTTTTACGGACCGCTTGGGACCATGTGTCTCTGCAGACCGGCTATTTCTGTTTATTCCCCATAGAGAGTTGTAGCTAGACATATACAGGCCGTGCTGCATTGCAGGTAGGGTTATAAGGAGCAACCCTAGCCCTCAGATTGTAGCTACAAAGTATGTTTGACTCTTGCACATCCGGAGCTACTCTTGAGTGTCTAAAGCAGAGCTTTCCTGAAATGAATTTGTGAAAAGCAGTGTTTGAGTGTGAGCCAGTGTTTTGCTCACCACCCACTTTTAAAGCAAGGCTGTCACTGTTATTTATTGTTATGTATTTTTCCACAGCCTGGATCACATCCATGGCCACTGCTTTCCGTGTAGCATCCGGGGTCACAGGTGGAGTGCTCATTGATGCGTTTGGCATCCGCAAAACAATAATTGGTGCAACAATTGTATTCAGTCTATCATTGGCCGTGTGCAGCTTTGCTACCCAGCTATATCAGGTCTATTTGACACGTGGCTTCCTTTCCGGAGTGGCTGCTGGGGTCCTGTTCTCCGTTCCAGTCCACTGCTTGTCAATCACATATGACAGCAAGATGGTGATTGCGGCGGGCTTGGCATTTCTCGGCTCTGGAGTGTGTGCAGTGACGTATGGCTACGTTGGCAAGGAGGTGGTCATTCATGGAGATTGGCGCTGGTACTATCGCATGATCGCCTTGTTGTCTCTGCTGTGCGTACCGGCCGCGTTTGTCATATATTTTGAACCAGAAAGTTATAGGAAAGGTCATCTGGCTCAAAATGATCACAAGGACATGAGCCCAATTGCGGTGCCTGGCAGCTTGCTAAAACTACGTCTTGGATTAAGGAAACTGTTGGACTCCATAAGGAAGGGGTTCGTGCTCTACCGCAACGTAGACTTCTTGCTCATTGCAGCATGCTATGTCCTGTATGCTATTGGATACTTCTTCCCATTCATATCATCCGTAAGTTTGTCAATCCTGTAAGTTATCACATTACGATAGAACTATTCGTCTGTACACACGTGCTCACTGCCACAAGCCGGTGTAGAGTTTCCTTACGAAGAAGGCAGAACGGGTTTAAAAAAAGAAGAAGACATAATTATACAAATTGAGATGTTGCGACTTCGGCGGTAATTGTACTTTGAAGTAGAAGAAGGTTGCTGCTCCAAGCGTTGGAGCTCGTGCTTCCCACCGACTAACTGACACTTGCCTGACTCACAACTCAGTGCCATCTGGAGCACATGAGAAGAATGCTGGACCGTCCACTCGGCAAACCTGCAAGAAAGCACCACTCCCTGCTCAATACACAGTGTTTCGGGGTGCTTTCTTGCAGATTTGCCGAGTGGACAGCCCGGCATTCTTCTCGTGTGATCCAGATGGCAGTCGTGAGTCAATCAAGTACCGGTCAGTCGGCAGGAAGCGCGAGCTCCGACGTTTGAAGCAGCCGCCTTCTTAGACATAATTACAAGTATGTTAGAATTATTTTTCTTGGTGATCGCTTTGTGTGAAGCTTGAGTTGCAAAAAAATGTGTTCTGCCTTGTTTGTAGGTCACACCCACCACTTCCATGCATACTACAGTGCTGGCAACAGTGAAATCCGACCCCCTTGTCACGGCCACTGAGGGGCCAAGGGGGTCGGATTTCACTGTTGCCAGCACTGTAGTACTTGTAGTGCTTGTACCTTCCTTTTGTGCATCTCAAAGGTACAGTACGGGTGTGACAGTAGTGTTCAATGAAATCCGGCCTGATGAAGTAACTGTAGCGTGTTAGTACCGACGGCGGCCTGCACCAGTGCACACCAGTGTTCGCAACCTGCGGTCTGGAGCTGCACAGTACCAGGGGCACTAGCTGACCCACAGCATCCCGATTTCATTGAGCAGCACACCCGGTACCAAGAGTATAACCCTCAAGATTGTGCAACCGTCTGGATACCCTTTCTAAGAGGTCCGCCGACGGCGAAAACTCATATCACGTGGTGTAGTGTTCCCGTTGCTAGTGGCCAGTGGAGGAGAAGAATAGCACTTTCTGACAGAGACTTACTCAGCTTGCGCAAGTTATCAGCATGATCATGGCTGATATTCGGGCTGCGTACATGCTGGCCTTCGTTGTGCACAGTACAAATCGTACTTGGAACACGTGATGCGAGTTTTCGGCGTCAGAGACCCCATGTGCAAAGTTGCATGCTCTTGGGAGCTTATTTACTCTTGTTGCTACATGTGGAGGAGGCATGTAAGCATATTAACTGGCACTCTGGTACATCATTTGGAAATAATGTACCTGGGAGATGTGAAAACCGGGTGCTTGTGATGCGTAAAACCCGCCTTGGTTATAGAAGCCTGGCCGAAATGCAAATTCTTCATCTTCGATTTCCAGACCCGGCTAACCTGAAGGAACCATGAAGCAAAGAAACGGCTGCTTTATTCAAATGGGTCAAGGCTCTTCACCAATTTTGCTGGGTCACTCTGTGATAAAAAGTGAATTGAACTGTGTCAATTGCAAGTTCTTGATTATCGGATGGCGTTTTCTACAGAGTCATCGTTCTAAGGCACTTGGTATCAGTGCGGGTGACGCTTATCTACAAGTTGCCTACGTTGGATTTGGTACAGTGGCTGGGTGTCTTTCGTGTGCTGCCAGTGGATTGCTGTTCAACGTGCGAGCAACTCTCTATCAGGCACTGGGCCTGACTATTTGCGGTTTGTCCATGATTCTTAGCATCCTTGTCACCACGGAGACAAGTCTGATAGCATACAATGTGTTTTATGCTGCTGCTAGTGGATTCACGACGGCTGCATGTGGTCCAGTGGCTAGAGAGGTGATGCCTGCCGAGATGACAGTACACGCATTTGGCCATCTCTATCTCGTCAGCTCTCCAGCTATGGCCATAGGTCCACCAGTGTCAGGTGAGTGGTCTAGTATATCACGTATATAGAAGTACGAAGATCATTATTCCGTTTGTGGAAATGGGGTGAACTTATTCAGGGTGATATCAGTATACAGTCAACTTCGCTAATAACGACTGCGGATATAACGACAATTCGCTAATAACGACTGCGGATATAACGACAATTCGCGAATAACGACCGAATTTCGAAGCCCAGAGCAAAGTCCCATCTAACTGTATACATTTAACTTCGGATATAACGACTATCTGAATAACGACAATTCGCGAATAGCGACATGCTTTTAGTGCCCCGAGGTCATATTCACTGCTTGAATAACGACTTTCTGGGCTTTTGAGAGCTATTTTAATTACCTGTCAGTCAAGTACAATCATGTACCTGCCATGCAGAAGTACCAGAACCCATGGTGTGATGGATAAAGGCACACATGCAAGAAAATGCAGCCAAGTCAGGGGGCGGGGTTCTTCCTTTTTCTTTTGCTTCAAATTTGTTGGATTTATTTATTTTATTTATTTATTACAGCATCTCATAGCATAGTGAGAACACCGGCCAATACAAAGAGAGAGGGTGTTAGCCAACCACGGCAAGGAAGGGAGAAGGGGAGGAGAAGAAAAAGGAACCGGCATGGATAAGCAGTGATTGCAACAAAATGAGAAACACAAAATCAAAGTCAAGGCGCGACAAGGCTCTTAAAAAGGCGGAGGGAAGAAAGGTCCTTAGCTTCTTGGGGAAGTGCCAGCCACGTAGAGTACGCAGTGAAAAAGGGAGAGTGAAGTAGAAAGGAGGACTTAGGTTTCGGAAGGGAAAGGGAGTTTCTCGTGCTACGGAAAGAGAACCAGTTGAAACAGTGGAGGTGAGGTGGACACAGATTGAGTTTGAGACTGGATAAGGGTGACAAGATGTGAATTACGTCTCTTAGACAAAGGGGTAGTGTCAGCAAGGGCATAAAGGGTGGAAGATGGAAGCATGCGGGGTTTTCGGAGGAGGATTTTGAGAACTTTTTGTGGTGAATTTCGAGCTTGGCAGCACGGGTTGTGGAAATTCCAGCCCAAGCAGTATCTACATAATCAAAAATGGGGCGTAGGTAAGCTGAGTAAAAGAGGAGTTTACAAGAGATTGGGAGATGGTAACAGTGAGAAGAGAGGATTCCTAAAGATGAACTTGATCGTTTGCATATGAAGGGCTTCATTGCAAAACGAGATAATCCATTTTGACCAATTTTCAGGAGGAGCGATTTTCTGTGATCAACAACTGGGTGGGTTTGGGTCAAATCTAACTTAGCAGATGAGAAGAATAGGGTGATGTATGCAAATACAGGCTTTCTCGAAAATCAGGGGCCATCCATTATCTCAAGCAAGGTGATTCTTCCGGCAATACTTTTGTGCAAAACCAGATATATTCGCCGGACTAATCAGTATTATGAGATTAGAAAATACAAGTGTAACGACTTCACTGAGTTCCGAACTCTGAAGGAGCTTAGCAGCAGCAGCAGCAGCAGCACTGCCAGCGGCAGCAGCGTCGTCCATCCCTGACGCCTCTAGCATACTGCCCTTAGCAGTTTCGAAAGCGAAAAAACAACAGCTACGAAGAAGATGATACGAAAAGAACGAAATGACAACGGATGTAGCTGCTACAAAGCAACAACACGAAAACACTGTACTTTGAACTCTGACATCGACATTTTGCACAGACTCAGTCTTGTAGTCGCGATGTTTGCCACGTGCTGCGCCAGCATGCACTCGCTGGCTTGTCACAGGTCACGCTGGCCAGCGCAACAGGATATGTCGCACTTTGCTCGAAAACATCGGTGGTGTTTATCGCGTTTTGCAGTAGAACGTCAACTTCAACGTTGATTTTCAGTGGGATATGTCTCGTTTTGGAGAATTCTTTTTGGCCATCAGATGCAGTGATCCCTACTGATTCGATTGACACCGAAAACGCCATATGCATGAGATTGGCGTTTAGCGCGTTTTGCAATGAAGCCATTCATATGTAATCGATGTGGGGTTCCCATGAAAGATTAGAGTCAATGAAAATGCCAAGATGCTTATGGCTGGAGACTATGTCTATAGGCTGGGGGAAGGTGATATGGAGGAGGGGCGGAACATCGGGCTGAGAAGGAAAGAGCATGATTTTAGATTTAGACAGATTTGGCGATAACCGCCAAGACGACATCCAGGAAATTACTCTTTGAATCCCGTTAGCTAGGTTACTCTAATTTCAGAAATTTTCGGTGCTCAATATTTTCGGTGTGAGGGCAAAAGGCCAGGTTAGGTGAACAGAAATTTTAGGTACAGAGAAGCAGTTCCCTATTGGATTATGTGTGTTAGTGTTTGTTGGTGTATTGAAATTTTAGGTATGAAACAGATGCACCGAAAATACCGAAAATAAAAGTACACCGAAAATTTGTGAAATTACAGTACTCATCAGGCCAGTGATGTTAGGAGATGCCCGTAGGAGCGTTGTGTCGTCTGCGAACAGTGATGTGCCCGGGGCAGCTGCGGGCAGATCATTGACGTATAAAATAAAAAGAAGGGGGCCGAGGATGGAACCCTGGGGAGCTCCGGATAGTACTGCTGTGTCGGCCGAGGACGTCCCATGTACCGTGACGTACTGCGTTCGCCCAGTTAGGTAAGATGTCAGCCATAGCAGGGGATTGCCGTCTACAGTAAATGATCCACGAAGCTTGGCCAAAAGCCCCCGGTGCCAGACGGTATCGAAGGCCTTGGTAAGATCGAAAAAACAGATCCCGACTAGATCTCCAGCATCCTGATGTCGACACACTAATTGCACGAGGCGCGTCAGCTGGAGGGTGGTAGAATCGCCTCTGCAAAATCCGGACTGAGCTGAACTCAAACGTGACGAGACATGACAGTACAATTGGTCGTAGAAAACGCACTCACAGAGTTTGGAAACACAGGACAGTAGAGAAATCGGACGGTAGTTTGATGCTTCGTGGCGGGACCCTTTCTTGTGATTAGCTGTTTTCCATGCAGAGGGAAAACGACCAGTGCGGAATGATAGGTTGAAAATCAGACATAAGGGGTATGCTATTGAGGGCGCAAGGGACTTTAATACCAGATTAGTGATGCCGTCTGGGCCCGGCGCCTTGTCAGACGGGAGCTTTCGAATGTAACGTCGGATGGCAGCAGTCGTAGTAAAGACAGATGTGAGGCGGTCAACCTCACCCGACTTCTCTGCAATGGGGGGAATGGGTAGAGAAGGGTCATCAGGCACGGCCACTGAGGATTTACCAACACACCTACATATTATAGGTGTACATGATTGTACAGTAATCATCATACATGTCCATGTACATGTCCCTGGCCCTGTAGATGGCTCAAAAAGGCATATTTTTCAATTTTAATATTTCCCTTGCATATTGACTTAATAGTTCCTTTCAACTGCAATATGAAAATAAAGTACGCCTTGACATAGAGCAAGAAAAGAGCTTCATTTTGATATGCATGTCATACTATACAATATATGGGTTCACATACATTCAAATGGGACTTCGGTTATAAGGACACTTCGCGAATAAGGACACTTTTCTGATGCCCCGCCGAATGTCGTTATTCGCAAAGTTGACTGTACACTCTAGCTCATGCAACAAAAGTCGTATCTAATAGATGATATCGCTCCTGCTGTTCGTAAGAAAGTTTTTATCATGCTGGCGCCATCCTCCCTCTCTCAATCCCGTAAACTTGCACACACACACACACACACACACACACACACACGCGCGCGCGCGCGCGCGCGCGCGCACACACACACGCACACCTAACCTGAGACCTGCCCATCGCGGAAGCGATGATAGCGAACAGCTATGTTAGACATAGCAACTTGTGCTGGGATTACACCAGTCAACAGCTTGCAAGACTGATGAATTGACCGCCACTAAATTTAGCCTGGTCTACACCACACGGCTGATCGAAGCAGCTTTTTCTGGCCAGTGAATCCCACTTTTTCATTTTCCATTCATACACACACACACACACACTTTTGTACTTACACACATTGACACATACACACATACACACACACACACACACACACACAGTGACATGCACACACGTACGCACACACACACACACAACAACAGCAACAACAGCAGCAGCAACAACAACAACAACAACAACAACAACAACAACAACAACAACAACAACAACAACAACAACAACAACAACAACAACAACAACAACAACAACAACAACAACAACAACAACAACAACAACAACAACAACAACAACAACACACACAACAACACAACAACAACACACACAACAACACACACACAACAACAACAACAACAACAACAACAACAACAACAACGGCATTGCAATGTAGTGCTTGTGTTGTGATCAATTTGTTTGGCTTCTCTGCACTGACTGCAGGTTGGCTATATGATGTTACACAGGACTACACTATACCTCTCATCTTTGGTGGGCTCGTTCTTATAGTTGCTGGCTTGTTGATCCTGCTTGTGGACATCCGTATTTGGCGGCGGCGCAGGCAGCTCACAATTTTCAAAACCAGTTTATGGAGTTCAAGTACTGACGCTGATGAACCGCCGCATGCTATAGTCTGTGTACATGAATCCAGTGTGTGATGCTCAGAGCGGGTACGATGCTCAGAGCGGGTACGATGATGGACACCCGGCGACAAGTGCACAGCAGTATGTGCACACCACTGTCACCAGTACGTGCACTCCAACACGTGCACACAAATACACACACACACACACACACACACCAATCCGTTCACATACGGTGCGTCCGTTTTTCCGAAGCAGTCAAACTAACCGTTTGCAATATGCTGATGTGCATACGCACTCAGCTACCTCTGCCCAGCAAGCAACTGTGCACAATCTCCACCTGGGCATAAGGCTAAGGGAAAATTCACAAGTACATGTATTTGCACTCCGTTGTTTGTTCATGGAATATTTCAAAACGCCATCTTGCGCTTGAAACAATACTTATTTTATTAAAATTTACAACTCGGATGGAGAACCAAGGATTAAATTTATCATGAAAGGACCGAAATGCTACATGTTCTCCGTAGTTTGTGTCCATCAGTAACAGTTATAACCTTCACCTTTCTCATGTTTATTTCATAACTTAGAACCTAAGTATTAGTTGCAAGGCTTTTGGTTTGCGCATCCAAGACGTGATATAGCTTATCATCAGGTCGTTGAATGTCAGTATCACATCAGTCAGTATTGTGCTAGCTGTTGCACCTTCTCACTACACAACATCTTACAATATCTCGCTTATAACTATTTAAAATGTTGGATACAAACTACGGATAACATGTAACATTTTGGTCCTTTCTTTTTAAATTTAAAACTCTAATGATTTGTATCCTATCATTGGGCATCCTGGTATGAATGTTGAGGTTCAGTGCAGTCACGGACCATGTATGTGCACTGACTGTACATACTAGTACATCCCCAGCGGATGCACCCAATGACTATGTGCTGAGGCAGTGAGGGTGCTCAATGCCTCTGAGGCAGAGCATCATTAGCGTTACATAAAACAACAAAAGGCGAAAGGCTAGTTCGTTGCAACTCGGAGTTTCATGCTATGCAACCATCAGGCAACCGTTGCTTTGTGCCTTTGTTGTTCTGTGTAGATCTACAATCATACAACGTTAGATCTAAAGTACTGTAGTAACTAGTTGTCTTCCTCCCCCGCACGACTACTACCTTTGACCTTTTGACGCCCATTACCGGAGGCAATGATAGCGATGCGACAGCAAAAGCAATAGCAACTAACTAACGTTACTTGTGCCTTGTGATGGGGTTGCACCATTCAACAGCTTGACTAAGGGGTCGTCCGCAATTACCGAAAGTTTTTTCCAATCCGTAGTAGCTTCAAATTTTTCCTCACCCACCCACCCGGTACCACCCCCCAGTCCGTAATAAAATATTATTGATGGACACACAACCCAACACATATGGAACAAACTCAATCAGTGCTGGTCCATGAGTCATAGTGACATCATGTATTGTATTACAACTACCATATTGATGTTTAATTGGTGTTCACCGAAATGTTCAAGCAGCACTATCATAATACAGCTCGAGCTCGAGGACAACTGCCACAAGCAATTTATTGTTCTGTAATAATCAGAGTCATCAGCGGTTTTGAAAAAGGGCTGCTTCTTCACCGCCTTTCCAAACAACGTCGCCTGTGTGGACATAGTCGTCAGCGCCAGCGCTAGACGGAAGGACTTCAAAGGAGTGCATGGAAGACGGTACTCTGGACGAAGGAGACAGTGAAACTCAAAAATAGAAAGTGTCGACTCGCCGTCGAATGCGCCGAACTTTATGATCCCCGGCCCAGGAGCAGCCAAGGAAGCGCGCGCGGGGGCGCAGAAACTGCCAGAACTACAAAAATATTTGTAGTAGACAGTTCGCGCGCAGCCGCGCGTGGAAAACAGGGGCTACACGTAGACGTACACGTGGCACGTGCACGTGTCATTTCGGAAGTTTTTCAATCCGTAACTGGCCTTGACCCACCCACCCACTTTCGAAGCTACTACGGATTGGAAAAAACTTTCGATAATTGCGGACGACCCCTAACTAACTTGCAAGGCTGAAGAATTTCTCGACACTATTCATCCTGGACCTGGTCTACACCGCTTGGCCACATAATTATTTGAAATGAGGGGGCCGGGGGGGGGGGGGGGGGGTTCTGGCCAGTGAATCACTACTTTCACTACCGTATTTTCCGGGGTATAAGCCGCACCGGGGTATAAGCCGCACCCCCCTTTTTGAGGCAAAATATTGACTAAAAGTTGGTAAAGTAAAAGTAAATTATCGTATCCGTTCCCGAAGGGAACTCACGACGGCCGCTAACACCCGATAAACCCTAGCGGCAGATGCAGCGCCTAACGGTGGGGGTGAGTGGGTAAGCCTCACAACCACTGGCACAAGTGCCGAAAACGACCCCATTAGCTGCATCCATGTACCCCTTGTGCCTGGCCACAAGTTCCCAGTTGACTGTGGGTAGCAGCACGGCTGGAAAAACCGCTCCCAGGCAGGACTTGAACCAGGTACCTCTCGTATCTCAATCATGGTCTCTGACCAACCCACTGTGCCTGCCTGGTGTTGGTCAGAGACCAAGTTGGTATTCGGAGTATAAGCCGCACCCACAAACCAAGATTTTTCACACTCATTGACAAATGGCCTTTCTACAAATTTATTATGGTTATGGAGCTAAATTCCATGTTAGATCATTATGAAGTGTTAGTGCACCACAGGTTGCTGCAGAGATGTTGGTGATCACTCCATGTCATCTGCAATATTGAAGCTGAATGACATGTCACAGTCATGACGTCAGCATGCTGATGTACATGTACATGTATGCTAAGCATTCATTCGCGCAAGCATACTCGGTGTATAAGCCGCAGGGGCGATTTTGGTCCGATTTTTAGCGAAAAAAAGTGCGGCTTATACCCCGGAAAATACGGTACTTTTTGGTCCACCACGATCATCACCACCATGTACCATCACCACTACGTAGATCTACCACGGCACGGTGGCACCCACCTCTGCCTCTGTCCAGTAAATGTATCTACAGTCTGTACAGACTACAGTGCTGGCAACTGAAATCCGACCCCCCCCCGGACCTGGGCGGTGCGCTCACATCGCAAAGAATGTGTACCCACCGCTCAGGGGGTCTGATTTCAGTTGCCAGCGCTGACTGTACGACGTCCGTAGTTAGCGCCCTACAACTAGTACAAGGCTACATTGTCATTGGCAATACAATGCCAATGCAATGGCTACAAAACTTTTTCGCAGCCCATGCCCACACCATGCGTCCATGGCCGGTCCGGGTCCAGTGTTCCAGGCAGATAAGAGATCTAGAGTGGATCGCACGCGGAGTCCATCCGATGGCACTTCTGCACGTGAGGCCGGTACTGTAGATCTACCCAGACATCGAACTGTTACTTGGCCAAAGACAAAGGCAGAAAACTCACTGTCCTGTCTACCATGGCATGGGGCATGGTCTACTTATCGACACGTAGCTGATTAGATCTACTCTTCTACATAGGTCATTGTATAGTACATTAGTAGTAGTTGTAACGACACGTAACCGTTAGTTAGTTGCTATTGCTACTGTCCCGGTAGGATCCTAGATCTTACGACTACATTATTTATATTAATTATTATTAGGCCAAACTAAAGAAGGTGTGTGGTTCGACTCACCCGACCGACCGTACAATTTCAGCCCGACCGTAACTTTTTTTCGGCGGGCTGTCGTGTGACTGACGTACGTGGACTGAACACGTCCACGTCTACGTGCTGTGCGGCGTGAGTCTGCGGACGCAGGCGGCTCCTATTGGACTTGACTTGTAGTTGTACTGCAGTGCAGTGCAGTGAGTGGTACGACTGCTGCCTTTGTGCTGGTAGTAGAGTCTACTCGATACGCGTATACAGTGTATTTACATGTACTAAAAAATATATTTAAAAAAAAAAATCCGCCCGCCCGCCCGTAAAAAAAATGTCCATGTTAGTCGAACCACACACCTTCTTTAGTTTGGCCTTATAAAAATTTAATGACTATGGCTCTATGAGTCTATGACTTATGAGTCTAGCTATGTAGACTCGCAGTTGATCTAATCTCAGCGATATCTGTTGACAGTCGTGAGTCGTGAGTCGGTCTACCAGGTCTACATGTACAGTGTAGAGATCTACATGCTCACCATGCTCACAGCCAAAACCTAAAACTCATCTAAAAGTAAAACAAAGCAGTGACTTCCAAAGACTACTAGTAGTACTACTACTATTACTATGTCGCCTGTCGGCTGAGCTTACTACTAAGTACATACTATTACTAGTACATGTAGTAGCTGGTTACATCGACGTAACGTCGATACGTAGCCGTGGGTGAGGCGCGTGAGGCGACTCTGACTCTGAGTGAGTGCGATAGCCGAATAAATAGCTGTCGCAGCTGTGCGCTTCCTGAGCACAAAGACAAATGCAGCCTTTTTCAAGTTTTTAACTCCAAGGCGATCGCGAGTTTTGACAGCTAGCCCACCACCGTCGGCACCTCACCACAGGAAAGAAGACAGGCCACACTGATTGCAGATGCAAGGTCAGCTACTGAATCCCTGCCATCGGTCAGTCAGTCAGACAGTGGGCTGTCGGAGTGTCGCTGTTTACGACGACGTTTAGTCGCGTGCCACTCTGGCTGAATGAAGAGTGGATGGTGAACACATGTGATGCAATGGCTGAAAGCTATGCTTGATATCACCTAGGCCAGGGTGCTTCGTTCTCTCGGAAAGAACAATCACCCCTACCATTTGTCCGTGATTTGTTTCGTTGCCAAATTTATTCTGTTGGTGTTTTGTGAGCGTTTCGGCCATCGGCGAGAAAGCAAGGGTCGCTAGAAAAATGTGCCTCTTACGCCGCAGCGGTCTGTTGGTACTACTAATGGTCTCGTCTGTCTGGAATTCGGAAGGTTAGCATCATGCAGTGACTCTTTTGTTCTATGCACAGCATGGTAGAATATAAATTTTATTCGCGCATTGTTTGGAGAGCATAGACCAATTATGTGATCTTTTCTCTCTTCACCTCTTTAATTAGGAATAGATAAAATCAATAATGAAACTGCTACTAAAAATAGAAATTATACACACATCACCGGCACCGGCACCGGCGCGATATCCAAGCCACATATCTTTTATTTTTGCATTTTCGAGGGTAGGTCTACTGTTCTGTCTGTGTGAGTACATGACGACTGACGTGTACATGTGTGCAGTGCTCATCAGTGTCTCAAACGCCTGATCGGTTTACACAACAACACTGCCAGTGGTACAATCCGGGGACCAGAAAAGTGACTACAGCACAGTAGTATAGCACAGTATAGGCATGTTTGCCCTGTCTTGTTTTTAAAAGTGTTAGAACTACACACTGTACTACTGTACTACTGTACTAGTAATAACATAGAACACCGTGAGCCGCCGGCCATGTACATAATCATTGTACAATGTGTAGCAGTGTAGCAGTGTAGGTGTGTAGGTGCCCAAGGTTGTACCAGTCCTATCTGTTCCTGTGTAAGCTGATCTGGCATTCAGTACCCCGGACACCCGTATTCTGGTTGGAATTTCCAGGATGTTTTTTCATGGTCGAAAGGACAGTACAACATTCCTTTATGCATTGCGCCATGACGACAGTCGCCCAGCCATGTTCACTGCATGGCCCATGCAGCAGTGCAGGCAGTGCTAAGGCCGCATAGCAAGCACCTGATCTGTTATAAACAGACTCATGTTGTATACATAGTGCCCAAAAGTGGTTCTGCTGACTCACACTGACCATGACATTTGCATAACCTCTCTTGACCAAGACTGGCAAGATTGTTTGTGAAGGCAGGTAGCCATTGACCAAGAGTGCATTTTTTTCCTTTGCTATTGTACAGCGGAGGTGAGCACTGCAGATGTGGGCACGACTAAGCAATACAAACTGCTGCTGCTAACGATAGCAACGAGTCCAACAGATGGATACACACGCTTTGCTCGATCATGTCAACACCATGGAGTGCAGTTTGAGGTGAGTGCAGCAGCATGATTGTTATCATTGAGGTAAGGTTAGGGTATTACTGGGGAGAGGATTAGGGTATTACTGGGGAAATCGTTAGGACATTGCTGGGGAGAGGGGTATGCGGGTATTACTGGGGAGAGGGTTAGGGCAAGGTTTTAGGAAAAGGAAGGTAGGGGGGGGGGCTGCATCCCCCCCCCCCCCCCGACTTTGATTGAGCGTCCTGTGGAATAGTGCCCTCTCCCCCCCCCCCCCAATCATTTGTCGATTTTTGTGTTTCTTCATGCCATTCAACGAAAATGCAGTCGATAGTTAGTAGCAGATAAGAGGGCTTGTAAAGGCATGCTTACCTCGGGTGAACTCTGGGGGGGGGGGGGGGGGGGGGTGCCCCGCCGGACGTTGCATTTTGCACGGCAAGGAAAATGGGTTACGGGGTAACTGTTTCCCCTGCCCCCCCCCCCCCCCCCCCTACTAGTTTGACCTGGCTAGAACCCTGCACTACTGGAGAGATGGTTATGCAGGTATTACTGGGGAAAGGGTTAGGGGATTTCTGGGGAGAGGGTTAGGGTTATACTGGGGAGAGGGTCACTGGCATTACTATTACTGAGAGTGGGTTATGCAGGTATTTCTGGGGAGATGGTTAGGGCATTACTGAGAGTGGGTTATGCAGGTATTTCTGGGGAAATGGTTAGGGTTGCACTGCGGAAAGGATTAGAGGCGATTTACAAGACGACGGCAGTGCATCCCGCCGGGAAGTGAAACTGAAAAACAGTCCACGGAATGTCACGGGATGCATTTACAGGGTTAGGGTTATACTGGGGAGAGGGTGGGGGTCTTCATTGAGGAGATGATGGGGGTGTAATTCATACACCAATAAAGGCTTGACCCTGGAGAGTATGATACTTTTTTCCCCGATCCAACCTTCTTAGTCTTATCAGCCAGTTACCTACCATAATATTATTTCCTGGAATTAGCCCTGCAATGGCACAGTGCACCGTATAAGCACTGCCCTGTAATAAGCCCCAGGGTTGGTGGTTGAAACCCACACCTGAAAATAACTGCCATCCCGTAGGGCTAATTAATAGCTCATGTGTTTACACATTGCATGTACTTCTCGTTTGTGTGAACGTCAACATGTCAGCTGCGCTCATGTGCTGTACATTATACATCAGCCAAAACTCAAAGGCAAAAACATCGTTTCCGAGGATGATAACTAATGCTGATGCGGACTAGCATGCCATTGTAGTCCAGAGATATGTATCTTCCGAAACTGAAGTGTGTGTGGAATGTTGTCTGGTGATTGCCTACTTGTGTGTGGAACTTAGAGTCACAACACACATCTTTCTCCTCTTGTTGTGTGTGCGGGGTGCTCTTATGGAGCTGACATTTTTATACCCTCCGTAAAAAATAATCCCCCCACTGCGAAACGAAATTTGTGCTCCTGGATTCTTCCGCCTGCCATTGCTTCCGCCCTTATCCCCAGTTTTATTCTTTTCACACGGCCCACCTTTCTTTCCAATGTATGCCGGGTACGCAGTATACTTTTGTTTGCCGCTTTGATCAAGCATCAATGTCCCAATAATGTTCTGGTTGACGTGCCATGGGTCTTCTGGGTGTCAAAATCTTATCGTTTTGATTATAGAATACCTTTGCAACCATGCACGTGCTTCGGCAGTTCTCAACACTGGGAGCATATCTTGGGCATATAGTTTTCTTAAAACGATGTGATCTGGTATGGTGCTGGTTTCTGGTGGTATTATGATATCCAGTGGGTCATTGTCTTCTGCAATGTGCTTCGCTTAGGCTATTGGTATGGGTGAGGAATGGAGAGGTGGAGATATGCTCGTTTCAACCGGAGGTGGTCAGAAGATTGGCCTGCTAACCAAGGCTGCCGAGAAATACAAAGATGAGCAGGACTTGATTCTTATGTACACAGACAGGTCAGTACCCAGTACATCTGTCTGATTTAGTTCTGTGATCACTGTAACATCGTCATAGTGTGTTTGTGATCTATAGTTGTGGCAGAAAGTGAAATCCAGTCCACTGTACACTGTGGACCCTGCACTGGAAACGCTACTGAGCCTTGAAAGTTGACATCCTGAGCTCTCTCTCTCTCTCTCTCTCTCTCCCCCCCCCCCCACCCTCTCTCTCTCTCTCTCTCTCTCTCTCTCTCCCCCCCCCCCACCCTCTCTCTCTCTCTCTCTCTCTCTCTCCAAAACCTGATCATGAATCGGAGAGTATGTACACAGCCCAGATTCTGCTGAGTGGTCGCATGTCTATTTGCTCTGTGTGTTTAAAAAAAATGTCCGTTGCCCGATATATAATTTCTTCAGAAATTAACAGTGCTTAGAGGGGAAGTGATGAAATTGTATTGCTTACTGTAGGTTCCACTTTCCACTGTATCAGCTACTCCCAGAGTGCTGTGATAATTCCTGCTGTAGTGAAGGTTCTTGTTCACGTGCAATGGGAGCACATGGCACTTGCACCCACTGAGAGGCCACCAGCGACACTCCATACCAGTCAGTCTACTCTTGACAACGCCTATTGTGTGCCATGATAATTATACCGAAAATCGATAAATGGAGATGCAGCTGTTGAATGACGGGATTGAAAGGAATATTGCTACATGTAGTGTATACAATCAGACTGAGCAATAGAACAAGCTTCAGGCTCTTTACAATCAACATTTCAAAGTTGCCATTTGCACTTTCACTGCCTTCTTTACAGGTGAATACCGGCAAGCAAAAGAAGAAACTGTCCAGAACAATAACCTTTAAACAATGTATAGGTGATGGAAGCAGCAGCAGGTAGATTAGCGAGAACAAACAATGTGTTCAATGTGCCTGAGAATCGTCCGTGACTTCACTCCTTTCTGTGTATGTTCTCACTAGTCTACCTAAGTTCAGTCACTTCATTACAACTGTATTTTTAAAATACTATTTATGGTTGACTCAGGTGGTGATAAAGACACACCTGGCGAATTCACGGTACATACACACCTTTTCCGCCCGCACTCTCTAATCTGCATTGGCAATCTGGCACAGAGCCCCCTTCTCACCACTACCACCACATTCAGTTTACACATACTTGTAGTCGATGCTTGGCTAGTGGTCTCTGGCATAGCGGGCTGGTACATCAGGTAGCGCTTAGCACATCAAGGATGACACAGCAACGACTTGGCACAATTGCGACTCACGCTTCACGACTTAGAGAGTGTATGCGGGCAGGTGTGCATTTATCACTATAAGAATATGAGTCAGCCCTAATGCTACTTTTAGTGCTGCTGTTATCACCTTGTATACGCCATTGTTTAAACTGAGTGATTGTGCTGGGTAGTTCCTTCTTCTGCCTGAATTCACCCGATGATACGGCAATGAAAGTGCTAGTGGCAACTTTGAAGGGTTGAGTGTGAGGAACCTGAAGCTTGTTCTATTCCTTAGTTTTATTGCAATACTATCTCCAAGAAAACTGAAGGTGTATACATGAGCTATTGGCGTAAGAAGTGAATTGGCTGCTGGTGCATTGGATTTTTTTTAAATCCATCACAACATTCTGGATCTGAGTTGTACTTGTACTCAGGGGTGTAAGATGTACAACCTGACCACTGCTACACGGATACTTACACATACAGACATGTGTTACGGAAAGTGATTTCTTCTTCTATGGAACGAGACACCACTTACTGTACAGCGTAGTGTGTATTCTTGACTATACTACTGTCTCACTATCTGACATTGTGCTTCGATGCTGGGTGGTGTGCAGCTATGATGTGATCATCAACTCGGACCCCGCTGAAATCATCCAAAAGTTCATGGACTTCAACGCAAACATGGTGTTCGCTGCCGAAGGATTTTGCTGGCCCGACGAGTCCCTAGCTGTGAGTTTCGTATACATGTATTGATCTGCCCATGAATAATTGCATTTGAATTCTTTATTCCTGCCTTGTAATTGACATACAGGCTTAACTTAGGTAGTCTCGTGCGACAACGTCTTCATTGCAGGTGGCTTACAGTTGCTATTCAGATTTGAATTGTTTCATTTCCACTTATGACCTCCCAGAGCAAACAGATGTACAGTCGGACCTCGCATAACTGCACACATCCGTTTTCCACAAAAATATCCGGATAGGCGAGGGAACCGGATAATTGAACACACACACTGTATGTATGCATGACATGCTGTAAATCGGTAACCACCGATATTCTTCCGGATGGCGAGGGATCCGGATAAAAGAGGACCGGATAAGCGAGGTCTGACTGTACACGTATGTTAATGGTCATTATGAGGCGTTTCCTGGGCCTTGTTTAACGTGTGTGCGTGTGTTTGTCACTGGGCATGTGTGTGTGTGTGTGTGTGTGTGTGTGTGTGTGTACGTGTGTGTGTGTGTGTGTGTGTATGCGTGTGACCGTTTCCTTTAGACAAAGTACCCCCGTGTTGCGATGGGAAAACGTTATCTTAACTCTGGAGGTAAGAAGATGAGGAAAGCAAGCCCTTTGTGCTGTCTTCAAATTGCACTAGCATTTTCTTTCCAGTTTTGTAGACAGCACAGACACGCGCGCACGCACACACACACACACACACACACCTTTTGACCTTTTGACGCCCATCGCCAGAGGCGATGATAGCGATGCTACAGCAGAAGCCATTGAAACTTGTGTTGGGATTGCACCATTCAACAGCTTGCAAGGCTGATGAATTGACCACTACTATTCAGCCTGGTCTACAGCTATTTTGAAGTTGCTTTTTCTGGCCACACACGCACCCCCCCCCCCCTCCCCCCCCCACACACACACAGCGACACACACGCACACACACACACACACACACACACACACACACACACACACACACACACACACACACACACACACACACACACACACACACAGTGACACACACACAGTGACACACACACACACACACACACACACACACACACACACACACAAACCTGGTCCTGGTACACACTGCCATGTACGTCACGTGTTTCTCGTTGAGCGAGACGAAGACGAGAGGAGACATGAGCGTTGGTGATGGGATAAGTCGTTTTGCGACACACACACACACACACACACACACACACACACACACACACACACACACACACACACACACACACATAGCTATACAGCCAATGCATGGTATACACTTAGGGAATAGAGAATGAGAGAGAGAGAGAGATAGAGAGAGAGAGCTCTTGATATCATGGGTGTCTTCACAAGCTGTAGGTGGCAACTGTTGTCATTATAATTATGGTGTCGTGCAGGATTCATGGGCTATGCACCTAAGTTCTACTCTGTGGTGTCACACAAGGAAGTCAGTGACACTTACGATGATCAGCTCTACTATACTCTGCAGTATCTAGATGCCGCCAGAAGAGTGAGTCATGCACCAGCAACCCGGCAGCCGCACTATAAGCCCATGCATGCCGTTGACTGTTCTCTGTGAGATAAACCTAAAGACCTTTGCTCTCATTCTACATTGATATTATTCAGTCCACCAATCAGCTTTTGCATCTGCATTCATGCAAGCCCCTGTAGCGGAGGGGGGGGGGTGTTACCTAGTGCATCTGTTCCCTATAGTGAATTCATTCAGTATGGCCAAAGCGGGTCCAAAATTCCAAACGGATCGATTCAAAATAACAGATGTGATTGGACGATGGCAGGGGTGTCGGAACCGGTGTGACAGGTGGGGCCAAAACTGCACCAGGGATTCCATCTTGTGGATTTTTGAAGCAATCCAATATGGTCTATTTGGGCCCAATTTTCCAAAACATTTTCCTGGCGGACGGCCTCCTCCACCTATTCATGTCCGCACCAATGTTGGATGCCTTCCGACGCCCCTGGATGGATGAAAGGGAACCATCAGTGCTCTAGCAATGCAAACCTATAATTTTAGCGAGGACAAAGTCACATTCTCGGCTGCCAGTAACCACACTATGTTCTCAGGCATACCGTATTTGGAAAATATACACTGCTTCAGAGATTTAATATATTGTTATTTTTGTATTGAGTGGCAAAGACTGGTAGTTTGTTTTGAGATTTGAATGACAATTATTATTTTAGTATTGAGTGGTAATCATACATGTACATACGATACTAGTTCGAGTGGCGGAGCAGTGCCGGTGTTTGTGCACCACTGGCTGATGGTCCCTGCCACTGCTTCTCCAATCCATGCAAAGCATTGGAAGTGATGACGTAATGATTACTTCATCATAGGACCTCTGTATATGGTATAGGGCTGACCTCGTTACTTAGTACATCATGTATTCTTGATACCTGCATGTCTTGTTTCTCTTCTGCGTGTGCATGCATATGTGTTTGTGAGTGTGTGTGTGTGGTGTGCTTCTTGTGTATGTGTGTGTTTCTGGTGCATGTGTGTGCATGTGTGTATGTGTGTACGCGTACGTGTGCGTATGTATATCCTGGTATTAGAAAGAGATCGGTATGCGATTGGATCATCGCTCACACATTTTCCAAAACCTGAATGGTGCAACAGGTGAGAATCGATCTTTACCAAGGTTTACTAAGGATTTCAGAAAGTTTATGAATCGTTGTGTGTGATTATTGTGTTATACTGCACTGGCTTACATACTCATCACGGCTGAATGGTCGTTATTCTTTATTCTCATGATGGCGACTTGCGCCAATAAGAGATAAGGTTAGTTTGTAGGCTGTTTCCTGCAGGTGCGTGTGTGTGTGGGGGGGGGGGGGCATGTGTTTACATGTGCACGGACGTGTGTGTGTGTGTGTGTGTGTGTGTGTGTGCGTGTGCACGTGTATGTACGCGCGTGTGTGTGTGTGTGTGTGTGTGTGTGTGTGTGTGTGTGTGTGTGTGTGTGTGTGTGTGTGTGTGTGTGTGTGTGTGTGTGTGTGTGTGTGTGTGTGTGTGTGTGTGTGTGTGTGCACTCTGACTTAGTCACCATGTGCACGTTTGAATGTATGTACATGTACGTATGTGTATATGCAGACGATCTTGAAATCAACTTTACACAAGAAGGAGCTGCATTCCTTGTCAACAGCATGTACTCAACCACACCATCTGTGGTACATGGCAATGGGCCATTGTCCATGAAGGTAACTACTGGTTGCTCATTGCATGCCTAACTTAGGCCTGGGACCTGCATATACTGTACCTACATGACTCATGAGTGGGCAGAGCAGCCGCATGTGAAATCTAACTTCATGAATAAGCAAAGCCCAATTACTGTACAGGGAGATAAAGCCTATTCGAACAGAAGCAAATTAAATTCGCACGTGGGCTGTTAGGTAGGTCATCAATAACTTTGCTAGTTACTTCCATTGGCTGTCTATTGCGGTTTGTACTTGTACACTTGTTAGATCCCGTCACACTTCCACCTTCTTGTCATCCCTCGGTGTTTGTAGCGTTTACACTGAGCTACCCAGGGTAGTTTTTACTTATCAAGTTTTATTCTCTACACCTGTGCATTGCATTGCCAGTAAACCACTCACTGATGGGTAAGGATGCCATGAACTGCCTACTGCTCTGCAGCCATGGTCGTGCGGCTCACTGTCTATGTTGTCATGATTGTGTTGTAATGTTTCTTTCACTCCAGGATACGCTGAATCGCTATGGGAATTACCTGGCTGGATCTTGGTCCAACACAGAAGGTTGTCTGGCATGCAAGGAGATTGAGTTCACCCTGAAGAAAGCCTACGTAAGGAATGGAATACATGATGAATACAAAAACATACAAAAGCGTATTCATTGGTTTGAGGGAAACAACATACATAATACTAGTATGGTAGGATGCTGGTCATTTCATATCCGGGCTTTGTATTAATATATAAATAGAAACTGTGACAATGCACTATCCATGGCCTGTTTTGTTTTGGTTGCTTACCAACTATTGCCATGGGAACTCCTGCGGGCTGGATTATCCAGCTGCTTTCTAACGTTACGCCTTCTATGCACTCCCTCATGTCAGTCTTGTTCAAAAGGGATGGCAATTGATGGCTAACAGCACTTCTTTCCCTCTTCTCTTTCAGGATGACGATCATCCACTTGTGCTCGTTGCACTGTTCGTCGACCAGCCTGTTCCCTTCTTCCACAAATTCCTTCAGCGGATTGAGCGCCAGTTCTATCCGAAGAGCCGCTTGGCAATCTTCTTGCACGTTAACTTTCTGGTTAGTCAACCGATGGAAATGTTGTTAGTGGTCCAATGTGTCAGTGCATGTGTTCTTTCAACTCTACCTTTAATTAAGTGCATTTCACTTTTCACCTCAGTCATGATGTAGTTGAGTTCGGTGCAAGAGCATGAAACATGACCATGGCCCGGCACACATCACGATAGCTATGATTAATCCTCTGTCCTCTGTCCTCTGTTGGATTGTTTCACTGACCTACTAACATGCTGACACACACACACAGGCAAAGTACCACTCATCTGCTGCTGCTGAGTGGATAAAGAGCATCAAGGCATTGGAGCAGCCGTACTTCAGTGTAACGTTCGATGATGGCAGTTTTGACGAGACAGGTACCAGCCAAGATGCCCGGGGTCGTGCTCTGTAAGCATAATATTGCCTTGCACGGAAAGAAATGTGTTGTACTTGTGCACGTAGGCTGGCTTTGAAATATACACGTAGGCTGGTTTTGCAATTATGTAGTACTGGCTACTGCATTGGGAGGTGTGCAGTAGAAATCGGCACAGAGAGTGCATTACAACTTGATGGCGGCAACAGTTGGGACTGGCTGCCCTGTCTGTGCTGTATGTGGAGGTTATCTTTGACAGGATATGTCCGCTAAGGAATGTCACACTGTATTACATCATCATTGACTTAATCTGGTTATGAATGATAGCACGATAGCGTAAAAAAATCAATGTACTTATACCAAAGTGGATCCCTGGATAACAAGTGCACACAAGCACAACAGCATGAAGCTCCATACTTGTACCTGGCAGTATGTGCATGTGTGTATACTTGCATGAGTGCAGGCACATGACTGCTATAACAATGATCGGTCACACTGGCCACAGCCACCATTAATTTTTTCTCCTTGAAAAAGAAACGACTCTTGCCTGATTCTATCACTCTACAGGGTGGTGTATGGATATTATTATCTAATAGGCCCCTTGAAAATACCCCTATCCATAGAAAGCAGAGCCCGAGCAGCACATGCTCATATAGGATCCTCACTAACATTTGTCTCCCTCTGTTACACTTCTCGTTCTGTTATCAGGAAAGAATGTCAAACAATCAATTGCTCTTTCTACTTCTCAGTGGATGCTGATGTCATGCTCACCAACCGACTGGTTCTGAAGCGCTTGGTAGAGCAAAACCGGTGAGTTGGTTATACAAGTACAACTATATCTGTGTCTGGTGATTAATGTACATGTACTGGAAAGCGCTCACGTTCTTTCTAACCAATTGGATGCATGTATGGAATGGAATGGCATATCCATTCTGAAAGTAATAATCTGTTAAAGATTCGAAATATGCAGACAGGAATAAGAATATTCTTCGTTTATGTGGAATAAGAGTACATATAATATTATTCGTAAATGTACAGAAACTCACCTTTTCGATATATAATACGCTTATGTTATGCAGAATATGAGTAGGCCTGTCACCTTCCATGTGTTATCATCAGCAAGCCAAATGATAACAATGCCCTTTTCAAATGTCTCTCTTGTAATATGGGTAGCCACCCGTTGATGGTGTGTGGTTACCATGGATACAACTAGGTATCCATGGCTTTTGTTTGGTCTAGAATATTCGGAATATTCTTCGTTTCAGGTGTATTCGGAAAAAGAATATTCGTTTGCTGCATTGAGCATTCGTTTCAGCCATAGACTCATTAACTAATAAGCACGCTACGAAAACCGGTTGCCGACGAAATTCTAGAACATTCCGGAACATTAGTATACGCGGCCAATCACAGTTCACAGCTCAGGAACAGTAATACAAGCGACCAGTCACAGTTTGCAACAGACAGGCATACTGGTTGTTAAAGTGAGAAATACGGGTTTAGCCACACACGACTCGTACACGACTCACGAGCACCTCACTGAAAGGGTAATAACATGCAGATACGACACATTCCAGGAGAGAAAAAATGTAACTAACTGCCCATCTTGGGGTTCGAACCTAGGAATCTATTTTCCACTCAAGCTCGAAAAATATACTTTCTATCAAATAATGCAACTCCTACATAGTGATCAAGTGGAATCCCGGCCACAGCCTTTTCATGTAGCAGTGGGGATGCATGTAGCAGTGGATATGCACTTTTGATACATGATGTACGTGTATGTGCTTCCATGCATCCGCAGAACAATCCTTGCACCACTTCTTTCCAAGCCGGAAAAGCTGTGGTCAAATTTCTGGGGTGCGATATCCTCGACTGGTTACTACGAACGGTCTGAGGACTACCTTGCCATTGTGAATGGTGAGCGAAGGTACGTGAAGCAACCTCTTCTTTTACTTTCACTCAAAATTATTGTAAAAATACTCGTATGTTTTTATCTCTCACATCTTAGATTTAGTGAAATAGCCGAATTCAAGCTTCGTTACCCCACCGAGGCTGCATGGCAACTAGCAGTTGAAATTGACACAGAACAGTTAGAACATGTTGAAACTTGTGATAGTACAATAAAGCCTATTATGGCATACAATGCACCCTTCCACCCCCCCCCCCCCCACACACACACACACATACACACATGCGCGTACACACATGGATACATGTACGCCAACAGGTACACAATGCACACAAACACACCCCCACCCCCCCCCCCACACACACATGCACACACATGCACACGCGCGCACACACACACGCACACACGCACACACACACACCATGACTAAACACCAACACACATCTTGAAATGTAACACAATACTACGTCCAACATTCATGCTCCTCGTGTTAACTTTGTTTAAAGAAAGATGTGCATGTGTCTGCTTGCTTTTCTTGGCAGAGGAACGTGGGTTGTTCCCCATATCTCGCATGCCTACCTTGTCCGTCGTGACGTAATTGATCAAGGAACCATCGTCTACCCAGTTGTTCCAGGTGTTGACAAAGACATGGCATTTTCATCACGTCTAAGACGACAGGTAAGCGTGCTGTCTATTTAGTTAACAGGCAATGGGTCAATCTGATCTGGCTATCATAGATTCAGCACTGCCACTTCCACTGCTGCTTGCCATGTGACATGTTGCACAACGATAATACTTGTACTGTGATATTTGCTGCGGTGTGTGTGTGTGTGTGTGTGTGTGTGTGTGTGTGTGTGTGTCACGGTGTGTGTGTGTGTGTGTGTGTGTGTGAGTGAGTGTGGTGTGTTGTGTGCGTTGTGTTTGAGTATGTGTTGTGTGTGTTGTGTTTGAGTATGTATCACAAGAAGCTGGGGAAATGCCCAGCCATGAGATTCATACCAATTCAATAATGCTGACTCGGATGATTTCCGTAGTCTGCCTGCTTCAGCTTTCCATGCATTTTACATTTTATTTTATTATGATGTACAGACAATGTACTTTCACAATGCTGCGGACAGCTAGACTGAGCTAGCTGTTTTGGCCACTGATCCGTGATCAGTGCAGCAGCAGCAGCAGCTACAAGAGCTGGAATACTAGTAGAGCTGAACAACGTGATTGTATATCTGTGACTACACTCTTGTAGTGGTTGCGTTCACTCGTGCTCATGGCTACCAGTCAATGACACATTGCATGTGCGACTAAGCCGAGTGCTTCTATTGCGCGTCTGTGTTATTTTTTCAGGGCACATTCATGTATGTGACGAACAAAGAAATGACCACCTGGGGACACCTGTCTGAGCTGTCATCATTCACCACAAAACACCTACACAATGATATGTATCAAATCACTGACAACAAGTGGGTAAGTGTATTGCAAATTGAATATGTGTGTTCATGCACATGCATTACGCTAGCATATGTGTGTATGCCCGTGTGTGTGTGTGTGTGTGTGTGTGTGTGTGTGTGTGTGTGTGTGTGTGTGTGTGTATCCGTATGCCCACGTGCATGCATGTGTCGGGGGGGGGGGGGGGGGAGCTGCCATGGCACTTTCTCAGCAGCCACTGGAATACAGAGATATTCCAAGATAGATGAAGTACTGCCGCTCAATCTGAGAGAATGTCTCCGACTATCAAACTGTGGTGGAGAAAGGATTTGCAAATTTGAATATTCTTGCGCAAACACATCGCAGCATAGTGCAGGCAATCAGAGATGTGTGGCATGTAGTACAACTTACACTCAGTGTGGGACGGTAGGTCCACATAATGTTACCATAAGTTGGAATAGAGTCTGTGTGTGTTTGTGTGTGTTGTGTGTGTGTGTGCGTGTGTGCGTGCATGTGTGTGTGTGTGTGTGTGTGTGTGTGTGTGTGTGTGTGTGTGTGTGTGTGTGTTTGTATGGTGTCCACTACAGGACTGGGAAGAGGAGTACCTGCATCCGAATTATTCGCGAAATCTCAACACGAGCATCCCACTAAATGAGGTGAATACCTTGAACTGTACAGCTTCTACAGATTTACTTACAGCCCCTGGTCAAAGACACAGTCACTGCTCCAACATAGCCGCTGGTCAAGCACATGCAGTCGCTGGTCAAACACATGCAGTCGCTGGTCAAACACAGATGCTGGTAAACTTGCCATAGGTGATCATCCTGCCATGGGTGATCATCCTACCATAGGCGATCATTCTACCACAGGTGATAATTTCACCATAGGTGATCATCTTGCCATAGGTGATCATCTTACCATAGGTGATCATATTGTCATACAACCCAACAGCCATAAGTGATCATCTTGCCATAAGTGATCCACTTGCCATAAGGCATAAGTGATCCACTTGCCATAGGTGGTCCACTAGCCATAAGTTGTACACTAGCCATAAGTGATCCACTTGCCGTAAGCGATCCACTCGCCGTAAGCGACCCACTTGCCGTAAGTGATCCACTTGCCACAAGCGATCCACTTGCCACAAGCTATCCACTTGCCACAAGCGATCCACTTGCCATACGCGATCCACTTGCCATACGCGATCCACTTGCCATACGCGATCCACTTGCCGTAAGTGATTCACTTGGCGTAAGTGATCCACTTACCATAAGTGATCCACTTGCCATAAGTGATCCACTTGCCGTAAGTGCTCCACTTGCCGTAAGTGCCCCACTTGCCGTAAGTGCTCCACTTGCCGTGGGTGCTCCACTTGCCGTGGGTGCTCCACTTGCCGTGGGTGCTCCACTTGCCGTGGGTGCTCCACTTGCCGTGGGTGCTCCACTTGCCGTGGGTGCTCCACTTGCCGTGGGTGATCCACTTGCCTGGGTGATCCACTTGCTGGGGGTGATCCACTTGCCGTGGGTGATCCACTTGCCGTGGGTGATCCACTTGCCGTGGGTGATCCACTTGCCGTGGGTGATCAATTTGCTTTAGGTGATGATCTTGCACACATTCCTCCTGCTGCTACATTGAATTTCAGAAAAGGACAGGCCTGGCGAAGGCCTGTAACAACTAGCCCATATTGTCAGCCAGTGTCCTCTACTAAGAATCCGAATTACTTTACCAAGTACAGCTGTACATGGCTTTACATGGCTTTACATGCACTTCTATCCCAACTGGATAGGCAGGCATTGCGTTAATTTGCATTTGTGGTTGTGTTGTCAACCATGCCTATGTTTCTCTATCCTTTCCAGCCTTGCCCTGATGTTTATTGGTATCCATTAGTCACAGAGAAGTTGGCCAGGGAGATGATTGAAGTGAGTCATGGGTTACAACATATTGTGTATACTGTGTGTGTGTGTGTGTGTGTGTGTGTGTGTGTATGTGTGTGTGTGTGTGTGTGTGTGTGTGTGTGTGTGTGTGTGTGTGTGAGTACGCGTGCATGTGTGTGTATTTGTGTTTGTATGTGTGTGTGCGTCCATGTGTGTGTATGTGTGTCCATCTGTGTGCGTAACGTGTGTTTTAAACTGTTTTTTACTTCCAAACATTGCCCCATCGGGAAAGGGAAAACGGGAGAACATGAAAAGGAGAATAGAGAACAATGGGAAGGTGGGGGCTACAGGGTAGCCGTGTTGATGAGTCTGGAGGCGCTCCACTGACCATTGGTGGTGGTGGGGGGGGGGGGGGGGGGGTGTGTGTGTGTGTGTTGATGTATATGGATTCCCCCATGCCATATTTGACCTGTAGTTCATGTACTCCCGTACTAGATTTGTACCACAGTTGTATGACCTCGCACCATAACGGCATGCTTGCTTGGCTTGGGAGATACTTCCGTGCTTCATGTGTTTTGCCTCTTCAGTTGTGTTTTCCTTCTCTTCAGATTTGTTTGATAATAAATGTCTTCTTGCTATCTGTAGACATATCATGGCGCAGTGAACTGTTCGTTCCTTGTAGAACTCACCTGTGTGTTTAGTTTCTCGTGCTTTGTGTTTGCACCTCGTTGTGTTGCGCACTGGCCGATTTTTTTGTAGTTTGTTCGTGATACCAGCATTTGCGTAGGTTGCGACCACGATGTCCGACTCAGACCCTGCTCCTGACATTGTTGCCCTGACCGCGATGTTGGCGGCACAAATGAAGTCCTCAGAGGAGAGGGAACGTAAAATGGCTGACCTGTTCCAACAAACTATACAACGACTGACACAACCAACACAACAACCCGTGCAACCCAGCACCACATCACCAGCTCCAAAGCCTGTCTCTGCGGAGCGACCGATTTTACTGTCGTCCTCGACATTAGCCGACTTCACGGCATGGCAGGAAATGTGGCGAGACTATTATGAGTGCCAGCACCTGTCAGCCCAGAGCCGTGAGACCAGAGTATCCTCGCTGCGGCAAGCTCTTGATGAGGAGCTACGCAGATTTCTCCGCGAGGGTATTATCGTGACTTCTCCGAATCCCGATGCGGACGATGTGATTTCTGCAGTCAAGGAATATTTGCGACGGCAGCGCAACCCACTCCTGGATCGTATCGCATTTTACGACAGGTGTCAGTCGAAAGGCGAGTCTTTCGATTCTTTTTACACTTCGTTGAAAGAATTACACACTAGCTGTGATTTTCCGGACGTTGTTTTGTGCTCACAATGTTCAGCACACACATGTAGTACCTGTCGCACAAGCCTGACACGTGTGCGTGCTGACACCCTGCGTGACAGGATTGTCATTGGAATTGGTGACGACGCTACCCGGCACAAGCTATTGTCTGCCAAGGACTTGACCCTGAACGATGCAGTCACAATTTGCCGGGCGGAGGAAGCGGCTACCACGACGAGCAGCAGTATCCCGTCCACCAGCCAGCTCAATGCTGTGCGGCGGTCCGCGTACCAACGCAGTAAGCAACAATCCCGACAGGGACAGCCTGGCAGCAAGATGTCTGCACCTGTATTGCCATCTGCATCCGCTCCCTCTTCAGGAAGCGACACACACAAGAAGTGCCCCAATTGCGGCCGGAGCCCGCACACAAAGTCTAGTTGCCCTGCCAGCGGCAAGAAATGTAATGGCTGTGGCAAGACTGGTCACTTTCTCGCTATGTGTAGGTCGTCGTTACAATCGGACCGGAACGTGAAGCATGTGGGCCAACTGAAGTTGCAGCGTACTCGTCTTGCTGCGCAGCCTATTGTGCGTGTGTCCACCCGTTTAGCCACTGAGGATGAGGCAGTCACGCTACCCTGGGTCCCTGATACTGGCAGTGACGTCGATGCCATTGGCGAGCATCATCTCGAACTGCTTGGCGGGTTCCCCGAGAACCTCGACCATGACCCAGAGTGCGTCCTAGCGGCATCTGGAGAGCAGTTGCAGAACGTCGGCAGTATTCGTGCTTCACTTCAGGTTGGCGAAGTACAACACAGCACCGTAATCCACGTGTACAAGGGTCTGGACGATGCTCTTCTATCACGTTCGTCCTTGAGTGCACTCCAGCTCCTCCCGTCAGATTGGCCTGCACAGTACCCTGCTGCTAATGCTGCCGCGCCACCTAAGATCCGTGCTGTATCAAAGCCTGTTGTCAATCCTAGCTCTGCTGATATCGCTCGTGTTCGCGATGAGCTACTGCAGGAGTTCTCGGACGTGTTTTCCGACACTGGCTTGAAGGCGATGGCAGGTCCTCCGATGGACATCCAACTTCAGCCAGATGCTAAGCCGTCATGTGTCCATACCGCACGCCCGATTCCGTACGCGTTTCGTGACCAGGTCAAGTCACAACTGGACACAATGGTTGTCGATGGCATAATCGAGCCTGTCAGTGAGCCTAGTGAATGGTGTCACCCGATTGTGCTCGTCGACAAGAAAGGTACCACTGAGAAACGCCTCACCGTCGATTTCAAACGATTGAATGACCAAGTCCTGAGACCAGCCCACCCTGTTCGCACCGCTCGCGATGTGGTTTCTGGTATTGGATCGGCACAGTTCCTCACCAAGCTTGATGCAAGGCACGGATACTGGCAAATCCCACTGAGTGAGCAGGCATGTCCAATGACCACATTCATCACCCCATACGGCAGGTATCGTTTCCTACGCAACCCTCAAGGCCTGATTTCCGCCGGGGATGTTTTCAACTGCCGCACTGATGCTGCGTTCGATGCAATCCCGAATTTCGCCAAGGTTGTAGATGATTGCCTGGCCTATGATGACGACTTTGCCTCCCATGTCACCCATGTTCGTGACATCCTGCTGTGTGCTCGACAGCATGGCATTACTCTGAGCCCGTCCAAATTCACCTTTGCGTCACGTCACATCCATTTCTGCGGCTACATTGTCAGTCCAGACGGCTGGGTTGTTGACGATGACAAGGCAGCGGCTATTCGCGATTTTGACATTCCTGCGAACCGCACTGATTTGCGTTCGTTTCTTGGCCTGGTGAACCAGTGTAGCGAGTTCTCACCACACCTCGCCGCCTGCACCACTCCGCTTCGTGGTCTGTTGAAGACGACCCGTGAGTTTGTCTGGGATGCCAACCACACTGTTGCATTCGAGAAGACCAAGTCTACTCTGCTGTCTCCTCCTATCCTGGCCTTCTACCAGCATGGACACGACCTCCGTCTGGAGACTGATGCCTCTGCACTACGTGGTCTCGGCTTCGTTCTGTGGCAGAAGCAGGATGATAAGTGGCGAATCATCCAGTGTGGCTCCCGCTACCTCTCTGACGCCGAATCTCGCTATGCTGTTGTTGAGCTTGAGATGCTCGCCGTCGTTTGGGCTGTGCACAAGTGCAAGTTGTACTTATCCGGCACCCTATTTGATCTGATCACTGATCACCGTCCGTTGATCCCGATTATCAACGCGTATTCTCTAGATCAGATCGAGAATCCTCGCCTTCTCCGTCTTCGCCTGAAGCTGCAGTCGTTTCAAGTGCACGCTTCCTGGCGAAAAGGCTCTGATCACGCGTTTGCTGATGCGCTGTCTCGCAATCCCGTCGGCATCCCGTCTTCAGATGATGAACTCGGCGAAGCCCCTGCTCTTCATTGCCGCAGCATCCGTGTGTGCATGCTCCGTGATGATGGTCCTCACCCCAACCTGAAGTTTGCTGAACTTCGAGCAGCCGCCTCAGCTGATCCAGTCTATCAGTCTCTTGTCCAGTGCGTTCTGCATGGTTTTCCCGCTCGGCAGCGTGATTTGGATGCTCCACTACAACCCTTCTGGAATGGACGTGAACACCTGTCAGTGGACCAGGGCATCGTCATGAAAGGCCAACGCATTCTCGTTCCCTTGGCCATGCGTCAACGTGTTCTCGCTAATCTTCATGCCTCACATCAAGGTCTCGTCCGTACCAAGGCTCGCGCCCGACAGCTCGTGTACTGGCCTGGTCTCACCGCCGACATAGACACCCTTGTCCGTGCCTGTTCCGCGTGTCGAGAATTCCAGTCGTCACAGTCAGCCGAACCACCGATGAATGACCGTCATCCTACTCTGCCGTTCGAGTTTGTGTCCGCTGATCTGTTCTCTTGCCAAGGCTACGAGTTTCTTGTTTATGTCGACCGTCTGACTGGTTGGCCGTGCGTTGTTCGAACCGGCAGGACCACGTCATCACACGATGTCATTCTCGCTTGTCGTCGTTGGTTTGCCGATCTGGGTGTGCCTGCTGTACTGTGCACCGACGGTGGCCCCCAGTTTGCATCGAAGAAGTTTGCCGACTTCTGTAGCCGTTGGCAAGTGCAACGCGTATCCTCTTCCCCGCATTATCCCCAGAGTAATGGACATGCGGAAGCCGCAGTGAAAGCCATGAAGCGCTTGCTGCTCAAGACCTCGTCAAATGGCAATCTCGACACAGATGCATTTCGTCGTGGTCTACTGGAGTGGCGGAATACGCCCGGTCCGTCTGGCAAGAGCCCAGCTGAGCATCTTCTCGGGCATCCACTTCGGTCTTTCGTCATTGCTGAGTGGACGCAGTTTGATTCCTCGTGGTCGACCGTCGCTAGTGAGCGTGAAGAACAGTCACCACCCTCGACACCTGTTTCCGCCAGTACTCCCACCCACCGCTCTCTTCCCGTTCTCCGTATCGGCACTCCTGTGGACGTCCAGGATCCGAAGACGAAGCGTTGGACAACCCGTGGCGTGATTGTGGCCATTGGGCAGCACCGTGACTATTTCGTCAAGTTGGCTAGTGGTCGAGTTTATTGGAGAAATCGCCGTTTTCTTCGTCCGTTCTCTCCACCCGTGCCGTCACCAGCACCATGTGTTTCACCACAGCCGTCTGTTGTCGTTGCTCCTGCTACGCCTCCTCCTCTGCGTCGCAGCACACGAGCGCACCAACCACCCTCTCGTTTGAACATTTCCTCCACCCGTGGACAATCTTATGCATCTTGATTTGGTCTGGACACATCGTGTACATGTTCTTGAGGATTGTTCTTATATCGTATCTTTCTGTATCCTTGTGTGGCATGCTATGTCTGTTCCGCTGTGTGCTATGGGCCGTTGTTTGCCATACTTGTTCTTTTCTTGTTTTGATTTGATTTGATAGATAATACTGGATTTGTTTTCTCAGCATTATCTCGAAGGGGCGTGATGTATATGGATTCCCCCATGCCATATTTGACCTGTAGTTCATGTACTCCCGTACTAGATTTGTACCACAGTTGTATGACCTCGCACCATAACGGCATGCTTGCTTGGCTTGGGAGATACTTCCGTGCTTCATGTGTTTTGCCTCTTCAGTTGTGTTTTCCTTCTCTTCAGATTTGTTTGATAATAAATGTCTTCTTGCTATCTGTAGACATATCATGTGTGTGTACACATGTGCATGTGCATGTATGTGTGTGTGTATGTGTGTGTATGTGTCGGGGGTGTTATAATCTGTAGAATGAATATGGGGAAGTGTGTGTGAGAATGAATATGGCTGGTATTTCACATGGATCATTTTATTATTAGTCTCCATTTGTTGTTAATAAGAACTTATTATTACTGCAGTAGCTGTGTTGAAATGGAATTTAGCAGTTTCCAGCTGTTATTTGAACACCGATATACCTGAGACACAGCGTTTGTTTTACTTTTTCACCGGATATATGAGCCGGAGAGATGGGTGCACTGTGCCACATTACTTGACGATCAGTTTTTGATGTCAAAGTGCTAAGGAAAAGAAATAGAGAAACGCGTGTGGTGGGTAGTTTGGAGAGCTAGAAAATAGTCCTGACCAATGTAGTTGTTGACTTGTTGTTAAGAAAATCTCTGTCTTGTTACGCGTATACTCTTGTGACTAACAACAGGAAGTTGAGCACCTTGGCGAATGGTCTGGCGGAAGTCATGAGGTGAGCTTCAGTAAATGACTGCAAGTTTAGCTGGGCACACACCCAGATGACCGGGTCTATCTGTTGCTTATTAACCTTAATAATTAAAAGCTGTTTTTCTGTAAAGGAGTCAGTTTCTGACAGTAAGAACCTGGTCAGGTTACAAGTACATGACTGTATTCTTTTATACCTGCTCTATCCGGCGACTCGTGACCATTGGCAATCAATATACCGGTAGCAGTTCGGATCATGAGACCATCTCAATAATTATGAAGACGCTGAGATCAATGATTTCACTGTTGTTGGCATTGTAATGACCACCCTATGGCCCACTTGAGCTGCCCGTGTACGCACAGGTTTTCATGTTCTTGTATGGAGACTTACAGCATGTGAATCGCTAGATGTATTGTCATCATGATAGTTCACGATGTCTTGTGGCTTTGCAAAATACTTTTCTACACTTCATGTCAGGGTTCTAGCAGGTTGGGCTTGCCGAATGCCCGGCTGCAAAAAAATCTTTTTCAAGTCATTTGCTCGGGATTCCCTATGATGCTCTGTTTTGGTACTTTGGCTGTGTGCAGGATGAAGTGTATCATTAATTTTGATGATTTTCATTTTGCTGTGCTGTGTCATGGTTTGACTGTGTATAGGACAAACGGATCTCGGGTGGCTATGAAAATGTACCCACTGATGACATCCATATGACACAGGTAACCATAGTAACATTCTACAGCATTTGTATGCATGTTGGTATGTGGCGGCATGTTGGCAGGTGGCATGTTGGCAGGTGGCAGGTGGCATGTTGGCAGGGTGCTTGGTTAGGCTCAGTTGTCCTGTTTCTGTAGGTACGGTGACCTGTGATTGCTTCATTCGGCCAAAGTTCTAACCGTGTCCTGTTCAATGTAGAAGGTAGTTTGCAAATCGCCATGATCACTGCTGTGGAATACTAACAGCGGCCAATGTATAATGAACAAAGGAGGCGAAAACTTCCTGTTGGCCACTAATGGTATCAGACAAATCACCTTTGTACCATTTTGCTTTTTCCATGCGCTGCCATGCACTGGTAAATTGCAGCTTCTCAGTTTACATCTGTGTGTGAACCTTGTGTCCTGTTCAGATTAACTTCCAGCAGCAGTATTTGGACTTGATCAAGAGGTACATTCTTCCTGTGCAACTACGTGCCTATCCAGGTCACTATGCTGAGGTAGGTTCGCTCAGACTGTGTGCCGCATGCGTTTACTCTGTTTGATGTCTGTGTCTTTTGAAATGTACGCTGGTAGCTGCTGCAACTCACTTGTGTCATATGCAACCCGCTGTTTGCTCACCTCCACCTCACAACACAATGTATGCCCACACGCATCTTCGCCCCTCAACACACTGTATATCTACCACCTCCACGTCACAACACATATCCCTACCACCTCCATCTCCCTGCAAAGCATTGTGATTATTATTGCTTGTTTGCAGGGCAAAGCAATGCTCAACTTTGTGGTCAAGTACCAACCAGACAGACAGCCTGTTCTTCGTCCACATCACGATTCATCGACTTTCACAACTAACGTGTGCCTGAACCGACCCCACATTGACTACCAGGTATGTATAATTACATTAGTTCTCTCCTGGTGGCAACGTTTTAGATGCACTCTATGCCGTGTACGTTACTCTTTTACTATTGCCATCCCCTGCATGTACAGCACTCAGTTTGATACCCATTGCATTGTATTTGATGGCCACACTGCCACGGTCATGTCTGTACTGTGCTCTTATCTACATAACTGTTAACATTTACCTCTTTAATAATAATAATAATAATAATAATATGAACAGGTCGCATATTGCCCGCATAAACAAATCATACGGGGGGTCATGCATCTGTCAATGATCGGTTTAATAACCAGAGTTGCTTTTACCTCTTTGCTTATAAAAAATATAAATGTAGTTTATAACACGGGGTAATGTCACTAGCTGCTATGCCAACCAATTTCTCTTCTGATGCTTTGAACAGGGAGGTGGCTGTAGATTCCTGCGCTACAACTGCTCTGTTGTCGACAACAAGGTTGGCTGGACCATCATGCATCCCGGCAGGCTCACTCATTACCACGAGGGCTTGAGGACGACTGGTGGCACGCGCTACATCCTCGTTTCGTTCATTGACCCATGATTGATCTTGCACACCTCCAGCTCACGTCAGTGTGCTGGTAGTCTGCGATACAGAAGAGCACTATCTTCCTACCGCTGAAGTACGTATTCTTACGTTGATTGACCAATACTGGACCACCAGTTTATGCTAACAGGTTGATGTATCAGCTCATGTCATTGCCGACTGCTTGTGATGATGGTCTTGTCAATTGGCGTCAGCGCTGCTCTCCACTGCATGGACCATCGCATCCCAGCGTCCCCTGGGCACTATTGAAATTATCCGTTTATCTGCCTACTATTCAAGTTATCCCTATTTTCAATGTTGGATCTGTGCACTATTTAGTATCAAACCGCATAATATACTTATCAGTTTGCCGCTTCTGTTGTATTGCCCCCCACTCGATCCCATCATGCTTACTAATTTTCAGCTGAACAAAATGGAAAATTCCTGAGGTTCACCATTGCCTCTTACGATCATGCTGAGGTTGATGCTAGTACGGTAAATCCATGTTGCTGTTGTTGATTACACTGCTACAGAACAGCTGCTATAACACAATACAGCTGTTCTGAAAGAGTCTTTTGCTGCTGTTGCCAGTTTTGCTTCTCTTTTCGTTGCTCAGTACTGTCACTCTGCTTGGCTGCATGGATTTGCTCGGCTGGCTGAATTGTTACCAACTTACCATATGCCACCATCACTGCAGCAGTATCTGCTGGAAAGTTCATACCTGCTTGCCACCTGCCTATGGTTTTGTCCGCTGTATTGCGGGCCATGTTCTTGTGAGGATGAGACTTGAGAGGTGTGTGTGGGGGGGGGGGGGTACATGTTCGTTGCCGGATGATACTCGGAGTGGACCAACATGCCAACACATAATGCATGCAAGGGAATAAGACTCGGTACAAACTGCTTTTAATACCCATGCACTGTATGATGTGTATTCAAGAAGAAAAGGTAAGCAGCAGAAATTGGCCTTTCTCAGAAAGGTGTCCAAAGTGGAATCAAATAAAATTGATCTATTCACTGACATAAATAAAGCTGTCATCAGGCGTTGATAGGTTAAGTACATTGTCTTTTGAAGCAGTGGGTGGTGTGGGCCTGAACTTCTCTTTCCATCATAAAGCATTAGTATCTGCCACCAGTCCTGGTGCAATCGCGTTGAGTTGTTCTTTCATGTGTCGACAATGCTCCAGTGTCACCTCCAGCAACCACTGTTGCACTAGCTGCGCATGTTCTTGTCCGTTTTCTTCCTCGTCTGACCTACGACAGGGCAGGAACATCACAGGCGCAACACATACAGAACCATTGACATGCTCTGACTAACACTTGTCGATGTGTAGTCAGTTTTAGGAAGGATTCGTTGCACATCAGCAAGATTTTGGGATTGATTGTTTACCTTCATGATACTTCAACCCTGAAAACTTGAGTAATATCTGACGGAAAATGGTCTTTGACCCCAACAGTTTTTTTTTGCGATATAGGGCCGAGTTACAAGAGCACGTGTTAGGGTGTAGCACAATGTAATGAATCATTGAATAATGATGAGGACTGATGGTTAGACTTACTCTAAAGCTGCCTGACAGGCTGACAGTAGATACTGGCAGTCCGAGGACAAGGCCTGCAGTCACAGACAAGAACCACAATGAATCATATTAATACATTTTATTATCGTAAATCAGATCACTCGTAGTCATAGATCCTTGCAGCCTGAATGCTCCGAGTCCTATTATGATTAGCTCCACTGCTTCGCACTAGCATGCAGATGGTCCAAGATTCAATTACCAGGAAACAGAGGCTACAGCTGAGGTTCAAATCCTGTCGGGGAAGCGGAACTGGGATTTCCCTACACGGCTACAGTGGCCGGTCCACCATGAAGTGGGAGCTCATCATCGGACCTGGCACGAGGGTAACACTTGGGGTCGGTCTGATCTGCTCATCTCCTACTGCTTTAGGATCTGCATACCATGGTATGTACCTTAAAATACATTTTAGCCACTGCGGTGGAAGAGTTCGGGCAGATGAGGAATAATCGGTGGGATTGACTTTCATATGAATTATTAAAAAAAAAAAGGGCAATACCGCAAGGTTGCGTATTTGACCTCCTCCCATCTTCCTAAGAAAGCCGCTTGAAAAAGAAGAAGAGGATGTGTTTGTGCACACCTGCCTCTGAGCTCCTCTAATTATCAGCAAGAGCACACTGAGATGCCCAAGAGTGTTCAGCTGCAAACTCTGGGGTCTGCTATAGTAGAACTTCACATCATGCGACAAATCCGTGAACATTGCCTGCGCCTGGCCGGACCATACATGATTGCTAAGCCAAACTTGGTCAGCTGCCACATGATCGGGCATGGTGAGTCTGGCTGGTAACAGGTGATCAAAGTAAGTTGTTGGACGATTGATTGACATAGCAAAGAGGCCATGATCCGTTTCAATCCAATCAAGTGACTACCATATTGGCACTACTTACACTAGCCACACTCTGCTGAATTGCTGACATTTGCTCATGTTGCTCCTCGGTTAGCGAGTCTCTTACTGCTGGGGTTAAGTGAATTTCTCCATGCTCCTCGGGCTGCCCAAAGATCAGACATGATACACGGTCACAATGTATTCTCGTGAAATGAAAAAAAACTTGGCTTCCAATGTGCATGCATTCATAAGTTCGCTTTGCAGCGTGTGATGTTGTATACTGTCAAGTGTCAACAGTTGTCAGTAGGTTCAGAAAATAATGGCGGGGTGAACACTGCGGCAAGATCAACATTGTGTACCGCAAGAACAACACTATCCGTAGGGTAGGAAACAACCTAGTGAGCACAACCACACCCCGTGACACCTGACAATGAAACACATACAAAAAAAACAGTTTATCTAGATGCAAGTCACCAAGCTCGTTTAGTCATTTTCACTATCTGGCCAGTACTAGTATCTGCCACTCAAGTTCACACACCGACCACACACCCACTACACACCCACTGCACACCCACCGCACACCCACTGCACACCCACTACACATCCTCTGCACACCCACTGCACACCCATATGATGCCCATCGCCGGAGGCGATGATAGCGATGCTACAGCAGAAGCCATAGCAGCTTGTGCTGGGATACCACCATTCGCTTTTCCTGGCCAGTGAATCCCTACGTTTTGATCTTTTTAATTTTTTTCACGCACACACATCACACTACATACTCCGGCATGCATTGGCTGTTGGTAACCACCCAGGAGAATGAAAGAAAAGTCAGGAGTCTGAGAAAGAGAAGAAAGACGTGTGTGACCATAATCGTCGGGAGTCGAACCCGCAACCTATCGATTGGAAATCGCTGCACATACCACTGCACCATATGGGACACACTACACTGCACACTCACTGCACACCCACTCCACACCCACTACACACCCACTGCACACCCACTACACACCCACTACACATCCACTACACACCCACTGCACACCCACTACACACCCACTACACACCCTCTGCACACCCACTGCACACCCACTGCACACCCACTGCGTACCCACTACACACCCACTAAGCATCCACTGCACACCCACTGCACACCCACTGCACACCCACTACACACCCACTGCACACCCACTGCACACCCGGCTAAGCACCCACTGCACACCCACTGCACACCCACTGCACACCCGGCTAAGCACCCACTGCACACCCGGTTAAGCACCCACTATGCAGCAACTACACACTGACTTACCATAGTCAACATAAGCACCTGACCTGGTGTGCTAATAGCGTGTTCCTGGGCATAGAATACATGTAGATCACAATCACTCAAACAGGGATGGATCATCCTTGTCCATGGCATACCGAGCTTTCCCCGTCGCCCTTTCCAAGGTGCCAGGTACATTCACTCTTCAAAGTGGAATGGACCCAGTACAGGAGTGATTGAAACTTGAATCGCAAGGCCTGCCGTTACAGTATAGGACTCAAACCAAAAAACCATTCTGCACATCGCACCAGTGCACTAGCCACACTGCACCTCACTCAATTCACGGTTAACTTGAGGTTTAGCTGTTTTGACTTCGTTGGCCTTCATGACCTGATGTCCGAGTGACTGACCACAGTGAAATTCAGGAAGTTGCAAAGCATTTTCAAGTCAGCTGTGCAGTATGATGTCAGTCAGTGGGCAGGAAGTGTGAGCTCCAACGTTAGGAGCTCAACGCAATGAAGTAAAGTGTCACAATCGCTTTCCACCATGAACTTTGCTGGCTACAGTTTCATCAAGTCCTATTCAGTAGGGTGTGAGTACTGCCACCAAATTAGCAGAAATATAACAATGTGGACAATGGCACTAGTATATTAAAAATGCCATTGTCATTGACCTCCCCTCCCCGGTTCTGTGCTCTTACCTTGACACAATCTGTTGCCGTCTCTGTCACTGTACTAGCACTGGCACTGGGCATCTTATCATCACAGACACGGGAAAGAGAGCGCCTCACTGGTGATCTGCTATTTCCGCTTCGAGGTGATGAGGAGCCGCTGGCATTGTTATGCTGAGCAGATGACGCTGAGCCCCTGGTGCGTCCTATGGTATGTCCAATGGCATGTCCCATGCCATGTATGGCATGTCTAGACCTAGGAACACTAGGACTATGCTGACGAAATGTTCGCCGACGGTGTGCACGCGCTGAGTGACGGCTGGAGACACGACCGCTGCTCACTGTCGCCGGTGACGTGCCTTGTGTACTTTGTGTGCTTTGTCTCTCCTGCGTAACTGATTCGGTGCTCCTTGACCTGCTGCGTTGCTTTCCGCTCTTGGACCTGGATACAGCTGCTGATGCTGCTGTCGCTGCCCGTACATGGGATGCTTGCACTGTGTCTGTATCCATGGCAGCAACAGCAACAACAGTACCTTCTGACTTGCTACTTGTATCAGGGTTCACCTTATTTTCCTGGTTCTGAGGCTCTTGTCCCATCCTTGCTACATGCGGTGGTTTCCTAGGTAACACAGTGGCGACAGCGGCAGAAGCAGTAACCGCAGCTGTTGCGGCTGCAGCGTTACGCTTATCTGTCTGAAATGGTGTCACACGCCTCATTGGACTCAGGTCTATATTGCGAGAAGCCAGAGCAAGAAGTGCTCCAGGCGGTTTGAGAAATACCCGGTTGATGGTCGTCCAACTCCTCTGCTCGTTAATCAGGTAGGCACGGAATGGCTGAACTATCCACTTCATCTCAAACAGAGTCGCCCTATGCAGTCTGCGGCATGAACATGTGAAGCATGCACGCACATGCACATGTGCGCGTACATATTGACACACACACACACACACACCACACACACACACACACACACACACATACACACACACACACACACATTTTTGCAAATACTTCAACGCATTAGCAGGGTTCTAGCCAAAGGAGGGCAGTAGGGGGGGGGGGGGGGTGCTCCCCCCATTCTGATTGAGCGCCCTCCTCCCCTACTCATTCGTCTATTTTTGTGTGTTTTCAGTCCATTCAACGAAAAATGCAGTCGATAGTCACTAACAGAGAGTTCATAAAGGCACACTCATCTGGGGAGAGCCCGTACGTTTGCATTTTGCATGGCAAGACATTATGGGAAAATGGAACTTGAAAATGGGTTGCAGGCAACTGATTCCGCTGCCCCCCTCCCCCGCTCCTAATAGTTTTACCTGGCTAGAACCCTGCATAGTACATACACATAATATGTGTGTATGTGTGTGTGTGTGTGTGTGTGCGTGCGTGTGTGTGCGTACGTGTGTGTGTGTGTGCAAGCACATACTGTACTGTACATGTGTATGTGTGTACATGTATATGTGTGTGCATGTGTGTGTGTGTGTGCACATGAATGGGTGTGAGTTTGGGCACGGATGTGGGTGTGTATTTTAAAAATGTGTATGCACTATGCAGGGTTCTAGCCAGGTAAAAATGTATGAACACGTGTGTGCATATATTATATGCACACACGTGTTCATACATGTGGTGAGGCTCATATATGCACACATGTGTACATACATGTGCAGTCATGTACACACACGCTCGCACACACACACACATACACACGCACACACCGTGCACCATGTACATGTACTATCAAGAGTACATGAAACTCCTAGTGTTCAGATTGGTTGCTGTCACGGCGCAGCGAAATTCCGTGATTACTTACATGTACGTCATTTTAGTGATGTGCTGCGTGCAAACAGAACTTTTTCTTTTCTTTCTACGTATGCATGTACAATGTGTCATGTAGTTCTGCACAACAACTGCAGCTCAGTTGTACACAGCTGTACAGGGAGTCGTCCGGACGACTCCCTGGTACCGGTTGCACACGCTATACGCGGTGCGCGCGGCGTAGATCAGGGAGTCGTCAAATACGTATGGACCATGAGTAGAGTCTACGAGGGATATACATGGACCGCCGAATATTTTCACGAGTGCGTTAAATAGCATGAGGGAAAATATAAGGGACACGATACACAGAGTACGAATGGTATGATCCATTTATCCCATGTACTGTCCCAAATAGAGCGTGACCAACAGTGCAACACTAAAATTTCCCTTATTTACTTCTTGACGTGACCCGGGGAATATGTTTGACCCCAGCGGAGACAGCAGGGTATACTATAATTATCGCTCTATATTCCCCGCTCAGAACGGCCGCTGATTGGCTGAAATCGCCCAAATTGTATCGTATCATGGGTTAACGTGTTTTTTTTACGACTCCCTTAAATCCCTAGGGGGGGGGGGGCGTTCGTTTTGATCTACAGGTTTTGGTAGAAACTACATGTACTTCTTTCGGTAGAGGTGCTCGTTTTTTTCTACTCAAAAGGGTAGATTCTACTTTCCTCTATCGGCTCTACCAGGAAAAAAGTTGGTAGAAGCCGGTAGCCTGAAGTTGGTAGAGGTACGGGATTTCCAGCAAAAATCAAGGAGTTGTACACAACTCCATGCAAAAGAGAAACATTTCACATACAGTCAACTTCGCTAATAACGACAGCTGGTATAACGACAATTCACGAATAACGACAGAATTCCCATGTCCAGAGCAAAGTCCCATCTAACTGTAATCAAGAGTACATAACCCCCCAGAGTGTGCAACGCCTGATCCAGCTCTGCATAGGGTCTTGGTCGAGCATAATCGGATCTTTGCGTCATAATACCGTACACATCTGAGGGGAACCCGGGTAGTCACGGGTACTCTGGGATCAAAAACAATGGTGCCCTGCCTCGAGACCGGCCTTTTGCTGGTGTGGAGTGTACGCATGACATCAGAAGATCCGATTCCGCTCGACCAAGACCCTATGCAGAGCTGGATCAGCGTTGCACACTCTGGGGGGGGGTTATGTACTCTTGATAAAATGAGACTTCGGGTATAACGACACTTCGCGAATAAGGACACTTTTCTGATGCCCCGCCGCCGAGTGTCGTTATAAGCCAAGTTGACTGTACATATTACTTGAAACTCGTGTATTGAACCAATAATAAATGTAGAAAGGAAAAAGGATATTATGGAAACGAGGTGGTGGAGAGTTACTCTTAACTCGTTTCCATAATATGTCTTTTTTCCTTTCTACATACATAATATTACTTGTATAAATCGTGAAAAACTACAGTTGCGCTCAATGAAATCCGACCCAAAGTGCAAAGCTGGCGCCCTGGACCAGTTCCGATTACATCATTGTGGGTGTACATGTGTACGTCCAGCCGCATTCATTCCACTGCCAGGGCGTCAAGGGCCGTGGAAGTCGAGGATGCCAGTTTTGCACATTGGGTCGGATTTCAGTGAGCGCAACTGTACTAAATCCGGTAAAACAGCGTTCGTGCACATAATACATGTACCTGTACAAAACGTCAACCCGGAGGAAGTGTATTTTACTACTCCCTGGTCAAAACTGACAAACTGAGCGGCTCTATCGCCGAGTGACTCCGAGTATTCTACTCTACCAGGTAGCTAAGGGCGCGTTTGAATTGTCACTCTTTGACTTTTCGAGGAGTTTCGTTTTTCTGAAGAGGTGGCCTTATTGGCCTCTACAGAAAAACAAAACTCCTCGAAACTCCACAACCTCACCCGTTGCATGAGAGAGCTCTAGAGCTAGAGGTGGATTACAGTGTAGTTTTGAAGAGTTTGGAATAGCTATGTCGAGATGGTCGATCTGATCTGACGTCATCATTGCCATGACAATTCCACTGAAAAACTCTAAAAATGATAGAAACCGTTCTATTGGGACACTTCGGGCATGTTTGCCAATGATTGGTGAATCCGGATTCAGATCAGAGTCACTGGAGCAGTCAGAACACCAGTTACCAATCAAACAGAACGGCGAATATTTTTGCCGGAAATATAGAACTCATGATAGCTCATCGTGCCGCGAACTTCAAAATTTCCACAGAGTTCAAAGATTTTTACGTTGCTCAAGATGCGAAGGCAAAACCGTTGAAACTTGAAAGGCAACTACAACCGGAGAAGAAGCTTCGAAGACAGCCAAAAAATCAATCATGGACGTGGGGACCGCCGTGTAATGTGCAAAATCACACGTAGACCTCCATGCACATCCGGCACCACCGACACCCTTTCGTAATCACTGACAGTGACATGCCAAAATCCATTCGAGTCAAAACAAAAAACGAAACTCATTGCGTAGTCCTGTCAGGTTTTCATTGGGCTCTGCAACATGCTGGCTGCTCCAACCTCGGGGGTCGGAGTGGTCAGAACATGTTCTGAACACTCCAAAACCAGAGCAGACCAGTGCAGACCAATCAAACGCCCCTGTTCTAAACGATCCTGTTCCGGATCCGACCAATCAAACGCGCCCTTCAACTCTTTCAAAAATTTGTTCGAACAGTTGACAGGTTGATGAAGAAACGCCCCCTAGAAACGAACGCAACTAGATATCCCTGGACATATACGACGATTGTCACTTTTTTTGAATAATAAAAATCATTCTGTACCAATGCCAACGGTGCGCGGTCCGCGGCCGCAATTCCATCATCGAACTGGAAGCAACAGAAATCGTTCAAGGAAGATTTGTACCAATTCTACTTGTAGTTTCTTCAGTTCGTTTGGCTTTCTAGCTTTGGGCATCGTGCAGTCATGGCCGCTCAACCAGCGTCTCGCGAATTCTTGTGGGGAATTTTCCAAAAGTATGTCGTGAGCGTAACGGGCGTGCGTATCAGTAGAGCAACGGACATGACCCGTGGTTTTGGTGCTGAAATAATTGTGTTTCAGGGTTGACACAGACAGAAGTCAAAAGATCTCAGCCAATGAATTGGGACAAGCGCTGAAGAATGGTAGAACTGTGTTGTCTGGCTGCAGTAGAGGAATGCATGTAGGCACAGCTCTGTGTCTGTTGATCTCATTGCGTGCTCCTTAGGATCGTTCACTCCGTTCAACCCAGAAACTATTCGTCTGATGATCGGTGAGAATCACTCAATGTAATGGTGTGTGAAATGAACGCATGGTGACTTCAAGCTCCATGATGTACTCTTACTACATGTACAGCAGACAACTGACTACAGTATAAGTGTACAGTCATGTACTAACAGTGTATTATTTTGAGCACATTGGTACTGTACATAGCTACTGTACTAACCAAAACTGTGATCATTTACGTGTCAATATTTCTGTTCCCCGTGGGAAAATTCCGCAAGAATATCTCGGAAATGTAGGCTGAAAATGTGAAAAGTGCGAGGTAAAGTCAAGGACAGCTTTTTCAAGGACGGGGTGCCGTGCCTGAGATTGTGGCGAACATGTCGCGCATTGAAAAGTATACGAAATGGGACAGGTTTGTCTCCACCAGCACTTGGAGCGATTCTGAAGCTTGTTCTTTTTCGCCCAAGCCACCATGGAAGGGCTTCTTGGCAGCTGCTCTGACTCAGCACGAGTGTCGAACATGAAGTTGAGCACCATCCTAGTGCTTCTTTCACCTCCACACGTCCATTCCCGTACAAACTGAATGTGACATGGGCTTGGCCTGTTCACCAGCGATTCAAATATTTCTCTCACGTGATGCCAAAAAGTGACCGTTGGTCCGTCCTTGAAAAAGCTCTATTGCGGTGAAAGTACCGTGAAGCCCAACTATTCGTGGCTCTCAACATACAGAAAATGATGGTGATTTTCATATTACAACACTCAAGCAGTCAAAGCTATAGCTAGTACATGAGCTAGTACATGTGCTCTTGATAGTACATGTACATGTATACATAGCCACAGCCTTGACCTGACCTGATGCATGATGATTCTGTGCCACCTGGCCTGGCTTGAGACGTTTCACAAATCTCACACCGGGTGCAGGGGCATGGCATTGCATGGGCACGTACATGTACAGCAGCTTTCAGTGCCCCAATTGTGAGTTTCCGGGAATATTGTGGTAAATTTTGTCAAAAACGCGGTGGTTTAGGGGCCCTCCATAGTTAATGATCTTTTACACAAAACGAAGGAGTTTTGTTTATGGGCGGGTGGATTGAGGAGAGTTTCGTTTTGAAAATTATTGATAACTGAAACATCGCATCTATTCTAGCTGTCAAGTTCGTTCGGGGGTCATAACTAAACTTTTTCGTTCCGTGAAAATTATCGATAGTGCCGGATGGCCCCTTGCAAAACATGTGAAAATCACGGATTTTCGATTTCTGCACGGCCGTGGGATCACGGTTTTCCCGGGGGCAGACATATAAACTGGATGTCAATACCGGTACATGTAATTGAGGAGAGAAAGACCCAATGGAATTATGACGTGGCGCAATTGGTGAATTGTTGCCAGTCACTCGTATCAATTGGTCCATTTACAATTAAATTGATACTTGCTGGCTGAATCCCGATGTTCGCAATTTTGTGTTTACTGGTTGTGTCCCATAGGAATGTTTGATCGAGACGGTGATGGCACGATCAATTTTGATGAGTTTGGATCTCTGTGGAACTATGTGAGTCAATGGCAGACTACGTTCCGTCAATACGACCGGGATGGTTCAGGTTCTATTGATAAACAAGAGCTCACCACAGGTAGGAGAGACCCTCTAAGTGGCACACGTACATGTTCCGTTCTTCCGAATACATGTGCCATGAAAAGCCAATGCTTTGAGTGCACTGCAGTCCATTCGTAAAAAAAAAGAAGAAAAGAAAAGGTGATCTTTGGCTCTGGTGATCTCCTGTATTGGGTGATGTTATTGTACACGATGCAGTGTCGTGAAATTTGAAAATTCAAAACGTTACCTCAACTGGAGTTCGACCCGCACGATGTGCTGTTGCAAGTGGAGTCAGACGTTCTGGATGAGCATGTTTTTTTCCCGATTGCGTGGAACCATGAAGTAAGAACCAAAGCGCAAAGACACCCACATTTGGCAATAACTAGTACACTCGATTGAAGTGTAAGATTGAACACAACATGTGAGTTCATGAAGTATTCGTCTTGTGCAATTGGCAATTGTCAGATGTGACGTTACACGTCCAATATGACTTTGTTGGCTGTCACTTGGCTTCTACTTTGCACCAATCTCCATCACCACTCCAGTATTGATATGTAGATTATAGCACAACCTATTTGTTTACCTCTCTTTCTCCGTGTGATTGAATTAGCACTTGTGTTAGTTGTGTCTGGCAAGGTTCATAACACCTCCATTCTACACTATTCGGTTTGTGTTAGTTTGTCACATACATGTATGTGTGTTAGTTTGTCACATACATGTATGTGTGTTAGTTTGTCACATACATGTATGTGTGTTAGTTTGTCACATACATGTATGTGTGTTAGTTTGTCACATACATGTATGTGTGTTAGTTTGTCACATACATGTATGTGTGTTAGTGTTGTCACATACATGTATGTGTGTTAGTTTGTCACATACATGTATGTGTGTTAGTTTGTCACATACATGTATGTGTGTTAGTGTTGTCACATACATGTATGTGTGTTAGTTGAGTGTAAACAGTACTACTAAACACCTTGCGCCAGTATCTTCAACATCTGTGTAAAAATAGTATTCTCTAGTTCAACCCTTTCATTCAACAGCAACATCTCCTCTGATGAGTTCCCATGACCCTTGTAGAACGAAACAAGCTATTCAGGAGTAACTACTTGCTGTCGTGGAGTGTGTTGCTCGTGTCTACTTAGTCGGGGGGGGGGGGGGGGGGGGGGAGGGAGGGGAAGAACCTGTTACTACTTGCTAGGGAAGCCGTAATTTGCTAGCAGCTATGAGCTATTCAACTGGAGAGCAAGATTCTTTGAAGTGGAATGCATGTACAATTGAAATGAAAACAGTTCTGGGGAATGCTTGCTACCATTATAGTCAAGTCAGGCTTCTTATATCTTACGTATGCCTTTCGCTGTCACTTGTGACCCACATGTGCTCTAACTGTGTCTTGGTTTGTGTGTTTGTGTGTGTGTGTGTGTGTGTGTGTGTGTGTGTGTGTGTCCGTCCGCACCATGGGCTGCAGCGTTGACAAGTTTCGGTGAGTAGAATGAGCTTGTTTCTTCCTTTGCAATGCCATTCAACACCTGCGTGATTGCCAATCTGCATGTAACCATGGTCTGTGTATGTCCCTGGGTATCTGCATGTAGCCATGGTCTGTGTATGTCCCTGGGTATCTGCATGTAGCCATGGTCTGTGTATGTCCCTGGGTATCTGCATGTAACCATGGTCTGTGTATGTCCCTGGGTATCTGCATGTAGCCATGGTCTGTGTATGTCCCTGGGTATCTGCATGTAACCATGGTCTGTGTATGTCCCTGGGTATCTGCATGTAGCCATGGTCTGTGTATGTCCCTGGGTATCTGCATGTAACCATGGTCTGTGTATGTCCCTGGGTATCTGCATGTAACCATGGTCTGTGTATGTCCCTGGGTATCTGCATGTAACCATGGTCTGTGTATGTCCCTGGGTATCTGCATGTAACCATGGTCTGTGTATGTCCCTGGGTATCTGCATGTAACCATGGTCTGTGTATGTCCCTGGGTATCTGCATGTAACCATGGTCTGTGTATGTCCCTGGGTATCTGCATGTAACCATGGTCTGTGTATGTCCCTGGGTATCTGCATGTAACCATGGTCTGTGTATGTCCCTGGGTATCTGCATGTAGCCATGGTCTGTGTATGTCCCTGGGTATCTGCATGTAACCATGGTCTGTGTATGTCCCTGGGTATCTGCATGTAACCATGGTCTGTGTATGTCCCTGGGTATCTGCATGTAACCATGGTCTGTGTATGTCCCTGGGTATCTGCATGTAACCATGGTCTGTGTATGTCCCTGGGTATCTGCATGTAACCATGGTCTGTGTATGTCCCTGGGTATCTGCATGTAACCATGGTCTGTGTATGTCCCTGGGTATCTGCATGTAACCATGGTCTGTGTATGTCCCTGGGTATCTGCATGTAACCATGGTCTGTGTATGTCCCTGGGTATCTGCATGTAACCATGGTCTGTGTATGTCCCTGGGTATCTGCATGTAGCCATGGTCTGTGTATGTCCCTGGGTATCTGCATGTAACCATGGTCTGTGTATGTCCCTGGGTATCTGCATGTAACCATGGTCTGTGTATGTCCCTGGGTATCTGCATGTAACCATGGTCTGTGTATGTCCCTGGGTATCTGCATGTAACCATGGTCTGTGTATGTCCCTGGGTATCTGCATGTAACCATGGTCTGTGTATGTCCCTGGGTATCTGCATGTAACCATGGTCTGTGTATGTCCCTGGGTATCTGCATGTAACCATGGTCTGTGTATGTCCCTGGGTATCTGCATGTGGGGCTACTACATACCAAATGGTGTGACGTATTGTACAGTAGTTGTTACTGCTTCAAAGGAGACCAGAAGGACACAGCCACCATTACCTTTCTACTTCGAAGTATGCTTGCATGACTTACATGCTGTGCCTGCAACCTGGCGAGATCATTCACTGACACGAATAGATGCATAGTCCTTTCCCGGGATCATTCGCTGGTACACTCATAATCCTTTCCTGGGTAGGAAACAAAGGTTTGGACGCTTGGAAGAGATGGGGCGCTCTGTCGATATTTTACGCTATTAGAATTGAGGAATTTGTTCGTGGGTGGTGTGGTCCAGTTTGGGTTTGTGATAAGGAAAAAAATGGAAGGCAACTGTAGCTTCCTACTCGTATAGTCAATCATGGCCAAAGGGATAGTATTCACTCTCTATTTGCTCTAGGTACATGTGTTGTGCTGCATGTATGATATGCTTTTGTGTGCATCATGCTGCTCCTGCCCATCTCAATGCTCTCCTCGCTGTTCTACTACTCTTGCCCATGGGTGTTTTCAACGTCTCCCTCCCTTGGCATTGTACGTGACAGTCAGTGTTCGATTGTGTTTGCTTTTTGGCTGTTTTAGGCTACCGGCTGTCGCCCAACTTCTATGACGTTCTGATTCGCAAGTTTGACCGAACGGGACGCGGTAGCATCACATTTGACGACTTCATTCAGTGCTGCGTTGTTATTCAGGTTAGGCACTTGTCTGTTTCTTCCCAATGGTTTGTGTGCATTGTCGCTGCCAGGCGCTTTACTTAGCAATGAAAGGATACCTAAAAATCTTGTTCTATTGGTGCAACCTAAAGGTTACCATTAGATTGGCTGTACCCTCAAGACATGCAGTAATGTTTAGACATGTCAAGTGTCATTCACCTAACCTCCAGTTCTCCTATATCCGTAAAAGATATTATTATGGATTTACACTCATACGTCGCTTATCCGGGCCGTCCAGGACCGGGCACTGCCAGTAGCTTTGAAATGTCCGTAACTCCGAATCACATACATTTTGATGCGAAAAGGCCCTAGATATGGCATGTGACATTACTATTTCCACAAAAGAGTACGTGTCAAGTACAGTAGTAATATTTCCACTAAAACTCGCCCAAAGAGTGCCCGGTAGACCGAAGTGCCCGTGACTTTGGGGTCCGGATAACCGAGGAGGTATGAGTGTACATGTACTTTCAAAGTATACTTGGTTGGCAAAATAACGTTAGATCAGATACATGTATCCATGCGAGTATTGCCCGTGCTGTGCCACTGGTCGCTGTGCACGTGGTGGCTGTATTCGGGCAAGATAAAACACACTGCTTTACGTATAGCAGAGGGACAGTACGGCCACTGTCACAATTTTTAAGTAGAGTATCTGTGTCAACAATGCCTCATCATTGAGGACATCGGTGTCTGATGTGCATGTAATTTTTGCACCGTATTGTTCTTGGGGCAGTTGTGGATTCTCAGAGCAACACACAACTGCATGACTGTACTGTGCTCTGTGTTTGGCCTTGTCTCAGACCTTGACTGGCAACTTCCAACGCTTTGACACCAATCGAAACGGCTGGATTCAGATTACGTACGAGCAGTTCCTGACGCTCGTCTTCAGTCTTAGGAAGTAGATGATGCTATGCACGTGCACTTTAAAAAAAGTAGATGCTGAAACTCGTGCACGCTGTATGCATCTACGCTTATATTCACTGTTGAAAAACATCCATTATCATGAAATAGATTGCTTGCTTAGTGCTCGTCGTACATGTATAAATGCCGAAATAGCGTCTTTGCTTTGAATAGTTTTTAGATGGACATATTTTAGCGCAATATCTTCTTTACTCCGTGGCTTGTTCACAACCTGTTTCCTTTGTCTTGGTCGTTTTCTGTTACCTATCTGGGACTATGTTGTTAATGCCTGCGCAAAAATAGAAACCGCTGGTTCGAGAGTCCATGACCTTTGGTAGGTCTAACTGGAGCTATGGCCAGTGGGAATCGATCAGTTTTCAACTCGGTTAGCTCGTTTTTCGATGTTTTTCATTCACATATTTTTTGTATTTGAAAAATGAAATACATCTTGTACCAAGAGTATATAACCCCCCAAGAGTGTGCAACTCCTGATACCCTTTCTATGGGGCTCGCCGACGGCGAAACTCACATCACGTGGTGTAGTGGCCCAGTTGTACGTTTCCAGCCCGTTTTAGCGCGCAGCGGAGTAATAATAAAGCACTCCCTGGCTGAAACTCACTGCGCATATGCAACTCGCCAGCATAATCATGGCAGATTTTCGGATTGCGCGCACTTTATCCTTAGTTGTACGTAGTACAAAACGTACCTGAGACACGTGATGTGAGTTTTCGCCGTCAGAGACCCCATATGCAGAGTTACACACTCTTGGGGGCTTATATACTCTTGCTTGTACATGACGTCATGTTACATGCTACCGCGTACCGGTGCAAGTACAATCTACACATCTACATGATTGTACGGTACTGCTAAGTGTGCAGCTTCTATAACCTTTTTCTGCATACGCGTCTGCAATTACCGTACCTTTTTATCAGTCGTTGAGAATCCTCTGCTGTTGATACTAAGACCTCTAGAGCCACCATTGGGTCACGCTTCATTGGACCAAAGTTTCGATAATGTTTGGTCCTCCGGAACAGACATCCATCGACAACTGTGCAAACAATCCGACTGTTTGGGCACACAGAAGTACACACATGCATTGCACCTATGAGAATAAACTTACTTCAAAGTTCAAACCAATGTTTGACATTCCTGCGCATGTCCTGGCAGCTCGTATTTCACCAGGTCGTTACGTCATACTTCTCTGAAGTACCCGGACACCGAACAATGTACATGTATGACAAGAGAGCCAAGAGTTTGACAATGCGCGCTTAAGGCTGCAACCACACTAGGTACAAAATCACGTACAAACGGCATTACAGTAGAAATCGTCATGACGACGCGTGCGAAATGCAAAATGCGTTTTGTAGGTTTTCAGCAACTGGCGCACCCCTGTAGAAAGCCACGTTTGTCGTTTTCGTCGTTTTCGCGCTCCTCCTGTGTACAACTAACTTTGTTTTTGTACCTGGTCATCGTACCTAGCATCAGCTTCAATTCAGCATTGTTTTTGAATTTCCCGGTCTTTTCCAGTCTTTTCCAGCGCATGGTACACACGCTTTGGTACGACAAAGTCACGTAATGGTAACGTGAAAACGTCATCTATGCAGACCGAAAAGTGTAGTGTGGTTGCGTACCGACTTGTACTGAGATATGCATGAAAATTTGTACTGTGATTTTTACGTAGTGTGGTTGCGGCCTAAGCTTCTTGGGCAGCAACTAAGCAAACATGCCGTGTCATTCACAAGTTCTGAAGTGGAGACATACCGTAGTGACGCGCATATAAGCGCATGTGCCTATACCCAGGCATAAGAGCACCCTCGCAAATAAGCGCATGGGCTTATATTATTATTATTATAAGCACGTCTGCGTAGTGGGCGGGTTTGCCCACCTCGCTTGTGCCAAACTGTGCCACGTGTCCGTACAAAATGAGTGAGAGGAGAACAAAACAAAGACAAAAACACAAAAGAGCAAAAACTAAAAAAACAGGAAAGTAACGATGAAGGACAAACTTTCCTGATGGGCTTATAAGTGAACGTAAATGCAGTCCATCCCGCGATACACAGACACCACAAAAACACCATGTTCACATAGTTCAATGCGCATTGCACTATGTGCATAATTATGCAAGGTGCCGGTACACTAGCAACTCAAGCGCATGCGCCTATGTGTGAGACAAAACGACCCGCAAAAATAGCAAATAACGCAAAAACTCACTCATAAGCGCATGGGCCTTTATGTGCGTCACTATGGTATGCAGCAGTGAACATTTGTCGTTTGACGCGACTTCAGCATTTGAATGAAGTCGATTAGGGGCCATTCGGAATTATCGATAATTTTCACGAAACGAAAGAGTTTAGTTATGACCCACCCCCATGAACGACAAATATAATTATTGACTTGACAGCAAGAATGTGCTGATGTTTCAGCTATCAATATTTTTTCATAATGAAACTCTCCTCAACCCACCCCACCCATGAACGAAACTATTTCTCTTTCGTGAAAAAGATCAATAACTAGTACGGATGGCCCCTTAGTAGTTGCAATTGCATACATCACCTTCTGCACTCATTTCCTTGCGTTTCGTCATAAATTACAGCACAATCACGCATGCTATCAGAGGACACGTTGGTATTTCCCTCCACTGAATTTGCCATCTTTGCACGGTTACAAGAATAATCAACGGAACTCCATTAATTTTGGTTCAATTTGGAAAATTTAGGAACACATTTGACGGAATCTGCATGGGTCTCAGTACCAGCAATCATTGGCGTGCACGGTTCACATACCACTTTTGTTCTACTTCAGTCACTAAGTGTCACTGATGGGATTGGTTCCGGGTCAGGCTGGGAGAGTTGAGCATTGTCAAAATCTCCCGGTCACCCTGAGTGGCAGTGATTTGTTGTATGCTTTCGCGATTCATTGCACTGGTTCACATAAGAGTGTATGGCACCGGCCCGGGAAAAGGGCCGCCAGAGGCTCCTGCATCGCTGGCCTTGATCCAGGTGTGTACTGCTGGCGATATGCAAAATTGCAAACCAACCCATATGAAACTGTGCATAGGCTAGCCTGCACCTTCAAAACTAACATTGTGCACTGGCTGTGAGTTTGCTATACTAGTACATCAAAATCGAATCCGGGCCGGTACGTGGTATTTAAAATAATGGTAAAGAACCGCTTGGTTTGCTAAGAGCATCGACTATCGATAGGAGTAAATAAGCTTCCAAGAGTGTGCAGCTCGGGATACCCTTTCCGTAGGTTATGGGTCTGGCAACAGCGAAACTCACATGGCGTGATGTAGTGTTCACGCTGCACCGTCCCAGCCTGATTTTAGCGAGAAGTGCAGTGGTATAAATAGCACTCCCTGACAGAAACTCACCCAGCTTACTCAGCGAGTCAGCAAAATGTTTACAGCAGATATTGAGGCTACACGCACGCTTGCATTCGTTGTGTGTAGTATGAAACGTAATCGTAATAGGTGACGTGAGTTTTTGCCATCGGAGACTCTGTACTCTTTTGGTAGCTTATTATTTTTTACTCTTAGTGTCAACAAGAGTCCACGACCAAGAGTACATTAGATGCAAATGTGATTTATGGGTGAATGCATGGCTCGCTGGCTTCATTATGTAAACTTGCCGCCATCACGCCCTCTACTCCTGCACACAAACCAGGGAGTTGTGCCCAAACCAGGTTTGGGTACTACTCGATCCTTGACTCAAACTCACAATCTCTCTTAGCCCAGCTCATCCGCTTTGCTTCATTCGTTCGAATACCGACGCGATTTCTACATTTCGGGTACATGAACTTCAGTTACGTATGAAAGTTGTTTTCAAAGTGCAGGGAAATTTGGTGTTCGCTTTTCCACATAGTGTGGATGTACATGTACCTTCATGATGTAATGAACACCGCACACTGAGCAGATTGCTCAAAATAGAGACCTCAAGTGTATCCTCTTAGTTATGGACGCTTGGTGTCCGGAATCAGTTGAACTCATTGTGCGTACATGCATGACTGAATGTGACTGACTGAATGTGAACACTTACCCCAACTGATCCAGTGCTGGGCATTGTTGGGGATGTTCCACCCGGATATACAAGTCATACTCATATCCAGCTGGCATGGTGATGATCGACAGTGATGACTGTATAGTCCTCTGTTCAAGTTACTGAGTCTCAAGAGTCTCACTCACCCAGGCTCAGTGTTGCCACAATGCCAGTCCGTGTATGACCCTGTGAATGCCGACAAGCAGCAAGACACAACGCGAGATCACTGAGTGCATGCATCTGCTGCATTTTAGAGACAACCATGCAGCACAATGTCCAAAATAATACACTTGAAATTGTTTTCAATGTTTTGGCATAATTGTGCACGTGTGCATGTGTGGTGTGTAAGAGCGAGGGTCGTGGTCATATTGCCACGGCAAGACAACTGTGACAGTCACACTTCATGGGGGGGGGGGGGGGGGAGACTGCTCTTCCTTTTGTCCCCTCATGAATTGTTCATAGTCATGCTGTCATCATGGTCAGCAGATATACATGTAATGATCCGCTCTTGTTTTCAGGACTGTCTACAGGTACTGTTCTGAGTACGAGTAGTTGAGTAGCACCATGAATACATAACCAAGAGTGTGCAACTCGACGATCCCAGCCCAGCCCACAGCGGAATTTGTTTATGACATCAGTCTTTGGTGGCGGTTTGGCTCACTGATGCCATCATGCGTATCCAGAGATCAAAGTACGCTGGAAATAATTTGTACATTACAGCTCCGGTAACCGGTAGTCGAAGCAGAACAATGGACAATAGATCGATGTGTCTTGAACCAGATGAACTCTCACCGTATCTACAAAACAAGTGCGGGAAAGCATATGCACTTCATCATACAGTCTGTATCGGCTATAGCGTACCCTTTTGATTTCCGTGATTTTATCACTATAACCGATGCATCACTATAGGCGATACGATCGATTTTTCTTCTTCTTCTTTTTTCGATCGACACATGGAAAGCAAGGAAATACTTCCAGCATGGCGTTTTGACAAATGAGCATGCTGCATAGTTGACAGTGCCCGCATTTCCATAAAAAAATTCTGTTATGTACATGTACATCAAGAGTACATAACCCCCCACTATAAAAATAAGCAAAGGGAAAAAAGTAAAAAATAGGGCCTTTGATATTATTGCTACATATATTTAAAGTTATCACTATAGCCGAAAATAATAATAGTGTGTTATACATGTTTTGATTCTTTGTTGCCATCATAATATCCGATATATCATTACATCCGATAATATTGGTTATGGTGATATTTTTACTGGATAAAATACGTTTTGCTTTTGATATTTCGTACCAATATCACTGTAGCCGATATATTCTTATATCCGGTCACTCTATAGCCGATACAGACTGTACTTCTGCCAAAGAATGACGCAATCAAAAATTCCACAGTGGGTGAACCCATCGCAGCTCAAGATAGGAGTTGCGCAGTCTTGGCTGTGTACTCTTGGTAGCACTATGTACATTGCATGACTGTACTCTTGTTACTACGAATACTGCATACCAGTAAAAACATAATATTTTACACCACATGTACCGTAAAGTACCGTTGATCCGCCCCCTCTCTAACTGCCGCCCCATGTCAATTTTCTTCCTGTGAAGCGACTTCGGCGTATACAACGAAATGCGATGTTGAACCGACGCATACACTGCTGTACACAATACGTGCCAGTGCAGGATGAAAATGTGCACAATCCAGCACATCGAGTCTGAACTTCCACGTTGTTGTACATCGTACTGCACTTGACAGCTTTAGAATCTAATTCCCGCCCCCTGCCGAAAACCCAGCTGGGAAGTGACATGGCGTGGGGGGGGGGGGGGGGGTGGGGGATCAACGGTACTTTACGGTACATACAGCGCAATAGTATTGTAGTAGCACTGTAGCAGTAGTAGTAGTAGTAGTGCTGGTACATTTAACATCTTTTCGAATTCGACAGCATGTGCCAGGGCGAGGACGCACGGTGCTCCTGACTACAACCATAACCCGGTTGGCAGAGTCCCAGTCTTGCGACCATTTGAACCGTATGGGAAAAATCCGGTTCGGACCCTCTTTATTCTAGGGGCGGTGGTTGACTTTTGAAACCCCTAGAATAAAGAGAATCCGAACCGGGTTTTTCCCCCATTCGGTTCAAATGGTCGCAAGACCGGAACTCTGCCAAATGGGTTATGGTTGTAGTCAGGAGCACCGTGCGTCCTCGCCTTGTAACATGCTGTCAAATTCGAAAACATGTTGAACCTATCAAGCAAGGCAGTTCTAGTTCTATCATTATACTGGTACATGACTTGTAGTTGTTGTTGGTTGACAGCATGCAACAAGGTGGAGGACACCGTATTCGGAAACAGTGACCTTTCTACGACCATCCACGGTTGGTACATGCTGTCAACCAACACCATGTATTGTTTCGGAACAAAACAAGGTTTATCTTCTACCATGACTTAATTGTAGTTGTAGCAGTAGCCAAAAGCGCAGGGCCCAATTGTAGTGTAGTTCAAACAGCAGATGCAACCAAACAAACATCCGATAGCGAGCAGCGTGCATACCGGTACCTCTTACCTTCTACCGGGAACGTATCTGGTGCCAGTGGTCGATGATCCTCTTGGTAGAATTTTTCAGGGAATATAAATTTAAATACTAAAATGTAATAGTCATCCACTCGTTTCACTGGTTCCGACTTAGCGACGGTAGCTGGTAAGGACGCTAGATCACCCTACCCCAAGCTTTATCTTCATTCACTCAAGACACAGCCTGTGTAGCTGGGGCGGTTGCGGGAAACTCACCAAGACGGAAAGAGCACTTCACAAGCATACATGCCCATATGCATCGTCAACGAGACGGTGGTCTTGCCACAGCGGTTGCACGGTGGAGTCGAGAGAGTTCCGTGGTTTCGTCCGAGCTACGAGATAAACGATGTACACTGTAGACCTCTGTGAGAATTGTTCATTGAAATGTCACTACGACAAGACCATGCAGTTGGGCATCTTTCTCTGTCCGGACGTCCATATGGTCCGGGTACTGTAGACTTAGTTGAACGGGTAGTAGTACTAGTAGTAGTTGTAGTAAGTACAAGGGCGGGTGTAGATAAGAGGTATGTCACTGTAGATCTGCCTACATAATTCCGTTTTTGTTTTTTTTGTTGCAGCGTAGTAGCGGCTACATACCAGGGACACTGGGAAAGCCATGGGGAGACCATTATCGACAAAAGCAGCACACCTTCCCATCGTCACCGCGGTTCTCGCCGTTTTCCCATCTACAAGTTCTCGCCAGCAGGCAACGGTCATACGTTGACCGCAGAATCATGGAGGCACTATTCATGAGGAAGAGGAAGCCTGCAGTGAACAGTGACAATGGTTGGCGACTGTTGGGTGACGTGTAAATATATCTGTCATAATTTGTGCAAGAATGTGTGCACTGTGTGTGTGTGTGTGTATGTATGTGCGTGAGTGTTGCTATAAGTGTGTATTTTTCTGCTTTGCACTCACACTAGTAATCAGGGAGTCGTAAAATACCGTATTTTACGACTCCCTGCTAGTAATCTTGCACTATCACTGCACTATATTTTCACTTAATACATATCACACAGAATATTCTCTCTTCCTGTGGTATTGCAACATTTTACGCTATACCATCACACCTTTGGCCACTAGTACTTGTCACATATATATAAACCCCTTTTTGTCTACAGTAGACTTATTCCTGATGATGGGCCTTGCCCGAAAATTTGATCTAATGTATATCAATTGCAGTGTAGCCTAGAGACCGTTAGAGAGAGTGTGTACAAGGTGTGTGTACAGGATGTATGGATTCAAGTATTGGCTACAGTGGAGTCTCCAAACCTTGAGAAAAGTACATACCAGGGAGTCGTAAAATACGACTCCCTGCTACATACCATACTGTTGTATACACCCACTGTGACCAAGAGGGGGGTTATGAACTCTTGCTGTGACCCAGACCCTGCAAAACCTGCAACGGAATGTCCGACGGCGAAGTGTCGCACGTCCCGTGACGTCACGCCAGGCCAGACAGCTAGCAGCTGCGCGCTGCGACGTCGACGCTCGCTCGGCAGTCGGCCAGGCCAAGCCATATCTGAAGACTGAAACTCAAGTCAAGCTCAGTGACAAAAATATTCAAACTCATAGCCATTGACTGTGAAAAAGTTCCAATTTCTTGTATTAGCTGAACGTAGATTTGTTTATCTGAGAGCTATGTCTACAGTGGCATCTAGCCACCTTCACCTCCTCCGTCGCTGTTCCGCCGACAATATTCAACAGGTACGACAACAATGTCGAATACATCAGTGTTTTGAATATTTCAGATCATCCTGAAGACTGTATAAACTGCATACTCGTACATGTGATAGTAGTATTAGGTCTTGTCATTTACATCCAGGGGACATGATATGCCAATGGAAGCAAGGGAAACATTGTAAACGTGTGTTACAAGTTATGATTGGTTTGAAAAGTCTCATCATGAGGTTTTCCCTTGTTATAATAATTTATACCTCTCCATGCGCAAGCTCATGAGCAAAAAGGAGTGAATATAGCTTTCTTTCCCTATTAAAGAGGAGTGAATATAGCTTTAGAGAAAGAAGGCTATATACACTCCTTTTTAGAGAAAGAAAGCTCCTCAGTGGGGTTTTTTTTATGATGGTTTTCCTCAGTGGTGTATACCTCCTTACAGTCCATTCAGAAAAAAATGAACTTCTAGCTTTTGGCCATAAATGGGTCAAACGTTGAGTTTTTTTAGAATTTTTTTCTGCAATCCTGTATGGAATCCTCTTCCAATTATGTTTCTGAAGTTTTTTTCTCCAAAAAGCAAGCCATAACAAGAATAGGATTTCGGCCAGGTTTTGCCCCCAAAGCATTGAATTGGGAAAAACCATAAAAATCCAGGCCGTTTGACCCCGTCTGCAACAGTGCATTGTGCGGTTCGAACCCCAGTTCAGGTACCCTTTTTGGACCCTTTTTCAAATTTCAAATTTCGCAGCACTGCACTGTGTACGATGAAATCACGAAAAATCGCCAAATACGGGAGCTCGCCAGAGCCAGAGCCCATCTTTTTATGAATGGACTGTAGTGGTGTATATACCTCCTTAGTGGTGTATATTGAACAGTATATATGGAAATTTATAAACTTCATGGGAGATCTGGTATATGAGTGTGGGTGTACATGGAGTGAGGTATAACGTTATATATGGACCTGCTAATATCAATATGAGATTGAGTTGATCAAGGGGTTTGGGATGACTGTGAACATCTTTCCCGTATACACAAAATAGGAGTGCATGACTGTGCCGCGGAAACTTGGCTGACTGAATTGTCATCATAGCACACAGCAGGGCGACAACAACAGAATAATGATGACATGGACACAACAAACCGGCCAGCTGTAGTGAGAATTCAGAATCAGGACTGGTCTTAGATAATTAATACTGTATATGTAGTGGCTTCATAGATATAGACATGACGAAGTCCACAGGAGTGTGCAGCATGCAGCTTGGTGGTCCCATGGCCCGCATAACAGCAGCGGACATTTCTATCAGTCTTCGTGGCCATTTCACTTACTAATGCCATCACATGCTGCTAGAGATTAAAAGCCTATTCAAGCCAATCTCCTTTCTTCTGGTCCCACTGCGTTCGTTTTCACGCAGCCTCGATGAACTGTTTGTATTGGGACCCTGGAGGTCAGCCGAAAAGCACCTTCGACTCCCTACGAAGGGTGCCAAGTGCTGATGTGGAAGTTGTTGAAAGATTATGGTCACACACGTCTTCTTCTCTTTCTCAGACTTCTCCTGACTTTTCTTTCATCCTCCTGGGTGGTTACCAACAGCCAGTGCATGCCGGCGTATGTGGTGTGATGTGTGTGCAGGAAAAAAAGAAAAAGAAAATGCTCAGTGGTTAGAGCATCGCTGGCTACAAGCGAGGGTCCCTGGTTCGAGTCCTGGTGGTGACAGTCAATTTTTTCTTCAGACTTTTCCCGTTTGTCTCTTTCCCTCAAACCAGTTAGTATTTTATGACTTGGGGCTCCCCGCGTGCTAGTTTGTACGTGAAGTGTGTGGGTTACAGTGAGGGCTGCGTCCCACCCGCCTGTGTGGATTCACAGGAAGTGTGAGTTACGAAGTCTGAAGAAAACGTTGAACGGTCTCTGCTGGGATGACGACTACACCATAGCTCAGTGGTTAGAGCATCGCTGGCTACAAGCGAGGGTCCCTGGTTCGAGTCCTGGTGGTGACAGTCAATTTTTTCTTCAGACTTTTCCCGTTTGTCTCTTTCCCTCAAACCAGTTCGTATAAAATGAACTATTATAGAAAATCTAAGTTAGAGAAATAACACTAAGAGCAACAACAGTGAAATTTACAAGTGTGAATTTTAACAATCAAAGCGAGAACTGAACAAAGGAGAAAGGAAGGAAACACAACGTGATAACACATAACAGCAGTACATTACACCTAGAACATTAACAGCCAAGCTTGGCCGCACTAAACACGACTCGTTACTTGAACAATTTCAAACCAATTATACTATCTTTCTGTACACACAAATTAGGCTTGTACAGACGCTGATAGATAGCTTCCAACACTTTTAACTGTAGTCCATAACCATGACGACCACGGCACAATACAGTGAACGAAGAGTCGGAATACGCACCGCAACAATCAGGACTAGCCAGCAGATGATTGTACACTGAAGACTTGCTACCACGAAACCTACGCACAACACTAACACTCTCACCGGCACTCTCACCATCACTCCCATCACTGCTCTCCGACTCACTGCTCCCTCCGCCGTCGACGATTCCTGATGAGTGTTGTACGAAAACTTGTTTGAATCCATATTTTTTCCCTACACCATTTCTTCATATTTTCATCGTTTTATTGCACATCGTCTCCACCGTTTTTTACATTGCATGAATAAAGTACACAAATGTCGGGTCAGCTAGTTTTATTAATTGCGGTTATCAAATTGTTGTCTCCTCGCCGTGTGTTTAAAGAAAATGAAAAAGACCAAAAAGTAGGGATTCACTGGCCAGAAAAAGCCACTTTTCATAGCTGTGTGGTGTAGACCAGGCTGAATAGTGGGGGTCAATTCTTCAGCCTTGCAAACTGTTGAATGGTGCAATCCCAGCACAAGTTGCTATGGCTTCTGCTGTAGCATCGCTATTACCGCCTTTGGCGATGGGCGTCTACAGTCCATTTCAAAACTATAGACGCGTGAACTCATACGCACGAGTCGTACGTACTGTAGCGCACGACAGCCGTGAGTTTTGCCTGAGTGTTTTCTGGTTTTCAGATGTGTTTTTCAGGTTTTTCTTCGTCGCCGCGGGAAATACAAAAGATGCTAAACACGCAAAGTCGCAAATGAAAAGGTGTGAGGAAAGTCTCAAAAGAAATGAAAGTCTCAAATGAATCTTCTTCTTGTTTGCATTTTCTGAGTGCCTGACTGTAATGGCTTCCAAGGCCCGTAAGAATCTCAGTGATGCCGAGAAAGATATGATTAGTCGTGTTCATTGTTTCTTCGAACAAGAGCTGGATTTTGATCGAAGCTTGAGTATCCGAAATCCGCGTCGTCGAACTCACCTTGCAACTGGCGTGAGTGAAACCATCCAATATGCCACCGCCCCCGCTGTGCAGCATCTGATGGTTCTTTGGTATTCACTATTCAGTAAAAAAAAAAAAAAAAACCCCACTGTCACTCGTTGTGTCAGGCGAAGGGAACAGGGAGGCTCAAATCATATCAAAAAGAGAAAATAATCATCCCTACTGTATTTCACCCAACAAGATCCAAAACATGCAGAAAAGAAGAGAGAGAAAAAGGCAGGAGGCGTGATGGGATTCGAATGCCCCACACTTGTACTGGAAATCACGGATCGAAACCACGAGGCTACCAGGACCCGTACAAAAATGCACCCGCGATGGTCTGGGCGCAGCATGCTAGCACTGTCTCAGCAGGAGCAAAAATCCGAAACAAACTGGTCAAACCCTTAAAACAAACTGGTCAAAACCCTTCAAAACAGGAATTACATGTAAAACCGGAAAACCTGGCCTAAAAATAAATTCAATTGTAGCGAAAACAAAGTATATAGCCAGAATTGTGAAGTGATGCAGAGACGGAATCTAGAGAAAAAACTAAAAATTTTAAATAAATCCCATCGAATTTTGCAAAACACTACGCGTCTATAGTTTTGAAATGGACTGTAATGGTCCAATGGTGTGTATATGTGTTTTGTGTCTGTGTGTTTTGTGTCTGTGTCTGTGTCTGTCTGTCCCATATGGTGCAGTGGTATGTGCAGTTCATTTCCAATCGAGAGGTTGCGGGTTCAATTCCCGACGATTATGGTCGCGCACGTCTTTCTTCTCTTTCTCATTCTCCTGGTTGGTTACCAACAGCCAGTGTATGCCGGAGTAGGTGGTGGCTATAGCGTGTGTGTAAAAGATGGAAAAATGAAATCAGGGATTCACTGGCCAGAAAAACCACTTCAATTCAATCAGCTGTGTGGTGAATACCAGGCTAAAATTAGTGGCGGTGAATTCATCAGCCTTGCAAGCTGTTGAATGGTGTCATCCCAGCACAAGTTGCTATGTCTAACATAGCTGTTCGCTATCATCGATTCCGCGATGGGCAGGTCTGAGGTGTGTCTGTATCTGTGTGTGTGTTTGTGTGTGTCTGTGTGTGTGTGTGTTTGTGTGTGTCTGTGTGTGTGTCTGTGTGTGTGTCTGTGTGCGTCTGTGTGTGTGTGTCTGTGTGCGTCTGTGTGTCTGTGTATGTATGTCTGTGTGTTTGTGTCCAGTTTATTCATGGCGTAGCGGATGACTGGTGCAGTCGCGGTTCACCTCGTTACCAAGACTATGGCAAAGTCTGGCCTATTGTTGAGTGGAAAGACGCAGTTGAGGCTGGTCGCCAACTAGTGTCGGTATCGATTGGAAAATCAAAATCAAAAGAAGAAGTGAGTTGGGCTCTAAGAGTGTGAGAGCACTGTTATTAGGGGTGAAACGATTATACCGATTGCTATTATTAGATATGGCGATGAATAAACTATTATCAAGAGTACATAACCAAGAGTGTGCAACTCCTATCTTGAGCTGCGATGGGTTCACCCACGGCGGAATTTTTTTATTGCATCATTCTTTGGCAGAAGCATGACGAAGTGGGTATGCTTTCCCGCGCTTGTTTTGTAGATACGGTGAGAGTTCGTCAGGTTCAAGACACATCGATCTATCGTCCGTTGTTCTGCTTCGACTACCGTAGCTGTAACGTACAAATCATTTGTACTTTGATCTCTGGCTACGCATGATGGCATCAGTGAGCCAAAACGCCGCCAAAGACTGATGTCTTTAAAAAAATTCCGCCCTGGGCGGGGGGATCGTCGAGTTGCACACTCTTGGTTATGTACTTTTGCTATTATTAGAAGTAGCGATTTGGTGGTGAGCTCCACGTAGGGGCAACCAACTTTGTCTACTAGTACTTGGTACTGACTTCAGTACTCATGGGAAGAGATATTCAGCGAGTAGTTAGTCACAATCGGATTATCGGCTTGAAATGTGTACACATTTTGATGATGAGAGTGTAAATCTTACCAATGTGCATTAACGTGGATCGTGTCTTGGGCTCTCGGCAGACGTTTGACACATGCCAGTGCACTGCATGACACAGAGTATAATTCACATGTATGCAATGCGGTCAAGCCAATCGTGTGAGTACCGTGCGGGTCAGAAGCTCAGTGAGTTCACAGTGACACTAGAGAGGTTTCGCACCACTCGCAACGCGCTTACTTGACGCCCTCGGGGGTCACGTGCGACGTTCGGCAGCGAGACCAACGTGCGTTGGCAACGTGGAAACCGGTCTCATCGCATTGGCGCTTGACGGCCCCCGCACGCACGATTTACGGAAGGTTCTAATGGCTAACCGAAGAAGGTTGAGGTGGGTTTTGAGGGCTAAACCTGAGTTTTGCTATAATTGGTAAAACCGGGCAAGGCGAGATGAGGAGCGCGGATCAAGGACAAAGTGTTAGTGGAACTGGAAGCGGTCAAATATTTTCAGATACAGTAAATCTACTTTCCCATCCCCCGGCTGCACAACAGGTCGATCTACTAGTACTACTAGTGAAACGTTCAGTGAGTTTTGTCGCCATATCGCTCTCCTTCAGAGACGATTCGGATAACACAATCGGCGCAGCAATACAAGCCGCTCCCTGATCGTCTTTTGTTTCATCGTTCTGGTTTGGTCCCTTCACGCAGTTGCAACGCAACACACAAATCCGTCCCGGTAAACCTAGAGCTATTATTCAGCACTGTACGCATCAAAGTGTTGAGATCTAGACTGTCGCCGTAGGTTTTGCTCTTGGCTTCAAGTTCGTTGATAATCCTCTTCAAGAGCAGCAAAAATCAAGAGCATTCTTGTCTAAACGAGCATACCATCATAGCATCAACACGGCATATGAGAGTCAGCTTCCATGCCGAAAGCAGCAAAGGTGGAACGATACATGTATGTGCAAAGAGGCTAAGACAGAAAACGGCCCAGACCAAGGCACGGTCGTGCTCCTTGAACGCTGCAGCACAGAGCAAGAAGAAGCAGGGAGTCGTGGACCCTAGGACCTGTACAGGCTGTAGAAGGGATCACGGACTGCACATTACAGATTTTGCATTCTTGATGCACGCAAAACCTGTATCTCGATGAGTGCGTTTGGTGTGTGTGGCATGTGCAGGTTTACCTGCTGCGAAAGCTCTTTTCATGCGCGTCACGCACGTGAACAGCGTCGCGTTCAGCCTTGCCATGTTGCACGCTGTGCGAAAACTCTCTACTGTTTACTACAATTGTGCAGTGCGTGCTTGCTTTCGATTGCCACAACAGAAGAATCCACGGCTGGGATTCGAACCCAGCTCCCCTGGCCTTTTCGAAGTGTGTGTGTGTGTGTGTGTGTGTGTGTGTGTGTGTGTGTGTGTGTGTATCCTCTCTGGTGTTCAGATCGTGGCATTGCTAAGTGAAGCTGGTGTTGAGGACGATGTAGCACAAGCAGCTGCCAGTGCGCTTGAGGCAAGGCGTGACGATGTACTACGTGCTTTGAAAGCGAACTCTGCCACAATATCGCGGTCACATCTCAAGGATTTTGATTGGAGAGTACAGGTATGTGTGAATATTACTTATTATTAAGTTTGGTGCCTTCGTGCAGATTGTTGTTGTTGTTGTTGTTGTTGTTGTTGTTGTTGTTGTTGTTGTTGTTGTAGTCCTCGTCGTTGTTGCTTTGTTACTTTTAAGACGACAGAGCTGGTGCTCATAGGCTCTCCTTTGCGAACCGTCTTCACATGAGCGTAGCTTGCAAAAGGAAGGTTCATGACCGCAGGAAATCTTTGCAGGAGGGGTACAGTAGTACAGAATCCCGAAGCCAGACGTCGTCGGCAATCCGTCAAAACAGGATTGGGTGGTCACTACATACCATGTACATGTACATTGGTTTCAGCCATTCACACATGATCACTTGCTCATGTGCTACATGATTCACACATGATCACTTGCTCATGTGCTACATGATTCACACATGATCACTTGCTCATGTGCTACATGATTCACACATGATCACTTGCTCATGTGCTACATGATTCACACATGATCACTTGCTCATGTGCTACACGATTCACACATGATCACTTGCTCATGTGCTACATGATTCACACATGATCACTTGCTCATGTGCTACATGATTCACACATGATCACTTGCTCATGTGCTACATGCTAACAACTGAGCAAAGTTAGCAAACGTGTACACAATAAAGGCTGCTGGACAATGGATTTGCCAATCTTGGGAATTAACTTTTTTTAAACCTTTTGTCTCTGCTTGTCCATAAGATCCACTGTGATTTAGCAACCCACACTGGTATCAAGTATTATCCTCAGTGAGGATGGGGTAAATTTAACTGTTAGTTGGATCCCGGGGCGGATACTGTAATTTCACGAATTTTCGGTGTACTTTTATTTTTGGTACTTTCGGTGCATCTGTTTCATATCTAAAATTTCAATACACCGAACAAACACTAACACACATAATCCAATAGGGAACTGCTTCTCTGTACCTAACTTTTCTGTTCACCTAACCTGGCCTTTTGCCCTCATACCGAAAATTTCTGAAATTAGAGTACCCTGATACTGTCAGTTCTATGTTTACACCTGCGGCATGGTGAGCCCATGGGGGGGCCGGGGGGTCATTTCCAAATCCACTCAGATAAGAGTCAGGGATTTCAGGGGATATTGGCTGTTGGGTGGTTCAGTAGCCAACTAAATCATCTTCCCGAGATTGCGTGTGTTTGTGTGTGTGTGTGTGTCTCTCTCCCTCCCTCTCTCTCTCTCTCTCTCTCTCTCTCTCTCTCTCTCTCTCTCTCTCTCTCTCTCTCTCTCTCTCTCTCTCTTTCTCTTTCTCCTCTCTCTCTCTCTCTCTCTCTCTCTCTCTCTCTCTCTCTCTCTCTCTCTCTCTCTCTCTCTCTCTCTCGCACTGGAAGCTGAGAGAGTTTTTAGTCCCCCTTCCCCTGCCCATATTTGATACTCTTTGAGATGGGAAGAATTGCAACTTGCATCTACCTATTGCGTACTTTTCTGGCTGTTGTTTTCATATGAATCATGATGTTCGTATGATGTTGTTGTTCTATTTCTAACCAGCTGATGATGTCCAGTGACAAGCTGGCAAGCGTTCGTAAGCCGGTTGTTAGTGTCGACTTATCCCTGGATGGCCACTCAGGTCCGCAGAAAGTAGCCTTGGAGTTGGACAAGGAAGAACTAAAGCAGATGATTCAATCATTGGAGAATGCTAACAGGGTAGGTACCTTTGGTGGCTGCTGCATCCACATTGTAGGTACATGTACTTGTACTTGAAGTACGTTGTTATCAGGTTTTTCCTTTCAGGTCATGGGTCATGAGCGTTCGGTATGTGGTTGATTGGTCCTCCTTGTCCCCTGCCTGCGGTGTATTCAGGTTGCACATCAGCTGACGTTTTTGTTTGCCTGCTGTGGTGTGTTTGCATTCAGGTTGTACAGCAGCTGAAGTCGTGATTACTTGTTGATAGATCCGGTGTGCGTGTGTGTGGTATGCTAGCCTGAAGAATTTTGGCGCTGTGCGCTCATTATCTGTATTTCATCATTTACGTCTGGTAAGTCTCCCATGAAACTATCCATAAACCCATAGAGCTGCAGTGCAGCTATTCTTATTTTGTCCAGAGTATACTTCTTACGTCCAGGGTATACTTCTTCCATCCAGAGTATACTTCTTGTGTCCAGAGTATAATTCTTACGTCAAAGTGACACTTTCCTTCTGAGAAGTTCTCGAACGTGTGCTGCCAAAGCACACACCAACTCACAATTTGACAGCCAAGTGCGAGTTAGTTGCTTGCGAGTAATTCTGCTTGTGGCAGATTGATGTGCTGTGAGCTTGCCTCTTTTGATGTGCTGTGAGCTTGCCTCTTTTGCCGCTCCCTGTACAGTGCCACCTGGTTTTCCTTTGACTCCAAATATGAGAACATGTTGAAATAGGCCGAATGTACCCACCCCTCCCTTCCCGTTTCAACAGTCTCAACTGGTGAATAATGTACTCGAACAGGTAACAGTTTACTGAACTTTCCCATGTTTTGTCGTAGACTGTTCATGTCGTGTGAACTATATTATAGTGACAATGATATTTCTGGTCTGTTGTTAGTTTGTGAGTCAGTGCATGTGATGTATGAGCAGCACCCCAGGGTTTTTTTGCTTGCGAAAAGGAGTTCAGTTTTCTTCTTGTGACGTATGGGTAGGGAATTGAAGTAAGTGTCCATATTGAAGGTTACGCGACACTTTCTTTCGGTAGCGTGTGATTTTTTGTTAGCCCCAGGTTACTTTATTCCCGTAGCTATGCAGAAGACGTTACTTCAGTAACGTCTGGCGCTAGCCAGGGTACACACAGCTTTAATTTGGTATTTGTGTGTTTGTGTCACGCCTGGCGCTATCCCGTATCTGTCCCGTACCGTACCGTACCATCAAACACAGCTGGCCACATACAGCTGGCCGCAATATTCAAATAGGGCTTTCAAACGCAAGATCATAACGTGAAGCAACTGGGAAGAATGAGTATGAATGCGAAGTGTATGGGGGAATGCATGTAGGGCAATAGTGTGGGTTCGAATACCAGGTTATGCCTTAAAAATAGGAGAATTGAAAAATTTATAACATCCTTATGCTTTTTTTGCCTAGGTCATCAAGGCGGTAGGCGGTGCCGTATTATCCTCGACCGTACCTGTCCCGTACCGTACAATCAAAGACGGCTGGCCACAATGCATATTCAAATAGGGCTTTCAAATGCAAGATCATAACGTGAAGCAACTTGGAAGAATAAGTACGAGTATGCGAAGTGTATCGGGGGATGCATGCAGGGCGATAGTGCGGGTTCGAATCCCAGGTTATGTCTAAAAAAAGAGGAGAAATTTATATGAATTTATAACATCTCTATGCTTTTTTTGTCTAGGTCATCAAGGCAAAAAAGCATAGCGTAGGGCCCTGAGCTTCCAAGCTCTCTCGTTTCACTGACGACTGTTTTTTAGTAGCAATGTGGAATACCACAAAAGTAACGGAAAGGGGGTGATTACTGCAACTGTGATCATGGGCCAGTTTGCTTTCTTAGGGTGCGTTCTTAAATCCTCTCGGAAAAGTTGGAAACTCTCCGAAAAGTTCGAGAGCTGTTCTTATATCCTCTCCGACTTTTAGGAGGCTCTCCAAAGCTCTCCAAGCTTCAGAGGTGGTTGAAACTTGGAGATTCCCGCGGTTTGGGATCAGCGCATGCGAACTACGACTAAAAGCCACGTGTTCATCATGAGTGTACGCATTTCCCTTTTCGCATACGCACATACATTCATCACTCAAGATCGCGGCCCTTTTGACGCTTTATTTTACTTGACATGTGGAAAATATCTCGGAATTCTTCGAGACCCGTTCTTGAGTAATCCCAGTTTCTTCGACTTCTCTTTTCTTCTTCTTCTAGAAGCCAGAGGATATAAGAACGCACCCTTAGTTTGCTTTTTTTGCTTTGCAGTTTGCTTTCTTAGAATTTCACAGTTTGTACATGAGACATTCAATAAGTCTCTGCTAGGAGTCCATAATGCAAGAGTATGCAACTGTGAACTCTTTTCTATAGGCCAGATGTGCAGCACGCTGCCTTCCGTGCACTGCAGAAACCAAACACCACACTTTCCCCATGGTTTGAAACCAACTTGCCTTGCACATGGAGCGGTATTTTATGCATTCAGAACATGGTCAGCATCACATCAGTCAGTATTGTGCTAACTATTGCACCTTCTGACTCCACAATATCTTGCTTTTGACTGTTAGTGTTGGACAAACTATGGATATTTATTATTTATTACTTCAAAAGGACAAGTAAACTTTTTGGTCCTTTCTTTTAGTAATCTTTTTTATTTTGTTAGACATGTGTAGATCTACGTTATGAAGTGTATACCATAATTATTATCAAGAGTCCATAACCCCAAGAGTCCATAACCCCCCATGTATGGACTCTTGATATTATCTTTATTACAAGCCCAGTCTCTTGTAGAAGCCCAGTCTCTATTATAAGCACACTCCAATAGGGCTTCGAAGATATACAAGCGCAGTCTCCAATATAAGCGCAGGGCTTTAATATTGGACTGTATGGATCATGCCCATGCATGTTTGACATCATTCATCACATATTAAAACACATGCTGATTGCTGTGGTAAACGTCTGTGATCCCCGAGATCTAAAGTTCAGACTCACTCAGTGTACCAGGAAGCTCAGAACTGCAGTCCCGGTAACTGCTGGGGAACTTTGTGCTACTGATATTATGAAAAATAATAAGCAACGTACTGTATTATGTCAATTTATGTGCATGTACCAGATGGTTTAAAAATTATAAGCCCAGTCTCTAATATAAGCCCGGGTCCGGACTGGTTGAAAAAATATAAGCGCTGGGCTTATAATGGAGATAATACGGTAATACAATCAAGTTCGACTTCGGTCTAAGAACGTGCTATAGGAGCACAGCCAGATTGCGCAAAAAGAAAATAGAAAAGAATGTCCCAGCCAGACCCCGGAAATGACGTTCTTGGGCGTGTGACTCTGCTGCGTGTTACCAGGAAGCAGTACAACATGACTCCCACTCCCTGGCAATACATCAAGAGAAGAGTCAGACTGTACTAGATTACAATTTCGTGGGGACAGACTGTTGTGAGCAGTACGCTGGCAGCTGTACTGTTAGAGTAAGGAACGTGTTGCACTACACACAATGTTAGACAGGCACAACAAAGTGTTAAAAATAGAATGAAAAGAAAGAAAGATAAGACGTGGATGTAGATGGTGAACACTAGTGCACTGCATGTACGTATGATGCAGTGTTTGCATTAGGAAGTTCAAAGCTGCACTAGCGGTGGTCATAGCTGCAACTATGGGCTTGCCTTGCACCGTGCATAATGATCTTTCATGCGTGGTAAATTCGACACAACAGCTTTGCAACGTGGGCAGGTCAGGTCTTGCTTCAGCAAATCTTCGGCCTCCTGTTTATTGACGGTGACTTTGCGATCACGTTTCAGCTGCTCAATGACTTCCTCTGCATCCAGGAAGAATTCAGTCGTAAACGAATTCCAGTGTTTCTTATTCTTCAGTTTCGGCGAATCAAAGTCCTGGCTGATCATATGCATGTGAAGATGCACCATACTGGGAATGGAGTGAAAGCCAAAGTGGAACTTTACACTAGGCTCCTTGGCTGTCAGTCGGTCAGCCAGTTCTTCCCCGCGCCGCAACATGTGCTGCACCAATGCCACATCCGTTTTGTCCAGACTGGCAACTCCACGTGTTTGCACGGGTGTCGGCAGAACTAGGTAGTGATGTTTGGCTTTGGGGTAGCCATCCTTAATGGTCACGGTTCGGCTATCTTCTTCCACGCACATCTTCTTGTCTTTGACTACGCTTGCCAATGCATGCGACCAATGGTTACGTGCCATGCTTGATTTATTGCAACTCCTAGGCTTGACTTGTGTATCTGCATCCATTGCACATAGGGTAAAACAGAGTCTTTCATCAAGACTAGTTTTCGTAGAGAATGAGAATCAACCTTGCTGAAGAGTAAAGCTATGACACATGTATTTGTTTTGGCAGTAAGTAGATCTACATTCTACGTGTAGTGTATTGCACGTGGTGAATATTCTAAAATATGCTATCTCTATGTGCGCGTACATGTACATTCTGTATTCCCAACACAGCGTGCACTGTACTTACCGGTACAAGTAGTTCCTCAACCAGTAAACTCGGTAAGCAGCAGTACGAGACGCTGTATCAACTATGTTACTTGGTAGACTTACAATCATGAGCCTAGAAGGGTCTGTCAAGAACTCATAAAATTTAGCCTTTCGTTATCTCCTTCAGATACTGACTGTCTGATCTGTAGCTGTGTTCTTTTTCTTACTGTCTGCACCTTCGATCAGTTATAAGTTCCCAGCTTATTAATTTTACTCTTGCTTCGATCGAGTTCAAGCAGAATGCGAAGGCCAAGGATCGTGACCTGAGCATGATCATGCATGGTCACTGCATTTTCTTCTTTCTTTCTTTTTTGAAATTTCGAAACAAGCGCAAGGGAATTTCCCGTGCTGTAGGGACTTCCCCCTAGAAGACCTACACAGTATCAAGAGTAAAAAGCTCCCAACAATATTTCATTGTGGGATCTGCCAATTTCGTTCTCACCAAAGTTCATTTCCTTTCTGGTGCACAATAAAAAGTACAGTGCGTATCGGTTATAGCGTGGTCGTGTAAAAGAATATACTGCCTACAAGAATGAACCCGCATGTTTTCATAATCATAACATGGATTTCAAGTGCACATTTATTCTTACAAGCAATTTTATCCCATAGTAGAATATATCGGTCCTAAGAATGGACTTTGTGTAGCGAAACATGCCAAATTAGTACAAAGTGTATCGCCTGTAGTAATAACATCTGTCCAATTCCGTTCTGATGTGACTCTCGTTGCGTCGTAGTGCTGCAGATTCAACTGTTGTGGCCATGTAACTCATTTTGCATAGCCACATGTAAGCTTATGGGACTATGACCACCCACATGGACAGAAGTACTGCGTTGCATTGAACGATGATCTTCCTGCCCCTGCGCACATGCATATGATATGCCACACTTGATTTATCGTGTGTAAGAAATATCGGAAATAAGAATAGAAAGTCGTTTTTCAAACACCCACGCTATAACCGATACCTACTGTATTACGTTGATTGATGAGAGAGACTACATCGACGCGGTCCTTTTCGGCATGATATCAAACTAGTACAGCAGCAGAGAGGCATGGAAAACATAATTATTGTGAAGAAAAGACTTGCATGTAACAACCAGCATTACACGAAGAGGAAAACGTGCAGCAAATATCCAAGCCAATTGCAAGGAATCCTAATGAGTCAAAGATCAGGTACATGTAAAGTTGCAGCATTCTAAACAATGACCGCTGTATTACGAACACGCCAGCCGGAGCAATAGCACAAGCGTGCCGTGCCGCAAGGGTTGTCTGACATGGATACTGGGGAAAGACGGCAGTGGTCATTTGTGGTGATCACCGTCAAACAGTGGAGGACAAGCACATACACCAAAACCAAAGGCAGAGGTGTACAGCTGGGTCAAGATGAGTTGATCATCAAGTTACCCCAAACCTATCACTGCCAGGATAAGCATAGTCCAGTACGCTCAGACTACAAGTAGTCAAGTGAGTGTCTCCAGGGAGTGTGAGTGACATACTGGTGGTTACCATAGTTACCATAGTTACCGTAGCAGTCACAGGTTAGTTACTCCACTTCCAACTGTAACACGTCGGTGAGCACCATGAGAGGGTGTCGCCATATAAAGCAGATCATGAGAAGCCTACTTTAGCAGACGGTGAACCCGTTGGGCCGTTGGACTGCACCACTCAGTTCACTGTCCAGATGGTACTTCAAGAAGATGCTATAGTTGAGCTCCCGTCGCCAGAGAGCTATATAAGCAAGCGAGATACAGGCAACACCCGGTGCTATTCACAAAACGCCAGGATGAACATTGGTGGTGTGGTCACCTCTCTTGCCGTCCCAACTAACTATACAGTGAAATCAGGCTAATGGCCACTGCTATCTTCGTTGCTGCTGCTGCTGCTGCTGCTGCTGCTGTGGTGGCATTGCTGCCATATCAGCAGAGGGAGTAATGCCCTGCTGCAGCATGCGGTCAGCTGCAGGGCCAACAAGTAGAAACTGCTTCATGGTGCGGTGGTTGACAGCTACGTGCTTGTTGACACAAGCTTCAACGCAGTCTTTCTGAAAGCATAGACGACCACCCACCGACACAAAGATAGATGTTAGAAAAGACAATGAGCATAGTTTTCTGGGTGATCACACTAATAATGAGCAAACTAGTTCTTACAGTCAGGGCGCTATTTGTGATGCTGTTCAAGTACAAGCAAATGCAGTACATGTGCATGTACACCATCTACACCAACATCAACACAAATACGGCTGCCCCTCTTTGATCCAGCACTTTACTTCCTCTGGAAACAAAATCTTCGTAACTTTTTTCATCCACATTCTAAAGAAGTTACTGTGCTCAAGAAATTTGGCTTAGCGGAATAAAAGTTCATCACAGTGAGTGGATATACTGCTTCGGAGTGTGTACAATATTACACAAACAAACTTCGCACTGATTACGTCTCACAAAGTCAGTATCTCTCAATTCCTCAGAGCTCAATTCATCATAACTGACAAGCGGTCGAAGTCATGAAGTTTTTGTTTCCGGATGAAGTATAAGCCAGCATCCTTGGTAAACTGGCATAGTTTTCAGTAAACAAAATTAAAATGAATAGTCTAAACACACACACGCACAGAATTTTACAAAGTCAGCTAACCTCAGCCTGCGATAAAGACCGGCTTGAAAAATCAGCTGTACAAACAGTGAAGCACTTCTCTGACATCGTGTTGAACTGCATGAGGAACTGGCGATACTGCAGATTAGGGAGAGAGATTCAAAGATTCAAGTAGACGCACTTGTGGTGTCCATAACTCCTCTACCATGTTCCGTTCAACGATCTGGATATTGCTGTGAGCTATCTCTTACGGGCGACATGCATGTGTTCTAAGGTTGTAAGTTAGCAAGGATTCACAAACTCCGTTGCAGCCATTTTCACATTACTCTTCTTCAATCCAAACATGCAACTATGGTCTCTCTGCCGCAGATGCCACTTCAGGCTTACCAACATTTTCGGCCCTGGACCATCATCAGGGTGAAACAGTAAAATGAAAATCTAACAACCAAGGAATTGAGTAGATGTGTCGTGAGGTGCTGTAGAAAAGTGATGAGAAGATCGTGAAGACAGAGACAAAATGTACGACATAGGTGTGTATGTGTGGCTGGTGGCAGCGCTGGTGAAAGGTGTTGAGAGATAGGGAGAGCTGTGTTTGTGTGTGAATGGGTTAGTGCGACATAGAAATAGAATGAAATGTAGCTGAAGCCGTACGTGTCAATTAAGTCAAAGATGAAGACAAGTATTTGCTAAGTACGGTACAACCAGCTAGCACGCACATACACACATGCACCAGACAGTGTTGTGCCATTATGTGCAACTTTACAGTCTATCACAATACAATCATACTTCACACTGTGTCAAGCAGCCTCCAACTACAGTCCCTGTTTCAGGACATTTTCCACAACACATTTTCAGGGTGTTTCTTCTTTTTTTTTAGTAGTACTGAAGTATATTCACAATGACTCATTATGTGGACGTATCTCACACATTACTATGTACAATTCGCCAATTTATTTGTATTCGAAACTGAACTATTTACTGACGACAAATGTATGCACAAGAAAGCGTTGCAGTCAAGAATTCAGTTGCAGCTGATATTCTTACTCGGCGAGGAAGGCATCCCAGTCTTCCAGGTCAAGTACACCGCTCATCTCAGGTGAGGAACTGATGGTGCCAGTAGCTTCTGGAGCACGTTCCCTTGGCAATCCGCGACATTTGTCAGCCCACCACAGGTCCACAGCGTGCTGTGTGAATTGACTGTAGCAACAACGCGTTGCTACAGGCGGATCAAGTAAATATAGTGAAGTTTACGCCTGAGACTACGGTGTACGTGTTAGTTGTACGATATGCAAGTCGCATTTGGCACGAAGCTCCGAAGAAAGCCCAACTCTGCATAAAAAGGTCGAAAGGTCGCTGCTCTTTTTTTTTTACTTTTTTGACCGGACACTATGTCCGGTGAAATTGAAAACGTCCAGTCAGTGGCCGAAAATGGCCGGAAAATGTCCGATGTCCGGCCGTTAATCTATGCCCTGCTGTTTACACTTGGATGCCTATCACGGACGAACTTTGTTGTACACAGTGACCGTGGCTGGAACTGCTGGGCATAGTGTAAACCACAGTGAGAAGTATGTTGGCATTGTGATAGACTGTATTATCGCACACAATGGCACAATACTGTTTGGTGTATGTGTTGCTAGCTGGTTGTACCATACTTAGCAAATACTGGATTTCTCTTCATCTTTGACCTAATTATTAAACACGTATGGCTCCAGCTACACTTCATTCTATTTCTATGTCGCACTAACACACACACACACACACACACACGCGCACACACACGCGCATACACACACATACACACACACAGCTCTCTACTTCTCTCCCTCTCTTTCTCCCAACACCTTTCACTAGCGCGGCTGCTACACTCCACACGTACACACAAGGGTGACCTATCTGACACATTTGGTTATTCTTCACATAATGTGACATTCTTCTGATCACTTTCCTACAGCACCTCACAGCATATCTACTCAATCCATTGGCTGTTTAAATTTAGTTTGCCTGTTTTAACCTGATGATGGGCCACGCCGGAAAATTTGGTGAGCCTGAAGTGGCATCTGCAGCAGAGAGACCATGTTTGCATGAATGGATAGAAGAAAAGTAAGTACGTGTTCCCATGATAAATTGAAAATGAAATGCTCTACATTCAACTACATACATGTGTCTCCACGAAAGCTGTACATGACTGTGTTTCCCTAAAAAAATGTGCTGCACATTCCCTCATTCAGAAAAAAAAAAAATGACTCACGTTGTGAAGATCTTCCATTTCCAATTCCGAGCTAGCGAGCTACCGGTATACCAGAGGTTCCCAGTGGAAGGTAGATTTATAAGGAAATAGTGATGTCCGATCCACACACTCGGTACTACAATACTGATGATGCACATAGATATATTCAGCAAACTGTTACCAGGTACATATTTTGGCCCTTCAATTCACTGCATGCACTATGAAAATCGATTTTTTTTGTGACTTTTATCATCACACGACAAGAGTCAGATCTGTCCAGAGCACCGGATCGGTCTTCGTAGTTGTACGCTAGCGTCCCTACTCCCACCCACAAGTTTTGCTGGGCTGATTTTGTTGTAGAAGATCAAAAAAGCTGGTCACCTGGTACATTGTTGTTGTTTTTAGAAGACTGTTTTGTTTTGTTCTCGGCTGTGACGGATGGGTTCCTTGGTACCAAGCATCTAGAAGGATGCAGGCTGAAGGTGGAGATGCCCGAGGTCGCACTCCTGCCATTTATCCATCGTTCGTTTCACTTTTAGTGGACATTGAGAATGGACAGCCGGATCAGAACATTTTGAAGCCAATTCTAAATTTGGTAAATTGATAATTATTTGCAAGGGGAATTTTACATGTGTAAAGTGAGGCCTACAACAAGAACCCGAACAGTCACCCAGTGTGCTCTTCGTAGTTCTCCATACCAGCTATATTTGTTTTCGTGGGCGTTGATAGTTGTCACCTGTGTTAATGATGGAAAGGGGTCAATAATTATTATAATTATTATTACTGATTAGTGCTGCTGAATACTGACTGGAAGCTCCTCTTTTCTGGAAATGTGACTGTATGCTCTTGTTTGAGAGTACTCCCAGTCACCAGTAATTACTTGTACAGGTCTACCCTCGTTAGTACGACATCGGTCACAAGACAAACCTCATTTGTAGAGAACGATCCAAAATCCCCTGACCCTGAAACGCGTACATGCAAGTCCGGATAGTAGATAATACTCGTTATAAGACAACAATTTTGAAACCCCCGGGGTGGTCTACTAAACGAGGGTAGACCTGTATTCGTTAGATTTTTGACTTTTTACCCCCCCCCCCCCCCCCCCCCCCCCAATTAAAGATTGTTTACAAACTTGCACTCACAGTTGTGCTGGGTATGACGGTTAGTTACCATAACTTATCCAAGCACTGTTATAACTTATTATCAGCCCACCCAAGCCTTCTTCCCAAGATAATGTAGATACAACAGCTCATTGGTTACGTCGTAGAACGGTACCTTAAAAGCCTGAACTGGGAAGTCATGGGCTGACATGATAATTATGGTATTTATAGACATGAGTATAGCAAAGAGGATTTTCAGTCTTTGGCCAAGTGGTTTGTCTGCTCAACTCGTGCCCACTGCTTTTGGAGCTGCACCTGTGCCTTGATTCTTGAGGGTGGTGGTGTTCATACATTTGGGCTAAAGTCAGACTGACCAGCTTTCACGTGAGTCGTGAAATTCCAGGCTGGTGCCAAATCACCAGGAGTAATAGATGTCATGTGCCACTGTTGGAGTTTATTTTCATACTGTGTTTTTTTTTAGTATTTATATACCAAAGCATGTGCACAGTTCAGTGATTTAGATGTGGCATGATATCATTCACCTCGCTATGCCTCTGATCATGTCACTATCCCATCTGTATCTCGTTCAGCTTGTAGGTGGAACGTTTGACGCTGAAAGCAACTTCCGCATCAAGGATCCAAACATAGTATTGCTGATCCTCGAACTTGCCAAACATGGGTCCAATGCTCTCAAGGTACTACCTGCCTCTCTTGTATCTGTGCTTGCTATCGATGGCTGTAACATGGCGGCAGTTTATGGTGTCTTCATTATCACCAGCTGTGCTCAACCACTGTTCTCTCCATCTACAAGCCACATCCTGGGCAAATATAACTAATAGCAAGAAATAATAGTTTGTGCTATGCGTATGGTGTGCTGGTTGACTGTTGTTTTTCTTGCAGCTTGAAATATGGAGTCAACTTGCTGTGATCTTGAAGCGTAGCCTTCTGAACGTGCAGGCGTGCACTGACAAAGATCTGCTGAGCCATTGCTTGAGCCATCTCTTACTCACTAATGATGCATCTGTTGCTGGTCAGTAGTCCCTGCCCCCCCCCGTCTCCTGTTTGTAGATGATTTGATTGTACGTGTGCAGTGGAATTCACCTAGTGCGTACCTTTATAACTTATAAGGCATACACTAGCTTAGTACGGAAATTGTCTGGGGTATGGCCATGGGTGGGTGTGTTGCCCAATAGTAAAGTATGTTTGGATAAGAAGCACATTGGATACTAAGTACACAGTTTCCTGGTCCACTTGGGGTACGTCTTTTCAGAGTTCCACTCTACTTCTTTACGATACTCTGCACATGCACCTGTAGATATTCTTCATGATGTACTTTCTAAATAGGTAGATGTGTAGCCTCATAGGATGCTGCTGCTGGTGGATCATCCTGCTGTGTATGTGCAATGCACGCCACTGTAAATCAGCTCCAGGCCAAGATTGATACAGACTTTGTGTGTGTGCGTGTGTGTGTGTGCGTGCGTGCGTGCGTGCGCGCGAATGTGAATTGTCTCACCCATTTCAGACAAGATAGTGGAAGTTCTGACAGCCGTTGTCAGCTACAACATCAGTGTGACCGGACTAAGGACACTATTCACTGCACTGCAGGCAATCAATTTGCCTCAGCGCAACACTCAAATCTGGGTAATAACCATTTCTCTGTTGGTCTTGCCTGATAGCTCGCATTCTCTCTGGTGGTCTTGCCTGATAACTCGATGTGTGATCTATCATTATCGCGAAAGAGATTTTCTCCTCGGTTTCATAGTATTGTTGCTGGTACTGTACCCCAGGAGTATGCACCTCCGTCTGGGTTTGCTGTAGGCACGCCAGCTGTGAAAAACTGAAAGCTCACTTGTGTCCAGGAGGTTTCTCAGTGAACACTGGAAAATGGCACTCTCTAAACGAAAGCCTTCAAAGGGGACAAGTATCTGCTAGGTCTAGACTGTGTTCCCGCTAAAGGGTAGTACAAATCATACTTGCAGCACCTGTGGACCATGTGGTGTGACATTTGCGCTGTCAGAGGCGCTATGTGCAGAGTTGTGTTCCACCAAGAGTACATGAAACCAAGAGTGTGCAGCTTCTGACTTTTTCTGCATGGGTGTCTCTCACTGCGAAATTCCGGGATTACATCATATCTGGTGCAGATTTGAGGCGGGAAGTGGCGTAGTGCGTACAACTGAGCTGCAGTTGTGCAGAAAGAGACCTGCTTGAATCCTGCTTATACGCACTACATCACTAAAGTGATGTAATCCCGGAATTTTGTCGTGACAGCAACCCATCCGAGCTGCACACTCTGGGTTTCATGTACTCTTGGTTCTATGTTAATGCTAGTGCTTGCATACTGCAGTGTTGCTACTGTGTTCTGGTTGTATATCAGTGCAGCCATGGTTGTTTCTGAAGCAGTCACGCATCATGATCTGTGTTATATTTGTGTGGCTTATTACTGACGACAGCCTCAACATGCAAGTCGTCTTGTGCATGCGCTGCGTTACATCACGGGCAAGGACAGTCCTGACGTCTTCTTCAGCTTCAATGGTGCCCGAGAAGCGGTATGTGTTTGTGTGTTTGTGTGTGTGTGTGTGTGTGTGTGTGTGTGTGTGTGTGTGTGTGTGTGTCTCTACGTGTGTATACGTGTGTGCATGTGTGTGCATGTTTGATTGTGTATGTGTGCGGGTGTGTGTATATGTGTGTGTGTGCGCGTGTGTGTACGCACGTGTGCGCGCGCGTTTATGTGTGTGTGTGTGTGTGTGTGTGTGTGTGTGTGTGTGTGTGTGTGTGTGTATGTGTGTGTGTGTGGGGGGGGGGGGGGGTGCGGGTGTGTGTGTGTGTGTGTGTGTGTGTGTGTGTGTGTGTGGGTGTGTGTGGGTGGGTGTGCTTCATAATGCTTTGTTATCAGTGTACAGTAACTGTTGTATGATCATGACAGTACATTGGCATGCTACATGCTGGTCATGTGTACTGAATGCCAATCTGCCAATCTGTGTGTTCAGGCTGTAACTATTCCACCTCTAGCCAAGTGGCCCACGCAGCCAGGCTTCACTATACACACATGGATTCGCCTGGACCCACAGCCTGGTGTCAACATGGCCATTGCCAAGCCTTTCCTATACTGGTGAGCTAGTGCAGCAGAAGTACACTGCACTGCACACAGTATGGCACTATCATTGTTGCTGAAGGGGGGGGGGGGGGAGCATTGAACAATCAGCATTGAACAATCATTGTTGCTCAAGCCGACCACATTGAGTCATTGAGTCATTGAGCCTTCGACTTCCAAGTATTTGTTTACAATACAGGGATGCAGGAAGACGATTCTGCTGTAGGCAAACGTTAGTTGCAAATCCATGTGGCAGACAAAGAACATCTGTAGTGGACTGCATGGGGCTGATGAGCTGATAGTATCACCAGGGGCGTCGGAACCGGTGCGGCAGGTGCGGCTTTGCAATAATTATTTTCGATTTTATTTTTATTTTATTTTTTAACATTTCAACGTTGTTTATGGCTTGTCGGCTCTTGTACAGGCACCATGTTTTACATCGACACTGCATTAATGCGGTGTATCATCAGCATGCATATTCTTAATTCTCATATTATGGTCTTTTAAGCCCAATTTTCAAAAAAAATCCCGGAGGAGGACCCCCCGACCCCCTCTCACACTTTGGCCGCACCAATGTTAAACTGCTTCCGACGCCCCTGATCACCACCTCACATTGGCTGATGAGCTGATGTATCACCGCCCCGTTGGCCTCTTACACTGGATTAGTGGAGGTCTGTGGGGTTTCCAATCGAATTTAGCTTGAAAATTGGTACGTGTCTGTGAAATTTTAAGTATATCAAGCCTGTCCTGCAGACCTGTCCTGATTGTGGAAAGCTTGCCTAAAAATCTAACTCTCTCCTAGTCCAGGTTTTGGAGAAATGGAAATGGACCCTTCGAGTAGGTCCAGGTGGGGAGGGGCGGATAGGCGAGTCCTACTTGCCACATTCGGTACTACATAAAAAAGTACTCACCCTACAAACTGTGCGTGCGTCTCGTACACCTACCAAAGGTCAAGAGCAGGGAGTTGTGCAGACCCATCAAAACCCAGGGTTTGTGCGATCCCTGGTCAAGAGCTTGTGAACTGCTGCGTACATTTCCAACGGGGTCGAGCCCGCATTTGCAGTGCGGTACGCCATCACACTTCACAGAGTAATACGAGGATTCTCACGGCCCTGGCAAGAAGTCAGGGAGGGGCGCATGGGAGAGACGGGGCGCTCTGGCGGGATTTTACGGTAGTATGCGTTATCATTCCATGGCTGAATGTGTTTATGCTTCTTTCTTTGTTGATGGTAGGTTTCGCACGGGCAAAGGCTTTGGCTACTCAGCTCACTTTAGTGCTCATACATTGGTGGTAACAGCCTGCTCTGCCAAGGCTGCTAAGGGCAAGCCACAGACTCACCAGGTAGCTTTCCCTTTTCAGCCCAGGCAGGTGAGAGACAAAGAACTAGTATAGGTTGGTTTTTAGTACTTTTTACATAGAAAGTGAAAAGGTGATGTATTAGTTTATGTGCCAGACCATTGCAGTGATTCCCTTCTGTACAGTCTACCATGGATGTTAGCTGCTCCTCTGATATCTGACAGCTACGATTTCTTTTCCATCATACCCTTTTGTTGACTCTTTTTGTCTGTGCATTGTGCCATAGGAAAAAAAGGTTTCAGAGCAGACTCGCTCTCTTCCCATTCACTCTGCAAACTCGAACTCATTTCTCAATCAATTTTTACAACGTTTCGGCAAAATTGCCCTCATCAGGTATACAATGGTGCATTAATTAATTTTGCTCTCACTACACACCAGCAGCATTGTGAGTAATGATGTGTGTATGTATGCGTATGTATGTGTGTGTTTGTGTGTGTGCACACACGTGTGGATGTGTGCACCTGTGTGTGTTTGCATGTGTGCTTGTGTATGTGTGTATGTATGTGTGTCCGTGTGTGTGCGCGCGTGTGTGTGCGTGCGTGTGTTGTGTGTGTGTGTGTGTGTTGTGTGTGTGTGTGTGCGTGCGCGCGTGATGTACATCTGCAGTGGTTCATGGTATCTATTGTGCACACGTTCAATCGTCTCAAAGCTAACGAGGTCCAGTGCTATGTTAACGGAACATTGGCTTCTAAAGCTGAGTTGCCGTTTGTCACTACCAAAGAGGTACTACACTGTAGTAGACTCATGCAACGATATGAAGACTTTCTTTCCCTTGCCGATATTTCCCCAAACACTGGTTTCTGTAACCCATTGACATACTGTGGATGATGGGCCGGTAGCCATATTACTAGTGATTTAGTTCCCATGGAACGGTCTGTTACTCATACCATGCAGCTGTTTGTATGCGTGTACTTGAGTAGGTTCCATCTCCTGTTTTCGCATACCTGCGACAGTTGCAGTTTAGTGGCAGAGTATCTACTGAGCACTGAGCAATGTATGTGTATCCCTGTCTATATTCATTCATTCATACTTCATTTGAAGGACTCTCCAGAAATAAATGGATACTTACCACTAAGTTATCAGTAGTACGGAAAGGTTGGAGGCTGCTGTCCGAAAGAGTGCTCGATGCCCAAGGCCAGTGTTACATGTACTTACAAGTATGAAAGGATGAATAATTCACACACAAGGCGATCAGTTGCCTGATGATCGCCTCGTGCGTGAAACTCGGAGTTGCAACGAATTAGTCATTCTCTTCTGCGTGTTGCACTTATCAGTACATGTAGTTGATCAGTTTATAACATACTAAAATACAGTACGAACAGCAGGGAGTTTGTGATGAGTATTAGAGACTTTTTGGTTGCAGCTAACGAGGTTCGCCCCCTTGTCGGGCATTGGTTGTGAGACGTACCACCTCACCATCGCCGTTAGGCGCTGCATCTGCCACCCTGGTATCACAGGCCTGGTGATGGCCTGGCACAAGCGGAACTTCCTAAGCTGTAGCTGGTTGTGTTTCTCAATACAACTGTATAGCCGGTTGTAACGGACGTACAAACTTTACTACTTTTTTTATTAGAGACTTTTGTGTCAAGTTCTGGTTTATTATTTATATAAGTATGTTCATTTTTCCCTGCTGTGTACAGCCATTCGATAAGTGCTACCTTGGTACATCGCCAGCTGCCTCAGCCAACGATGTCTTCAGTGGGCAAATGACTGCCTTCTATCTCTTTCAAGAGCCTCTATCAGCTGATCACATCTATGCACTGTCTGCACTCGGTCCATCCTACAAGGTATTCAGTCAGTCATTGAGTCCAGCGCACTTCAGCACAATACATGTGTATGTCTTATGGTATTGTCTTGGCCCTTGTGGTAGGTTGCCGTGTTGCTACCATGCGGCAGTCGAAGTGCACTGGTGACCCTGACTGTTGTTTAGCTTGCTTTGCAGATGTGTACTTTTTACTTTGAAGTTGGTTGCTTGTGCTGAGGGCCCTTTTTATAAGCACACTGGTTAAAACTGTTCTGTTGTTGCTCTGTGAATGTTGTGCTTGTTAGGGTCAATTCAAGTTTCCTGGTGAGAGTGACCGTGTTATTTTGAACCATGAACGCAAGGTAAATGCCTGTGAATGTTCCAAACTGTATATCTCACAAGTTAGAGAACCCTGACTTGGGTGACTTGGGTGACTTGGGTGACTTGGGTGTTTTCAGCTGATTTTAAAACACGTACGTATAGATGGCATGATGAATTTTTCCCGTATGCACTCAAAAGAAAGTAATAAAATTCGCATTTGTGGGAGGAGTAGCATACAGGATTTGTACTTTGTGACATCGATAGGTTGTGGAATATTTTTTGCAGAATTCCACATGGTAGCACCAGCATGCCAGCATGCCCAGCACCATTGTCATCACACCCCTTTACGTGTAGCTAAACCCAGGATGAGCATCTTTGTGAGCCAGTTACTGATCAAGATACCAAGCAGTGACGGGAAGTGTTATACACTGTGTTGTCAAGTTTTGCAGGGCATTTGCTTCATTTGTAATTTTGTACACATATGCTGAAGTGCTACTCATCAGCTACGGTAGAACGTATGGGTCATGTGCGCTGGTGACTCTTTTCATCATGCTCTTTTTATCTTGTTTTTGTTGTTGTCTTTTGTCAGCTCCTGTATGATGGCAAGCTGTCCAACTCCATCGTGTTCATGTACAGCCCAAAGGCATGTGATGGTCAGCTGTGCTTAGAGTCCTCGCCGACTACCAATCCAACGTTCTTTGTTCACTCACCGCATGCTACTCTTCTCGAGGTTAGTGGGATATTGATATGTTGGTATGCACCACGTTCAGCCACACAATGCCCTCATACTGTGATTAATGCTGAATGCTGGTTTAGCCACTTATGTCGATTTACCTTGGATGCTATCTTGTCATTCTTGCCTCATCTCCGCTCTCACATGTACTCATGGATGATGTACATCTTTTCAAGTTACAAACAATTCCTGCACCGTATCCCACCAAATGACTGTTATACCATAAACACAGCACTGCCATCACAGGATGCCATCAGGCATCACTCTTGTTCCCTTTGCCACATACATCATCTATATCATGGGGCACCAATGCTCACACAAAGTTAGTTCTTCATGCCATATCTTCTCACTAAGACTACATGCCCCTCCCCCCCCATACAACATATACACGCACGCACGCGCACACATGCACAGAGGAAATGGCACCTCTGACTCATTGGTGATGTTTTGCCACTTTCCCCTACATATAATTGCTCTTCTGGGCATCTCCTCTCTCATTATTTCAACTTCATCAAGGGAGCATGCAACATGTGCTCTGGATGCCTGGTAGCAGCAGCAGCAGCAGCAGTAGAAACTTAGAAAGTGTACATGCATGTTGTTGTTGTTTCTTTATTTTACTTCACCATATGAACAGGCAAGACTGCCTTCTGACCGGGGCTATTGGCCCACGGCTCTCACAATGTGGAGCTGGTCCATTGCTGCGGATCTTCATTTGTCGTCGGGTGTTTTCCTGGCTTCCGCTTCCATTGTCTTTAGCTGGAAGGGTACCAACTGGTCTTTAGCTCTTGTTATGCTATAATGTACTCACATGTTGGCATGTGTCTATATATTTGTATATGCGTATGTGTGCATGTGTGTGTGTGTGTGTGTGTGTGTGTGTGTGTGTCCGTGTGTACATGTGTCCGTGTGTGTGTGTCCGGGTGTATGTGCAAATGTGCATGCGCATGTTCATGTGTGTGCACACATTTGTATTTGTGAATCCTCAGGGTGTGCGCCCGATGGCAGTGCATAGTTTTCGCAGTGCACTGTACTCTATTGGAGGTGTTGAGGTATGGGACAACTATAATTTCTGTTCTTGCACACCATAGACAATGCATGTGATTTGTATTGTGCTGTGGATGGGACGGACATTGACATGATGCAATGAAATTTTTTTGGAGACAAGTGGAACTTTCCTTAAACTTTGTCTCTCGCAGGTTTTTTTGTCGTAAAGCAAGTCACTTGTTTCTTTTGAATTTACGGTTCTGCCCACTGTCTAATCCCACATGCAATTATGATAAATTAACCAGGTCTCTTTGACGGTACAGTACGGAGCATGTACGGGATAGCGCACCAGGCCTGGTAAAACTAGTCACATGGTTTGTGCCGGACCACACACACACGAGTATACAAATACAGCGCTGTGGACCCTGGCTGGCGCCAGACGCTACAAATCGTGTCACCTTTAGCATAGCTTCGGGGATAAACTGTTTTTGTATCACATTGCAGTATTACTGCATATGAAGCAGGGCTGTGGGCTGTGGCAGCCTTGTCCACAATGTTCATAACAGCATTGTGCACGGCTTGTCTAGTTGTCAGTGATGTTAGGTCACTCAGGTGTTCCCTGTTTTGTTTTGACCTGCTGTAGTATCTGTGTGCTGTGATGCTGTGATGCGGTGTTGCTGGTGTCGTTGCTAGGTGTTGTTTCCATTGTTCCATCATCTTGACTTGCCCCACTTCAGCCTGGACAATGGGCTGCAGCCGGACTATCAACTCTGGTTAGTTTCTTGCTACTGTTTACGGACATCTTCAAATTCTGGTTGTATGTGGGGAGGGGGGTATGTAACCTGCCCCTGGTGGTGATTGTGTTGACATGTCCCAGCATGTACGTAGTATACACTGCAGTGATTTCTTTAGCCTAGAACTGAAGGTAATTATCCTCAATCTAGCCCTTGTGCATCTATTGCACCTGCCAGCAAGGTGTTGCATTTTTTTTAGGGCCGTGGTACCTACATTCCGAACTCCAGTCATGTTCTTGTGAGTTTGATGGCAAAGGTAGCATCATGTTGATGTGTATGTGAATTCTTTAGTGTTCACATGTTGCCAGTGTGTTTCTTTGAAGTATTATAATATCTAGTCAGTTGAGTTGAGTGCTACTAGCTGCTGCTGCTGCATTACGAACGCATGTTTCCCTGTCTGTGACACTGTGCATCATATAGCTCCTCTCTTCTTCAACTACTTGTTGATGTCCTGGAACAGAGCACAACAGTGCAGCAGCAGATGTTGCTCGGTAAAGGCTTCCTCGTTCTCAGCGACCTCCTTTTGCAGGTAGTGTGGTAGGCCTTGTGCAAGTGGCTGTGTACAGAGTTATATTGCTGTCTGTGAGGATATGCTGTCGCCGTGTGTATACGTGTTGTGGGGAATGTGTGTGTTTTAAACTACATGTAGCCATGTGGCATGGTTGGTGTTTGCTACATGTACATGATGTGACTACCGTACCTACTTCTACTTGTAGATAAATAATGGTAAATGTCTGAACCAGGGGCATAGCCCCCACTTTTCAGAGTGGCCCTGTCAGCTAGTTTATGGTTGTTGTCTGGAGCGCTGTTTGTTGAAGTGTGTCCTCCAGCTTGTACCCTAATCCTTGCGATACTACATGTATGCTGCTGCCAGTAGCATACTACATGTAGTATGTAGTATGCTACTGGAAGCAGCATCATACCAGGTACCTAGTGGATGTTGTACATGATGCGACTACCTGTTTCTACTGGTGAATGTAGTCAATTTCTGTAGACAGTATGCTTTGTGTGTGTGTGTGTGTGTGTGTGTGTGTGTGCGTGCGTGCGTGCGTGCGTGCGTGCGTGGGTGTGCGTGCATGTGTTCTTCTTGTCTTTGTGTCTAGAACTCACCCAAGCATCTGACAGTTGAGGCCATGGACATCCTACTTCGCTATTGCAAGTTAGAGACATGAAATGCTTTCAACACGTGTTATTATAACGATTGTCCAAAATGCATAGATTAACGAGAAGATTACGTTAACGATCTTGCAGTTTTCAGGCATATCCGCACATAACACATATGAGGCATTACAGCCTCAACAGAACTAATTATAATGAAGAAATGTCACTCGTTAAAACTATAGATTTACTTCCTCGTTATATTTACATGTCTTACACTATCCTGTGTTGTTTCATCTTCTGGTCAGGAGTTGTTTTTTTGCTTATTTTTGCAACACTGTGTGCGTACGCGTGTGCATTGTGTGCGTGTGTGTGTGTGTGTGTGTGTGTGTGTGTGTGTGTGTGTGTGTGTGTGTGTGTTTGGTTTGTTCTCTAGTCGTTTGGTGAGTTGTTCGGGTCAGTATGAACGTAGCTTGCTGCAGGATCTACTACGTCACATCATGTTCAACGCTCACCTCTGGATCCGTACTGATGTTCAGGTGAGTTTGTGACCGTGTGTTCTAGTCTACTAGTCTACTAATATGAACATGTGTGTGTGCTGGCTGGTGACTTATGGCTTATGACCGATGCCTGATGGCTGATGGCTGATGGCTGATGGCTGATGGCTGATGACTGATGACTGATGGCTGATGGCTGATGGCTGGTATATGATTGCTGGTACATATGATGACTGGTGATTGGTGGCTGCTACAGTAGTACAACTGCTACACCAGTGCCATGCAAACTCTTTGTTGTATTGCACAACCTGGACATATGTATCTGTGGTTGAACTTTGGATGCAGGACACGGGTGTTCACTATCATCTGCAGATACCTGCTTTTACCTGACTTGGTACCTGATCAGTTTGCGGTGTTGCGCAACATTCTTTTTGAGATCTTCGTGTTGCTTTTATATTGCATTGACTGAATTGAGGCATGCATTTGTGAGAACTCTGAAGCTCCACTGTAGCCTTGTGATTCTTGCAACTAGCCTCCAACCTGCAACACACCAACAGATACTGTTTGCGTGTTGCGAGTTTGAAGGTTAATTGAAAGAATGTATGTTGTTGATGGCAATACCGTGTCTCTATCTGACTCCAAAACACGTTGTGTACCGGTATGTGCTTGTCACAGGTACAAATCAAGCTGTTCAGCTCACTGGCCACACTCCTACCACAGTGGCAGGTGGGTAGTGAGGAGAAAGGACGCGGTGTGGACTTACGCCGTGACGTGGGTGTGCCGCTCATCATCGATATTCTACAGCATTTCTACTACTTGGCACCTTCTCCGATCTTCGCCACTGACACATCAGGTTGGTACTGGTTAGCTGAGTAGTGTCAGCCAACTACATGCATGTGCTTTAGAGCGGATGACCTGGGCACAAAAATGGGCTACCTTTAACCCATTGCGAGAGTACATGAAAACCAGAGCGTGCAGCTCGGATGGGTTGCTGTCACGGCGAAATTCCAACGCGAAATTCCAATGCGTACTGTTGGCAGATGGAGTACGTGTTATCGCTGCTGTTGTGCTTGTATTGGTATTCTCTATGGGAGTTACCGTGTACGAAATCGTACGAAAATAAATTCCGTCCAAAAATTTCTTGCTATACAGTACCTAGATTTCAGTGTTGAGTAATGTTGTGTGAGAAATTGCTACATCTGTGTCTCCTCTTTCTTGTTCAGATGTTGAGCAGCGACCCGATTCCTATGAAATGAAGGAGCTCCGGTCTTACATTCTGCTCATTGTCAGCTTGCTGGTATCACAGGTAAGCAGTATCTGCCCAGTAGTAGTGGATGACATGTATAGCCCCACGAACTACATGTAGGAAGTGATGCTGTTCTGGACTTGTGGCAAGGTGTTGAGTACAAGCATGGATGTGAATCAGTTTAATTAGCATCTTTGCTTGTTATATGGCAATGTGTATGGCACTAGTCGATACAATAATTGTTTAGGTTTAGTCCTGATGATGTAATCTCACTAGCTCATGATCTGAAGAATGATGTCATCTGGTGCACCATGCATTATGGTAGCAGCCTACTGAATTGTACTTGAAGCCACAAGCTACAGTTGTGCTCAGTGAAATCCGACCCAAAGTGCATATCTGGTGCCCCCAACTTGCACGGCCCTTGATGCCCTGGAAGTAGTATGAATGCGGCTGGACGTACACATATACAAGCACAGTGATGTAATCAGAACTGGTCCAGGGCGTCAGTTTTGCTCTTTGGATCGGATTTCAGTGAGCGCAACTTTAGTATTATATACATGAATCGTCTGTAGTGAGCATGCCTCTGAAGCATTAGAGACCTCTCACACTTCTGTACAAGACGTATTGGTGACCTCTCGCTCTTCTGTGCAAGACGAGCACCAGTCGTTATCTGAGTTTGAGGATTCGCAGGAACTCTCTAGAAAGCCTCGCTTGTACGAGTGCATGTCTTTTCAAGTTTTTGTTCACCAACTGCTCCGAGCTCTGAGTGGGATTCACGTCGTACTCGGTACTCACAGAGGAGTGTCTCTACTGTCTCTACTGTCCTCCACCCCTCCTCTATCGCACACATTACCAGTGGAAAGTGATTGAACTGTTCTACTGGATAGATTACCGCTATCACACCATCGATCACAACTCTATCTACCCTCCAATTTTCTTATCGGTTGTGATATTGTGCAGCTGTGACATATGCACTTATCATACACTGTACCAGTGTGTAATATTTGCCACCACATGCACACCGCGAGTAATGCTTTTATCCCGCGTGTGTGTACGTGTGTGTGTGTGTGTGTGTGTGTGTGTGTGTGTGTGTGTGTGCGTCTGTGCATGTGTGTGTGTGCTTTTCGTTGTTTGTTGTGTTTGTGAATGGCTGGGTTTGTGTGGATGTGACCGCATGTTTCTACAGGGCAAGGGCGTTCGTGACGAAGAGCTCTCAAGTATACTTACGTATTTATCTGTGGAGCCCGTGAGTTCACTAATCTACGCGCCCTTTACGGGATTGCGTCCAATTTTGATTGTCTGCATCTTGTTACCTTCAATTAGCACTGTCCTAATTACACAACATTGTCTTCAGCTTGTGTCAGTGTGGGGTGAAGAGAATGTGGCGCAGCCTGAGCACAATGCTGACACAGGAAGGTATTCTCTTATCATCCTAGGAGTTTTCCAGGTGCTTTCTGTTTGGCTACATCAACAAGCCTATTTGCTCAGCATTCACTGGGATCTCTCGTGATGATAGCGGTACTGGTTATCCTTTTTAAAACTCAGATGAAGAGCCAAGGAAACAAATTGTATTAAACATGGAAAATTGTGGGCACAAGTTATGCGATCGTGTCCACCAACTAAGCCAGATTTTGAACAGTCATCAGACGTGCACAATCTAGCGCAAAACTGACGAGGGAGTACTGAGACATTCCACAGCATGAAAGTTAGCTTGAGCACTGGTCGATAGCGCTTATCAACGGTCTTCCAAAAGAGTGTCCGAATCTCTGGTCCAGAGCTCCTTTGTAACCTTAGTCCTTTCTTGCTTTCTGTGTGTGTGTGGTGCACAGGAAGAAAATGTTTCCGATGTCCTGGCGTTGCTACATGATCTGTTCAAAACACATCCTGAATCAGTCGCGGCAGCATTCGATCGTGCCAAGGGTATCCCGTGAGTTGTTGTTGAGTACTACATTTAATTAATATTTTAGTATTTTGGGTTGTTTCCTCTTCTTTAGAGTGAATTAGCATATTGCCACCTGGTCAGCACTTCGAGTCAATGTTGTGCACGTTTGATCCTTTATACAGTGAGTTTATATTGAAGCTAGTCAACTTCATCTGGCTGGGATGTGTATATTTTCAGCTGGCTGGCTGGCTGGGCTCTCGAGTACTCTTAAAAGCGAGCGAGTATTCGAGCGAGTACTAGTCAAAGGAGAAAATGGACTGTAGATTTGTGTGTCCTGAACCCGACGAACTGACACCGCATCAACAAGGCAAGCGCGGGAAAGCATACCCACTTGATCATACTTCTGCCGAAGAATGACGCAATAAAAATATCCGCCCTGGGTGAATTCATCGCAGCTCGAGATAGGAGTTGCACACTCTTGGTTATCATGTACTCTTGATGTTACTAGTGTTGACTTGGAGTGGTGTGCACTGTGCAGCATACCAATGTCACCAGTAGTCTAGTAATGTCATGAAACCTCTGCTCTTCTTGTTATACGTTTGCTGCAGCGCGTTGCTACGCTTACTGCATTTTGATGACGACAAGATCCGTGCGTCTTCCATCCGTATTTGTACCATTTTTCTTCACCACCTTCCGTCCAAGTAAGCTACAGTCAACTTCGCTTATAACGACACTCAGCGGGGCATCAAAAATGTGTCCTTATTCGCGAAGTGTCGTTATACCCGAAGTCTCATTATATGTATTACAGTGGGATGGGACTTTGCTCTGGGCATGGGAATTCTGTCGTTATTCGCGAATTGTCGTTATATCCGCAGTCGTTATTAGCGAAGTTGACTGTACTATGCATCACTCAGATGATTTTCTAACACTATTTTCAGTTGGCAAACTATGTACATGTATTACCGTACTGGCAATATATGGTGCCGCAGTGAGGCCATGAAGCGTTACATTGGCACATGTTTGCCGCACGCAGGGCGTTACATGCAAAGTCGCACAGGAGCCGTTACACAGGTTTCTATATTGCCGCAGTCCTTTTTTTGCTATTGCCGCATCACTTTTTTGCTATTTGCGCATCATGTTTTTGCTTTTGCCGCATCATTTTTTCTTTTCATCCACATTGAAGGCACAGAAATTCAGTTGCTATCCAACTGTTACAAACCCGACGGCAAAGGGCGACAACGATATCAATAGAAGACTGTATATTTTAACTATCAGAGTGATCTGTTCACAAAAAGATCATCAAAAGGAAAGTGACATAGGGGAAGAGCGCTTCCTCCAAAAACTACTTTTCACCACGCGGTACACGTGCTTTCACAGTTTTCAGCCTTTTTTTGCAGTGCAAACTGCAATGAAAAGATCGCCGCACCCCGCCGGACGCGCGTTACGAACTCAACGAAAATTTGTCGCACTAGCCTGGTCGCGCGTTACGCCGCACCCCCCTGCGTTACGCGTTACGCGGCAACATATATTGCCAGTACGGTATGCAGTTTTAGTGCCAGTATTAGATACATGTAAAGTGTTGGATGATTGCGTGCGGTGGGGATTTCTCTGTCCTGTCGCTGTAGTCCTAGTGCTTGCAGCTATCCTGTATGGGTGTGTTGTTATACAGTTGGAATCCTGATAATTCGAACATGGCAAATCGCACAAGTTGATGTGGGGATGTGGGGGACTTACAATCGAGTGTGACTGATAACTCAAGCAAACACAGTAAAATAATGTGATAGAGACCTGAAAATGGGGGTGCGACTTATAATAAAATGCGACTGTAGAGATGTAATTCTCGATTTGAACCGTAAGACCGTGGTGGTGGTGGTGCTGCTGGTGCTGGTGCTGGTGGTGGGTGTGGTGATGATACTGGTTAAGTGATGTGCTTGGTATATTGGTGCTTTGTTTCCTGGTTTTAGGCGGTTGGCTCATTTCATTGAGGTCCAGTCCTTGCTAGTGTTCCTAATCAATCACGTCCAAGAGAAGCCATTCACGTATACCATGTATCGTGCCATCTACGATGTATGTACATATACATGTACTCTCTCTCTCTCTCTCTCTCTCTCTCTCTCTCTCTCTCTCTCTCTCTCTCTCTCTCTCTCTCTCTCTCTCTCTCTCTCTTTCTCTCTCTCACGCATGTGTGTGCACACCTGCACTTATTGTGTTTATGTTCCACTGTGAAAAGCCTCGGACAACTTGATGTTGCCCCAGGATATTCAAAGCTGGAAATTTAGCCTAGACGCCTGGTGTCTCGTGGTTGCTCTCTTTCACCTGAATTGCTGGACCTCACAGCTGTATAATTATAGGAATAACCTGCTGATTATTCATTAGTTTGACATAGTTGAACGGGGAAAGAAAAAGAAAAAATCACTGTCCACCAGGACTTGAACCGTGGACCCTCACTCATTGCTAGTGGTGCACTGTCCGGCACCAGGACTTGAACCGTGGACCCTCACTCATTGCTAGTGCCGGTGCTCTATCACTAAGCTATGCTGTGTTGTCATCTTCAGACTTCCAAACTCGCTATGCACATTGTGTGTAAGGCCACACCGTTTTTTATCTATGTTTCGCGTCCCCCGCGCGCATGTATTTCACAGCCGGAGTGCAAAAAAAAACTGAACAATTTTTTTTTGGAAAATGCAATACAAATTTAATATGAGCAGTCAGGCTGCGTTCACACGCTCACACACATGTACATGACTGTACATGTGTGTGCAATAAGCTGGCCCGCAAGTCACACAATCACCCGCCTGTGTTTGGACCACAAGCATGGCAGAGGGGATACACTCATGTATTCATGTACATGTATGCATGTGTGTGTCAATGCATGTGTGTGTCAATGATTATGTACATGAACAGTGCTGCGTCACTGTACACAAATGCACGTACACTGTACACTGTTTTTTTTGGATGGCTTTTTATTTTTTTTCGCCCTCCCTCATTGATTTCATCGAATAAGGTGACGCGAAACATAGAAAAAAACGGCGTGGCCTAATAGCATGCTGATTGTTTGGTTATGTATGCATGTATGTGCGTACGTGTGGGTGTATGTGTGTCTGTGTGTCTGCGTATGCATGTTGTCTTCAATCTAGTTGATGATTGATAATCACACAGCTGCTCCAGTCTCAACTCAAGCACATGTCAGCATTGTGTATGCAGGTAAAGCTTTTAATTATGGTGAATACTTGCCTATGGTACAGGTAGAGCATGTACTCAACTTTGTAACGTGTACTGTCTTTGCCAGTGAAATTCGCCCCCACGAATAAAACAGTGGTATATTTGGGAGCGAAGGCTACACTACTCACTAGGAGTATTGCACTATTCACAGTGCTATGACCATGCAGGTGGTGATGGGTTTTCCGAGGGGGGGGGGGGGGGGGGGCAGCGCTTTTTCTTCTTCTTCAAAAGCTTGTGCTGCTGTATTAGGTGTATTTGGTTTGCACCATAAGCTTGACCCGTATTGCTCTGAATGGCGACAGGGGATAAGAGGAAGCTCCAAGTACAATGCAGGAATCAATCTTCAGATTACAGAATAATGAAGTATCGACTATTGGAGGCCATTGGAGGACATTGGAGGACATTGGGGGCATTGGAGGACATTCGCTGAAGACACTATAACACAGCTGCATGGAAATGTGCTGTGCAGTCGTTCATCGCATATTGTTTTGTCATGTCTTGTTTTGCTTGCAGACATCATGGTGCTGCTCTTTCAGATTTTACTTGGTATTGGTAAAGTGCCGCAGACGGAGGCTTGTACTCCCATGAGTAAAGTAGCCAGTGATCGCACGGCCGTGTTTGACTGTCAGCACACTCTATCTTCACAGGACTTACACAGCAAAGTGAGTTCTGGTGATGGCACCTGTGCATTTGCGTGGATACCTTGCTGCCTACTCTGTGTGTGTGTGTGTGTGTGTGTGTGTGTGTGTGTGTGCGCGTGTGTGTGTGTGTGTGTGTGTGTGTGCGCGTGTGTGTGTGTGTGTTTGTGTGTGTGCGCGTGTGTGTGTGTGTGTGTGTGCGTGTGCGTGCGCGTGTGTGTGTGTGCGTGTGTGTGTGTGCGTGCGCATGCCATCTTGCTGCCTACTCTTGTTTGGGTGTTTGGATACCATGGGGGCTGGTTTAACATGAGAGTTTTCAACCCGCCATGTACACAGATTGACTGGACCATTTACACGGTGCATTGCAGTTGACCCAGGGTGAAGACGAGGAAATGTGCTAGCGTGCTTACATGCATGTGTTTGTATTTGTGCCAGGTTTGCACGGGTTTGCTGCACAGGCAAACAGTCATGCGACCATACAGCCTGATACAGGACTTAGAAATGGTCTTTTGTTGGCATATTACAGTCCATTTCAAAACTATAGACGCGCAGTGTTTTTGAAATATTTCAAATTTGGCTGGAACTTTTTGAGAATAGTTTTCGGAATATTTCTCAGGTCGCTCCACAATTACTCATTATAGTTTCTAAACGATTGGATAACAGACGCCCAATTATTATTTGGAAAAAAATTATGCACAAAGTGATCACAGATTTTATGTGGTATAGATGCTGGCATAACGGTTTTTGCCTAGGTACGCGTCTATAGTTTTGAAATGGACTGTAGTACTTTCCCCTGGTCAACTCTCTTCATGTAAATAGTACTGGGCATTGATCTCCTGAGCTCACTCGCTCTTCTCTCTCTCTCTCTCTCTCTCTCTCTCTCTCTCTCTCTCTCTCTCTCTCTCTCTCTCTCTCTCTCTCTCTCTCTCTCTCTCTCTCTCTCTCTCTCTCTCTCTCTCTCTCTCTCTCTCTCTCTCTCTCTCTCTCTCTCTCTCTCTCTCTCTCTCTCTCTCTCTCTCTCTCTCTCTCTCTCTCTCTCTCTCTCTCTCTCTCTCTCTCTCTCTCTCTCTCTCTCTCTCTCTCTCTCTCTCTCTCCCCTGTCAGCTGTCAAGCTGTTCGCAAATCACTACTTGTGTTCACATGCCGCCCTCACTGGTCACCGACATCTTGTCTGATATTGTGAAATTGTTGGATGACCGGCCAGACAACTGCCAGTGAGTGCTTTGCCTTTTGCTATGACACATTGTGTGATTTGTCATACTTTGAACTGTATTGCATTGAAAACCATTGAGTTTGAACACTACTTTTATAAGGCACGCATCCTTATAATTATGCTGAAGTAAGACTAAAATGACACTCGATAGCATGTTTTGTCAGCGTACTTTTAGAGGCAGAAGTCTCAGTGAAATGAGCTAACCTTGCGGGCATGGATTTGTTGCTACTGAGACAGTAGTTCATTACTCACATGGCTGTTACTCGCAATACTGACTGTAGCTTTATTCATGCGCTGATATAATTACTTGTTATCTGCAAGAAAACTTAGTGAAGTGTGTTTCCACTATCTGTGGGTTCTATCGCCTTGTACTTCTCCAGCTGAGCAATGCATCATGTATAAGCATTTCCAGTTTGCATGTGTGTGTGTGTGTGTGTGTGTGTGTGTGTGTGTGTGTGTGTGTGTGTGTGTGCGTGTGTGTGCGTGTGTGCGTGCGTGCGTGTGTGTGTGTGTGTGTGTGTGTGTGTGCGTGTGTGTGTGTGTGTGTGTGTGTGTGTGTGTGTGTGTGTGTGTGTGTGCGTGTGTGTGTGTGTGCGCGTGTGTGTGTGTGTGTGTGTGTGCGCGTGTGTGTGTGCGCGTGTGCGTGTGTGCGTGTGTGTGTGTGTGTGTGTGTGTGTGTGTGTGTGTATGCTGTGTCTGCAGCACCTTTTCTCAGATTTCTCACTGGCAAGGCTGGCTGCTGAAGTTTCTTGTGAATGGTAGGAGCCACAGTGACATGGGTACAGCTAAGATTGAGGGATTGATGTTACTTGTTAGTTGGGGAGATGTAGAGAATGTTGAGAGCGGCCAAGAATATTGCACGGATGTCCGCTAAGATGCTTCCCCAAGTTTCTTCGAACGCATAGGATCCCAGATGGAAGCCCTCTATCTGAAGTATTGTCCTCACACGCCTTGTCCTCACACCCCTTGTCCTCATACCCCTTGTCCTCACATGCCCCTGTCCTCACATGCCAGAAGCCTTCTACTGGATGAGTGTGCCTGAGTGAACGTTTGAGAATTTCACTCGCCTGTAGTGTTTGTATCTGAAGACTCCACGTTGATTCGGCGTTCTTCGTATGCAACTCCTTCGTTATTGACCTGCTTGAATGGCAGATCCTTAGCATCTTCTTTTTTAAGTCATTTTCTTGGTATTGATTCGTTATCATAATTAATTTTTGTGTTGTACAGACGAGGCACTTTATCCGTCAGGTACAAGAAAGCTGGTCTTGAGGATCTTTTTTGTCATGATGGAGCACAGTGTGCGTCATGAAAAGGACGGATGGATGTTCTTCTCTTCGGCAATGGCGTTGGCTCATGCCGAGGTGAGCATTTTCCCTGTTATTCATTATACCAAGAGAGGGGGTTACTAGTACTCTTGATCACACTTGTACCACAAAGTAGGTCTCGCACACCATGTATCCATCTGGATACTTTGTGTGAAGTATCTGCTCTACTTTGTACAAGTTCTCTATACAATTTGAAATTTGCGAAACACTTCGTGTTGGGGGGGGGGGGGGGGGGGGGGGCTATGGTTGTTTGTACTCAGTTGCTACGCAGTCGTCAGCGATCTAGTGATGTCCTCTGCAAACTCTACTATACCTGGGTAACTGTGCTATTTTTGTGTTTCCGTGTTACTGTGACAGTCTGTTGGTGCTGACACGGTGTGTTGGATGACGAGGCTTGCGGTTGCCTCCCTTCCCATGCCAGCTGCTACAACAGCTGCGGCGGTGCAGAGCAAAACAGCTGGACCGTCACTGTCTCTGGGAGCTGTATTAAAACGGCGTAGGTATTCCAAAGAAGGAGTGTCTACACAGCAAGCAACACCAGCAAATAGTGGACAGGCAACACCGAAGGCCTCAGGCGCGGATGGTACTCAGAAAGTCCAGGATGAGGCAGTGAACAGTGACATGCAAGGGTCCTCTCCCAGTACCCTGTGTGCTGGTGGCGAGCTACACGAAGGTCTTGTCATTAGAGTGGAAGGTGAAAGCGAAGAGGTATCATCAGATACAGGTACATGTATACGTGGCACATCTACTGCAGTGTCAAGTGCTGATGATACCACTGCCAGTCAACGTTCTGCTGCTGGTGTCGATGAGCTCGATGGAGACAAGGCTACTACTGACTCTGTTACTGACGGCGGCGATTGTGATCAAGCAAGTGCTTCTCCAGCTGTGGAACAGCAGCAGTGCCCATCAGAACCCGGTGCTGAGCAAGAAACTGTCAGTGTGGACTCTGAACTGGTCAAGAACCTGCAGAGTGCAATGGGTAGCATGTCCGGCGATGATCCAAGCCGTGTCGGCCCTGAAGCCAAAAAGGTAGCCTCACCTATGTCAAGCGACTATGATATGCTGTCTGATCTGAATGTTGTAGTCAGTGTATCAGAGCATGCCTCTGATGACGATAGCCATGCAGTACGTGCTTCTGCATCTGATCATGTGACCGGAGAAGGGAACTCCCCACTCGATGGTCCAAAAGACTCAAGTCAAGTGCAGGACGCTGATGAAGACAACGACCAGCATACGGGGCTGCCAGCAATTCGGAAACCGATACGTTTGATCCTACAGCCAAGTAGCGGTGAGTGGTTGGAATGTCATTTCGATTATGAAAGCACCTACAGATGTGGCAAGTGAGATCCAGACCAATGGACACACTTTCAGAGCCATGAACTGATTTTGGTGACCTGATGTACGTGTGCTAAAGAGATAGACAGACGGATGGACGGACATACAGACAAATAGGGAGAGAGTCAGAGGCAGAGACAGATAGACAGAGACAGAGAGAGTACGATGACTGTACTGAAGTACAATACCAGTATGCATGTATGTAGTACACGTCTAAAGGCAGCTCAGCTTGCATGGTAGAGGATACACTGTGAAGGGTAGTATCGCTGCCTCTACCCTGCACGACATGTATTCTTGTCCTGTATCGGGCTTGCTTCACAGGGTGATCATTTTAAAATGCTCAAATGCCCCACGTACTAGAGTAGTAGTGCAATGTTGAGTTTGTCTGTTGAGATTCTTTCTGAATCTCTGTCTGTCTCTGTCTGTCTCTCTCTCTCTCTCTCTCTCTCTCTCTCTCTCTCTCTCTCTCTCTCTCTCTCTCTCTCTCTCTCTCTCCATCTCTGTCTGTCTCTGTCTCTCTCTCTGTCTCTCTCTCTCTCTCTCTCTCTCTCTCTCTCTCTCTCTCTCTCTCTCTCTCTCTCTCTCTCTCTCTCTCTCTCTCTCTCTCTCTCTCTCTCTCTCTCTCTCTCTCTCTCTCTCTCTCTCTCTCACTCCACTCCACTCCACTCCACTCCCGAGGAGATCAATTTCTGGCAGTGAGCAAGTACAAGTAGATGTGGAGGAAGGTTCATTACTGTTTCCTTTATTTGTGCTTTGTTTTATCTTTCTCTTCACAGTGGATGAAGAGCAGACTCAGGAAGACCTGAGTAGTGGCGCAGTGCAAACGGAATCAGCACCAGAGGACCCAGCCACTAGTAATCCGGATCAGAAGAATGCTGATGCTTCAGCAAATACCGACGTACGACCGGGATTCCGTGCCATGGAGGAAGTGGCAAAAGCCGCCGTATCTATTGTGCAAACACCGCTGCAGCAGCGTATGACTCGCCACAATCTCAGCAACCTGCAGGCGACGGCTATAAAACACATGCCAGCGTTTGAATGGTGCAAGGTACACTACACACTACTTGAGCTTGTTCTGGATGTCCTGGATGGCCTGTATGGTGATATTGAGTAAGTACCAGTATTTTTTGAAGTAACTAGCTTTTCTTCACAGCACATGTACATGCACTAACAAAGTGTCTTACCCCGCGTCAGAGATCCTCTCGTACATTGTATGATGATGACGGTGGTGGTGTTTCATCTTCGCAGCTTGTGCTGATGGCCGACTCTCTTCTATCAAAGGTGTCAGCCTGATGGAGAAGAGCTATCAATTACTTGGAAGTAATGGAGAGTCATTTGGTCTCTTGTTGTTGTTGTGTGTTTTCATTGTGTTTTATGTTATACAGTGATGTTCTCGAGAATCCACTCAACGCCACCGAGTTACCATTGCCCAAACAAGGTCAGCATGTTCAGACCAACGTTGCTCACATTCTCTTTGTCGTCAGCGACCTGGTGCTGGGTTCCAGTGGTGGCTTGGATGGCCTCATGAAGAAAGCCATGTTCCAGGTATGTGACACCTACCACATATGTTGTATGTACGTTGTGTTGTTGGCACGTGGTCTATACGCACACGCATACACATACTGCATTTGTTTGATGTAGTTGCGGTATTCTTGCGATAATTCTTCGTTGATGATGTCACTAAGTACTTGTACATAGAACCCCCCCCCCCCCCCCCCCCTCGTGTGTAGATCTACATGAGAGACAAGGAATACGATGATCACACAGCAATTTCGCAACCAAGTTCTTTACCGCCGTTTACCGAGACAAGAACAAATATCTCCATATCAAAGGGACCAATGTGAAAATCCAGTAGGTCAAGGATGACCATATCCATTGTTGCAGTTTGGGAAGAAAACATATGCTGGGGGTCAAAGAACTGGGTTCTTTCCTTATACAGTATTGCAAATATATTCCTTCTTTTTGTTCAGTGGTGTTGAGTTTTGTGTGGATAATTGGCAGCAATACCATGTGTTTATGTTTGCATGTGTGTGTGTGTGTGTGTGTGTGCGCGTGCGTGTGCGTGCGTGCATGTGTATGCACACCTGGCATGCCCGTTACGCATGGAATCTCAGATGGCACCAGATGCCACTACCGTCGACTCTTTTCTAATGTCGGAGGATGAGCAAGTTGGCTGTGATTATGCCGAGCGCCTATGCAAGGTTGCAGTGAATGTGTGTGTACGCGGGGCACCGGTTCACCACAGTGTGGAGGTTGCACACAACGTTGGCAATGGTGGCATGTTCAGGCAGATTATGCGTATCGGTAAGACTTTGCCTGTGTGTGCATGCATGTGCATAGTTATGTGCAAGCATTGAGATGTAGTTGTTGAAACTTAAAAAGTACACCCAGTTTGATAGATTTTCTCCTAGTCCTGCATGTCGATGGCTGTGAGTTTCAAGAGTGCTATGCATTGCCAACATCAATCTATCAGGAACATCTCCATGGACAGAATGACTGTATTGATCATGTCTTGTGCCTGTCATGCAAATGCCTGCGAGTGCCAAGGCCCTCTGGCCCTCTGCTGGCAGGCATAGTGTGATGTCTAAGACCATGACTGAGAAACAGTGGCTATCAGATTCAAGTCCTGCTCGAAAGCAGAGGAATTGTTCCCACCGTGCTGTGACCCACAGTTAATTTAATTGGGGCCTCATGGCCTGGAGTGAGGGTAACAATACTAACATGAATGCAGCGAATGGGATTTCAGTCTTGGACCACTTGCCTTTGGTGCTGCGTCTGATCTCCTGACCTTCCGGCGAATTTATTCACCTTTATAAACCGGCTCTTTCTGGGAAGTGTGCATCGGTGATTTTCACTGCTTTCATTGACGTTACTTGTCTGTTTCTAAGTGTCTCTCCTTGCATTTTCCCCTGCTGTTTTCGTTGTCCACTTGTGTGTGTGTGTGTGTGTGTGTGTGTGTGTGTGTGTGTGTGTGTGTGTGTGTGTGTGTGTGTGTGTGTGTGTGTGTATGTGTGTATGTGTGTATGTGTGTATGTGTGTGTGTATGTGTGTATGTGTGTGTGTGTGTGTATGTGTGTGTGCAGTATTGGCCAAGGCCATCATTGCTAATCTGAAAACAGCGCATCAAGTCAAGGTAACATTCTTCTATTGAGCTACATATGCATATTCGTATGCATGTACATATGCGGGTGATGCCCCCCCCCCCCTTGCTGTCACTGCATCGGTCTCACAGTCTCCTGGTAGAAATGGCAACAGGAGTACATAGCCCCTACTGGTGCACTACATTGACTATGTCACTTTCAAGCTACCGTCAGGCATCTTGCATACGTTTCGAACATCCCGTGATTGCAAGTGCTTGCGGAGTTCTTTCCAAATATGCCTACGCCGTGACATAGTCCACAGATTTTAGCAATCTAAGAGTGCCTTCGTATATCCTCTCGGAAAAGTCCAGGACTCTGCGAAAAGTTGGATGCACACGCTTATTTGTCTAGCCTGGAACTCATGACGAATGGCTGGTACAAATGGAAGACTGTATAGAAATCTAACTGTGAACACTGAATAGACTGTATAGAAATCTAACTGTGAACACTGAATAGACTGTATAGAAATCTAACTGTGAACACTGAATAGACTGTATAGAAATCTAACTGTGAACACTGAATAGACTGTATAGAAATCTAACTGTGAACACTGAATAGACTGTATAGACTGTGACCATGAGCTGCTCTGCCATGTCATGCTGCACCAACTTGAAGAATTCAAACACTTGTATGCAGCTTGGAAGGGCCCTAACCTTACTTTGGGTCCAACGAAAAGCAAGCTTCTTGGGAATGTGCTGTCTGCTCACCAGAAAGCATGCACATGTGTATGTACGGTATATGTAAGCCATTTGTGTAAGAGAGTAAGTGCTTTCCGCAAATGAACCTCGCTAGGTTTTCGTAGAGTGCACACACAGGATGAACATGCATTTTGCTATGTAAGAGACGATGGGGCTGATTCCTTGCCATGGTGGGCAGCATGTTGTTTAACTGAAAACTCTACTTTTCCTGATTTTGTCCATATGCTATTGCACAGGAGGCTGAAAGTCGGTTCTTTGCAGACCTTCAGAACATTACAGAGCTTCACCAGGAGACTGCCTCTGCATTGAAGGAACTCAAGATCTCTCAGCAACAAATCAATAAGGTAGACTTCGAGTTGAATTGTTGTAGTTTTAAAGCAAGTGTCCTCGGCTTTAAATGATGTACTGTTGATACTGGTATCGCGACCCATCAAGAACGTGCAACTGCCTGGACTGTCTCTACATGGTGTGCTGCGATGGCAGAGTTCCATGTCATCTGATGATTTGGTTTAGGATGTTATGCAAGGAAACAGTTCAGTTTGACCACCAGAGACTTGTAAGCAGAGCAGGGTTACTTACAGAATTGCAGCAGTCATGTACGAGTACAAAGTGCAGGCGTGTACGAAAAGTATGTACGGATCTTTCTGCCGCCACACACTCCATAGACTGACTGCAACACTGAGTGTCGGTAGCCTCTCATGCCAGACTGGTCTTTTGAGTTGTTCCAGTGCCTCTTTCTACTTCAAGTATTCTATTTAATTCTTTGGCTGTTGGTGGTGGTGGTGCTGCTCTTGCTGCTGCTGCTGCTGCTGCTGCTGCTGTTTCTGTGATCTTGTAGTATTTGACAGATCGACTGGACTGTCGTCAGCGGGAGCTTGTAGCATCCCAATCTCTGTTCTCCCAGGCACACATCAACCTGCTCTACACGACTCTGTTCAGAAAAATAGTGAGTCATTGGAGGGGCATCTGATGAGATAGACGTGTGTGTGTGTGTATCTGTGGGTATGTGCGCGTGCTTGCGTGCTTGCGTGCGTGCGTGCGTGCGTGTGTCTGCTTGAATGTGCATGCTTGCGTGTGTGCGTACATGAGTGTGTTTGGGTAACTTATGTGAACCAACCCTAGGTTTTTCCCCACACCATATGTCACATGTGCCCTCGTGAAAATGCTCTGCAGAGTTGCACTCTTGCAGTCTTGGGGTCGTGTAGTTTTGTTGTTACTCATCGAAAATTACCTGAATCTAATACCAAGAGTACGTAGCCCAAAGAGTGTGCAACTGGCTGCACAACTTCTATCTAGTGCTGCGACGGCAGAACTTCACATCACGTGACATGGTTCTATAGGTTGCACTGGCAATTGTTATTATTGAATCTTATTTTACTAGGGGATTCCCAACAGGTGGGGACACCATTTGACCGGGAACCCAAGGCGTGTTTTAATGTGGCGGCGAAATTCAGCTGGGGACCTAGCTTGGTGACAGTCCGCAGGTAGGCATTCCAGCGAGCTGCGCCAAAATAGCGAATAGAAGGAATGCTATATTGAGATGCAGCATTGGGCGAAGTGAGGGTCGAAGTGGTCTGGCCTCTTTTGACAGCATTGGAGCGAGAGCCAGTAAATTGCAGTGTAAACAGATGGCAAAGTAGAGAGCTGGCCAATCCTAATACACAGCGATAAACTAAACAATACATTTTATATTCTCGACGCTGTTCTAATGTATACACATCAACAAGTGTATTGGGTCTGCACTCTGTGCATGATAGACACAGGGTTGTATGCAACTGCAACCCTACTTTGAGTTCAACTCTCTTGTGGTCACTTTGCACAGCTTGTTTATGTGTACACATTAGTGGTGAAACGAATACTGTAATTTCACAAATTTTCGGTGTACTTTTATTTTCGGTACTTTCGGTGCGTCTGTTTCACACCTAAAATTTCAGTACACCGAACAAACACTAACACACATAATCCAATAGGGAACTGATTCTCTGTACCGAAAATTTCTGTTCACCTAACCTAGCCTGTTGCCCTCATACCGAAAATATTGAGCACCGAAAATTTCTGAAATTAGAGTATACCGAATATTCGAATATTCGTTCGGTTTGGCACATTCGAACGAATATTTCTCATGGCGAATATTCGTTAACCCGGTATGCAGAGTTTACCGGGCGACTTCAAACTTTCGATACTTCGCGAATACTTGACCGAATCGCTTCATCGAAAGGTCTATCGGCATTAGAAAACTCTCAGCTGTCATCTAGAAGCAACCCGAACGCAATCCGAGGTCCTGGAGTGGAGTTATGGCGCTTGAACGAAAAATCACGTCTCAAGATGTTTTTGAGCCTGTGAAATGCACTTCAGCTGGGATTTTGTGAAAATTGACCTAGAAATGATGGAGAAATATGTGCCTTCGTTTGTCATGCCTAATAAATAGTAATAATAGAGACTGAGAGGAGGGCATGTGATGTCGTCCGTCTTAACGAAAGAATATTCGTTCGTTCGTTAAGCCAAAGAATATTCGGCTACTGGGTTTTGATATTCGTTTCACCACTAGTATACATTAGAACAGCGTCAAGAATACGAGAGAGCTTGGAAGCTCAGGGCCCTACGCTATGCTTTTTTGCCTTGATGACCTAGACAAAAAAAAGCATAGGGATGTTATAAATTCTTTAAAAAATTCTTTTTTTTTAAAGACATAACCTGGGATTCGAACCCGCACTATCGATCACGCGCCCTGCATGCATCCCCCGATACACTTCGCATACATACTAATTCTTCCAAGTTGTTTCACATTGTGATCTTGGATTTGAAAGCCCTATTTGAATATGCATTGTGGCCAGCCGTCTTTGATGGCACGGTACGGTAGGGGATAGGGACGGGACAGGTACGATCGAGGGTAATACGACACCGTCTCCCGTATCGTACCGTACCATCAAACACAGCTGGCCACATACAGCTGCCCGCAATATTCAAATAGGGCTTTCAAACGCAAGATAATAACGTAAAGCAACTTGGAAGAATGGGTATGAATGCGAAGTGTATGGGGGAATGCATGTAGGGCGATAGTGCGGGTTCGAATCCCAGGATATGCCTGAAAAAAAAGGAGAATTGAAAAATTTATATCATCCTATGCTTTTTTGCCGTCAGATACGGATAGCGCCAGGCGTGACACAAACAAACAAACACACAAACAAACACCAAATTAAAGCTGTGTGGACCCTGGCTAGCGCCAGACGTTACTGAAGTAACGTCTTCTGCATAGCTACGGGAATAAAATCTATTCTGGTTGTGTGTACATCTAATAGGGTAATAACTGCAGTTGCATACTGTTGCATACTGTTGCATACTGTTGCATACTGTTGCATACTGTTGCATACTGTTGCATACTGTTGGCGATTATAATAATATTCGCGGGATCCGCGTCGGCATCGCTTGAATGTTCAGAAACACACAAACTAGCCTTCGCATCCGCAGGCCACCACTATGCCTGTTCACCTTAGACTTAGTGGCGAATGCAGGGGATTATTTAATTTTATTCTTGCTGATACCTGGCGCAATCCAGCTCAAAAATGGTAAAAATGTTTATGTGGATTGTGTGGCTCAATGGCCAAGTGGTAAGGCGTCGGTCTCGTAAACCGAAGATCGAGGGTTCAAATCCCTCTTGAGCCTTTTTATTTCTTTTTTCTTTTTGATATGCTGATTTTTTTTAGAAATCCTGCTAGGCAAAAGCATTGTGACTGTCACCGTCACTAGCTTTCAGCTTCTGTCACTTTTTCATTTTTTTGGTGTGTTGTATGATGTGGTGTATGTCGTAATGTGCATGCTATGGTGTGCACTGTGGACAGGACGAGCACAAACACAACATATCAACTGTGCTGAGCACACTGTACGTTTTGAACAAGTTGCTAGTGGTGCAGTACCAACGAATTCTGGACGGATTGCAATCAGCATCATCTTCGCCCACTCACCCATCGTCACCCAGAGCAGAAGATGTTGACGAGGATGGTCAGCTCCCGCCAGAACAGAGAGCACCCAGACGTGGCTCGATGCCGGAAGCTGTTTCTCCTCGGCCGTATGCTGCGTGAGTTGTGTGTACATGACACTATGTCTCTACAGAAGTTACGATATCAAGCCCTTTATGGCCAACGGTGTTAGTGCGTGCATGCTCAGTGTGTTGAGTATGAAGCTCTCTGCACCCTAGTGTGTACATGTACAAGCCATTACAGATTCTACACTGTTTGAATACGAAGTGACTGGTTCTGGGTCTGCATTCATACAGTACCATGGATAGAGCTCTCATTCACCATACTCTATTCTCACACTATAGAAGGGTTCGAAGTGACAAGGTGCTCTGGTGCTACTGTGTGCTAATGGCTCTGTTTCTGATGACCGATCCTCCTCCACTGCCACCAAGCTCCTTGGACTGAGTAAGCAGAGTATTTGGTGAATCTCAACTATATCTTTGCATGTATGTACTGTTGTCATTCTGTGAGCAGTCCATTGCGCCGACTGCAGCAGATGACGTCCATTCAGCCTGGTGGACAATCTCCTAGACTGCGTGAGCGGCTGGTTAGTACTGTTGGACAGCATGGACCATCAGTACACCGACATCGCTGGAGGAAAGCAGCAGATTCCAGCACATCACCTCTCAAGGTACGGTGCACTTTTGTTACAGTTGATTGTTTGATTGTTCGTTGCTGTTACTGTTGATGTTGCTATTCCTGCGTTCTTGTTCTCGTTTTTCGTTCTCATTGCTTGTTGCTTGCTTGCACCGGTATCATGTTGGCATCTGATCCCGGTGATGCATACAGTGAAATATGTTTTCCCTGAGACATACCCGGCATGTTGCTTGCCTTTTTTCATCCCCATTTGCACCCAGCGCACTCCTGTCAAAATCTCAATTTCGTTGTATTGAATTGACTCCTGAACTACATTTCCACTAGTTTCTCCGTACTCGGCTAGCACGGAGGTAATGTGGCCATCATGGAGGGTTGGCCCAAAGTCGTATATTAAACTTTATTATAAACAAGATCTATGGTGCCATAACCGGAATCGAATTACTAAAGAAGATGACTCATCAAGAACAAAGGAAAGACTGAACAGCAACAAGAGACAAGCACATTCGAGTATGGACACGGAATACACACATTCACACATAGTATGCTGTAAGGTCATTATGCATGTCCATGCAAGGAGATGCAGTACGATAATAAGAAACAGGAGAGTGCAAATATGTATGATGTACACCGGTACACCACAAGCCCGGCTCGAGTTTCAACCCGCCATGAACACAGATTGACTGGAGCATTTACGTGACGGACTGCGCTCGACCCGGGTTGACATTTTTAACCTGGGTTGAAATCCCCAGGGGAGGGTTGAAATCGAGAAATCGTACTACTGTATTTTTGTGCGTATTTCACACCAGAGTTGCACAGCACTGCACAGGCAAATTGTGCGCGAAAGTAGTCACGCAACCATCCAGGACTCTGGAAGTGGACTTTTGTCGGCATATCAGTAATTGACCCTGGTCAACCTTTTTCATGTAAACACCGATCTGTTTTTCCACCGTACAGGTGGAACTCGACTCGGGTTGGAAATTCTCATGTAAACACAGGCTAACAGTAGTATGCGAGGGAAGACGTCAATGGGGAATGCATGGGTGTGTATACAGGAGGATATGTGTATGGCTATGGGAATGGCGAGTGTGTATTACATGTACATTGTGTGCGTGTGTGTCAGAGTGTACAGAGTGCAAGACTTAGGGCGCGTTCGAATTGTCACTCTTTGACTTCTCAAGGAGTTTCGTTTTTCTGAAGAGGTGGCCTTATTGGCCTCTTCAGAAAAACGAAGCTCCTCGAAACTCCTCGAAACTCATCCGATGGGAAGGTGGATTAGTTTCGAAGAGTTTGGAATAGCTACGTCACGTAGTACGTGGAGATGGTCGATCTGATCGGACGTCATCATCACCATGACAATTCCACTGAAAAACTCTAAAATGATAGAAACCGTTCTAATCGGACACTTCAACTAATCTCTTTATAAAATTTGTTTGTACAGTTGATGAAGACAATTCGAACGCGCCCTTAGTGTTGACTGTATGCGCCCTTAGTGTTGACTGTATGCGCCCTTAGTGTTGACTGTATGCGCCCTTAGTGTTGACTGTATGCGCCCTTAGTGTTGACTGTATGCGCCCTTAGTGTTGACTGTATGCGCCCTTAGTGTTGACTGTATGCGCCCTTAGTGTTGACTGTATGCGCCCTTAGTGTTGACTGTATGCGCCCTTAGTGTTGACTGTATGCGCCCTTAGTGTTGACTGTATGCGCCCTTAGTGTTGACTGTATGCGCCCTTAGTGTTGACTGTATGCGCCCTTAGTGTTGACTGTATGCGCCCTTAGTGTTGACTGTATGCGCCCTTAGTGTTGACTGTATGATGTGTACTATATGTGTTGTGTGGTTTACCATTTACACAGGCCTCGAAGGAGCCGCAGCGACCTGACCTAACTAAACAGGTGAGGATTGGTGCATATGCGTGTTCTGCATCAATATTAGATTGGAACTATCGTCTCTTTTATGGATTATTTTCTTTTGTCAACAACGCATTTATAACAAGGTGGATGTACAGTTGCGCTCGGTGAAGTCCCGACCTATACAAGTGCATACTTGACGCCCTCAACTTGCACGGCCCTTGACGCCCTAGAACTGGTACGAAGGCGGCTGGACGAACACATTTTACAAATACACTAACAGTGATGTAATCGGAACAGGTCCAGGGGCGCCAGTTTTGCACTTCACAATGGATTTCACCGAACGCAACTGTAGTTTGAGCTCAAGTTATCGTATCCATCGAGTCGTCGTTGGGTCACTGCTTGGACATTGGTACTGGGTGATGTTTGCTTTCAGCATTCAGAACATGTTGCCCTGAAACTCTGTGGGAAAACTGTGTGTATGTGTGTGTGCGTGCACGCGAGTGTGTGTTTATCTGTGTGTGTGTGTCTGTGTGTGTGTGTGTGTGTGTGTGTGTGTGTGTATGCGTGTATGTGCGTGTGTGTGCGTGCGAGCGTGCATGCATACTCGCACCTGTGCGTATGTGCATGCATGTGTATCTGCATATCATTGATAAAAATATTCTATTCTCTGCTGGACTGTTTTCTCAGGTTGAGGCAATTGGCACGTTTGTGGGGCCATTTCTGAAAGACCTTTTCCAGGAGTTTCCCTCTATTCTGTCCCAATTGAAAACCACCAGTGGCGAACCTCTTCTTGGTGCAGGTGAGGAGGGCAACAACGTTAGACCGCTAGTCTCTGCCTATAGGGTCTATATGCTACTTCGAAGTACAAGGAAGGAACAACAAGGTTTTGCTTTGCAACTTGGGTTTCATGCTATGCTCTCTGCAGGCAAAGCAAGACAACCTGTCTTTTGTGAAAGTTTCTTAGCACAACAGTTAATGTCGTGATCAGGTGATGGTCGTGACTTACAGAGGCGACTTGTTATACAAGTTTAGGTTAGCTGTGTGCACTAGGGCAATATCTATACAAGGAATAGCAGGGTGGAAGCTGATAGAGAATTATTGCGAATGGGTATGAGTTGCCGTGAGTGGTTGTTTTGACATTGCAATTTAATACATGTAATGATGCATTATGTATGTCTTCATGTGTGCTTATCACTAGGCCGCAGTTGGAAGCCCACATCTTCGGTTGTGGAACTTGTAATGCTGCTATGTTCTCAGGTATGTCTTTTGCTTCGCTGGTGATTGCTGTGTGTGCATGTGTGCTTGCTGTGTGTGTGTGTGTGTGTGTGTGTGTGTGTGCGCGTGCACGTGTATGTGTGTGTGTGTGTGTGTGTGTGTGTGTGTGTATGTGTGTACATGTGTACACGCGTGCATGTGTGTGCGTGCGTGTTGTCAGATTATACACAGTTGATGAACCAGAATTACTTCTAAGTTGCTCTTCTTCTGTCGCTACTAGTATATGTATGTGTGCACTTGTTCTTCTACTTGCATGCAGGAATGGCAAATGTCTATACAGCGCTCTGCTGGCTCTGCATTCAACACTCTGGTGGCGGAAGGAACGTATGTTTGTTTTTAATCATTTTTGTAGCCAGTGGCTGCGTGGTGTGTGGTGGGTGGTGTGTGGTGTGTGGTGGGTGGTGGGTGGTGGGACAGGAGTTGTAAAGCATGTCTAGCTACT